TGTGGAGCAAAACCAACTGCATGCTACATCAACTGTAGCTTGAGCATAGAGACCTCAAAGCCCAAGCTCACAGTGGCACAGTTTCTCCAACAAGGCCATACCTACTCTAACAAAGCCACACCTACTAATAATGCCACTCTCTATGGGAGCCAATTTCTTTCAAACCACCAAATTCTACTCTCTGGCCTCCATAGGCCTATAGCCATATCATGATGAAAAAATGCATTCAGTCCAACTTCAAAAGTCTCCATAGGCTGTAACAGTCTCAAACTTATTTAAAAGTGTAAGGCATTCATGCAATCTCTTAGCTGTAAAGTCAAAATTAAAAAGCAGATCACATACTTCCAACATACAATAGCACAGGGCATATATATGTTACCATTCCATTACCATTCCAAAATGTAGGGAAGGGGGCATAGTGAGGAAATAATGAACCAAAGCAAGATCAAAAACCAGCTGGGCAAACTCAAAATTGCATCTTTATGTCTGATGTCAAAACACTCTTCAGACCTCCAACTCTGCTCAGCTTTGTTGACTGCCACACACTTCTCTCCCTTGGGTTGGTTCTACTCCATTGTCATGCAGCGATTCTTAGCGATTCTTAGCAGTATTCCATGACTCTGGCATCTCCCACATCTTGGGGTTTCCAAGGCAATCCAGGCTTCAACTTCATAGCTTCATGCAATGGGCTCTCTACTAGACCTGAATTCAGAGACACCTAGACACATGCCTAGCCTCAGCAGCTTTCTTTATGTGTGGAGGCAAATTCCATAACCCATTTCTAATGTCCTTAACTCCAAAGTGAGAGCCACGTGGCCAAAGCTGCCTATTTCTGCTGCTTGATGGGGCTGGAACATTGTCCCTTGTTCAATTAAATCGTAACAGCTGGGTTGTGCTGAAATTGAATCTGTAGACCACACTGGTCTAAAACTCAAAAGATCTGCCAGCCTTCTCCGTGCTGGGATTAAAGGTGTGCCCCACCACACCACACTCTAAGCTTTTCTTTAGGTTTTTTTCCCCCCCACAAGTTGTAAACTTAGCTGGGTGTGATCTTGCCTTGAGTTACCACTCCCTTTATTCCATTTCTTAATCTGTTTATCTTCTTGAACATTTAGCTCCATTCCACTTCCTGGTGCTCTTTTTTCTAGTCATAATTTCCATTTTGTAATTTACTATGCTCAGCATGCTCCATTTCATTATAAATCTTCATTAGCACTACCACTAATACCCACACAACAGTCTATTCTAGGCTGTTTTGAGATTTCTTCTACTAACAAAATTAATCAAAAACTCTTCACTTTAACCTCAGGCAGAGTCTTTAGACAAGGGCCAAAAGCAGACACTTCCTTCACCAGAATATCACAAGACCAGTCTGTAGGCCACAAACTAACAGTCTTCTTTGAAACCTCTTGATCCCCATAGTTCATCAATTCACATCTAACACCACTGTCTTCCATGCTCCTACTAGTGTGAACCACTAAGCAGAGCTTAAAGCATTCCATGGCTTTCCTGACACAGACTCCCAAAGTTCATATTACTCCAAACAAAAACATGGTCACGCCTATCACAGCAATACCCCACTGTCTTAGTTAGGGTTTCTCTTGAAAAGACACCATGACCACAGCAACTCTTATGAAGAAAACATTTAATTGGGGTGGCTCACTTAGTTTCAGCGGTTCAGTCCATTAGCATCATGACAGGGAGCATGCAGGCCGATGTGGTAAGAGTGTTACATCTTGAAGGTAACAGAAAGTCAACGGAAACACTGGGTAGTATCCTGAGCACAGGAAGCCTCGAAGTCTGCACATTGCTATAGAATAGTTCTTTTGTGCACTGAAGATTTGTCACTGGGATTGGTTTAATAAAAAGCTGATTGGCCAGTAGCCAGGCAGGGATTATAAATTGGACAAACAAAATAGGAGAATGATATAAAGAAGAAAGGCAAAGTTAGAGGAGATACCAGCCAGCTGCCTAGGAAACAGGATGTGTACACAATGAAGTAACAAGCTATGAGCCACATGGCAAAGCATAGACAAGAAATATGGGTTAATTTAAATGTAAGACTTAGGGAGTAGCCAGGCTGTGGTGGTTCAAGCCTAATAATCCCAACACTCCGGAGGCAGAGGCAGGTGGGTATTTGTGAGTTTCAGGATAGCCAGGACTGTTTTCACAGAGGAACTCTGTCTCAAAACAAACAAAACAAAACAAAAAGTTAAGTAGTAACAAGCCTGAGCTATCAGAAAATATTTATAAGTAATATTAAGTTTTTGTGTCAGTTATTCCAATATTGACAGACGGGTCAGAAGCTTTTGCCAACATGCTGCCACAGTGACACACTGCCTCCTACAAGGCCACACCCACTCCCCAAAAGCCACACCTCCCAATAGTGCCACTCCCTGTGAGATTATGGGGGCCAATGACATTCAAAGGACCACAACCACCACACCTGGACCTAAGCTATTCTTTAACTCCTTTTCATTAACTGGAAGCTTAGCTGGGTGGGGTCTTGCCCTGAAGTCACCATTCCCTTTATTTCATTACTTAGTCAGTTTATTTCCTTGAACACAGGATTTAACTTCCATTTCCTGGTGACCCCTTTCTCCTCCATGTATACATTTTGTATTTTTTACTTGCTCAGTTTGCTTCTTTTCATTATACATCTCTATATGAGTGACCACTAACAAACAAAGAGTCAATACAAAGCTGTTTTGAGATTTCCTCTGCCAACAAAATTAATCCAAAATTCTTCATTTTAGCCTCAGGCAAACTTTTTGGACAACAGCACTAAGCAGCCACATTCTACACTGAAATATCACAAGACTGGTCTCTAGGCCACATATTAATATTCTTCTCCTCTGAAACCTCTTGAGACAGGCTCCTACATTCGAATCACCTCCAGCACCACTGTCTTCCATGTTCCTACTAGGCTGGCCCATTAAGCTCCACTTAAAGCCTCCAACTGCTTTTCTAATTCAGTCTCCAGTACACATTCCTTCAAACAAAAGCATGGCCAGGTCTATCACAGCAACACCCCACTCCTGGTACCAGCTTCTGTCTGTTGCTGTGAAGAGAAACCATGACCATGGCAACTTTTATAAAGAAAAGTATTTAATTGGAGCTAGTTTGCACTTTCAGAGGTTTATTCCATTATGGTTGTGGTGTGAAACATTCCAGCATGCATGAAGACATGGTACTGGAGAAGTAACTGAGAGTTCTTTCTACATCTTGACCCACAGGCAGCAGAAGCAGCCTTGTGCTTCAATGAGGGAGGAGATATCAAAGCCCACCTCCATAGTGACACATTTCCTCCAACACTGTCATAATACTCCAACAAAGCCACGCCTCCTGAAAGCCATTCCCTATGGGGACCATTTTCTTTCAAACTACCACCCTACACACCATCTTGCTTTTAAAGGTCATAGTATTTTCACAGAAACTCTAAGACACCCTCCTTTTCTAGCTCCCAAGTGATGAGATTACAGCAGTGTATCCACATGCCCAGTGTTATGTTGTGCTGAGTGTGAGACTCAGGGCTTCAGGCACGCTAGACAGGAACTTTATCTATTGAACCACATGCCCTGCTCATCTGTTTTTTAACTGAAGTGAAGCTTACAATTCAGACATATTTAGTAAATTCATAATGGGATAAAACCAGTGACTCTGGTTAAACACGGTAGGTCACAAAGTAAAAACAAAGGCACAAAAATGGGATGGAGACTTGGTGGCATGAGGGTGTGTGGAGAATTACAAAGAGTGTTGGGATGCATGTGACTAGAATGTATTATGTGAATGTATAAAATTGTTGAAGAATTAAAAATAAAAAAGAAACCCATGCCCATTAAGCAGTCATTTTCCATTCTCCCAGAGACTATGAAAACTACCAGGAACATTAACTTTTAAGCTGTGCTAAAGAATTTTAAAGATATAAAAGATATTTAAAAAGACATATTTCAGTCAGGCTGGGCATGGTGGTGCACACTTTTAATCCCAGCACTTGGGAGGCAGAGGCAGGTGAATCTCTATGATTTGGTAGCAAGCCTGGTTTATATAATGAATTCCAGGACAGTTAGATCCTGTCTCAAAAAAAAAAAATTTACTTTTGTTTTATTGAGACAGGGGTTCTCTGTAGCTTTGGCTCTCTTGGAACTCACACTGTAGATCAGGCTGCCTCTGCCTCCTGAGTATTGGGATTAAATGTGTGTATCCTCACTCCCTGTCTCTTTTCTGTATTATTAAAGATCTGTTTCATTTGTTTTTAAATTTATGTTTGTCTTGGTTACTTTTCTATTGCTATGATAAAACATCACAGTAAAGGCAACTTGTTTTTCTCCTGCTTTATTAATTCTTTGTGGATTTCACATCATACATCCCATCCCATTCATTTCCCTCCCCCCCACCCCTTGCAAACTCCCTGAAAATTTTAAAAGAAAAACCAAAACAAAAACCACAAATAAACAAATAAATTATAAAAGAAAATGTTTAACTGGATTTATGGTTCCAGAGGGTAAGAGTCCATAGTATCTAGTGGAGCGAAGGCATGAGGGCGGGTACTGCAAGCAAGAGGCATAGAACAGACTAGGAATGGCATGAGTCTTTTGAAAACCCAAGCCCTCCCCAGTGACATATTTCCTCCTACAAAGGCCATACCCCCTAATCCTTTCTAAACTGTTCCACCAACTAGAGACCAACTATTGAGGCACATGAACCTGTGGGAGGCATCTCATTCAAAGCCTCACTGTGTGTGTGTGTGTGTGTGTGTGTGTGTGTGTGTGTGTGTAGGGGGTGGTCAGCGGCTTGGAGGCTAAAAGATGGTACTGGGTCCCTTGGAACTGGAGTTACAGGTTGTTATAAGCTGCCCAGTATGGGTGCTGGGAACCAAACTCTCGTATTCTGCAAGAGCAGCCGGTGTTCCTGACAGCTGAGACATTTCTCTAACTCCAAGACATGAATTTTAGATGTTTGCATATCTATCTCTAGTAATATAGTAAAAAGTACAATAGTTTAATAGTTTTTAAAATTCTAATTTTTATTAACTGTTTTATGTACATTAATACAAAGTCCTGAAAATTGGTAAAAACATGTCTCAAGTGTTTTTTTTTAACACAATCAATGAATAAATCCACATTTATATTTTGTACATTAATAATGAAAGTGACACAGTAGTTACAGTTACACAGAAATATGTACAAGGATGCAAGACAGACTATTATTTGGCTTATTACAGTGTGTAGATACTACACAAAACATAAGAATACAATTTTCAGAAAAATAAAACAAAACCAAATCTCTTTTTAAAATTTTAAAATAAAATTTTGGTTACCACTCATCATTAATTGGTAGCCAAATCTTGGAGTAATTCAAATTAGCTAGTTTTGGAAAAGTTAAACATTATCTGAGTGAGACTGCCAGGTCAACATTTTATATTTAAAAAAACAAGTTTGCAGCTAAAATATTTATACTGGAACATCATCTAGATATTAGTTAAGAATGGCTTATTCACATCCTTTCAAAGTCTAGAAACACCCAGGAAAAGGTGAACACTAAAGACCTGATTCTTTAGAAAGCTATACCTCCAGTGTGGAAAGATCTTCAAGGGGATCCAGGAGTTAAACCCCAGTGGAAAACTCACGAGAAACCATAATTATTGGGACAAAGAGTGATATATAAGACAGAAAGAAAAAGCATTTCGATTATAAGGCATGAAGTGATTTTAATGTGAATATTTTCAGGAAATAAACAATGAGAATGAAAATTGATCTTTTTTGAGTCAGGATCTTGCTATGTAGCCCAAGTTACTCTGGAACTTGCTATGCAGCTAGGCTGGCCTGACATTCCCAGCAATCCTCCTGTGTTGCTGGAATTATAGGTATGTCCCACTATACCCAACAAGAATGATCTTATCATAATGCTACTTTATTAAAGAAATTTAATTTCTCATTTATCTGAATTTTATTTTACTAGATTAAGAAACAGTTTAAGAACTACATGACTGAATACAATCACGTATAATAATTAAGGTAATATCATGAAAATCAAAACTATGTAGCAGTTTTAAGTACAAAGTTGCTTGTACTTAAGGACAGGAAGGAGACAAGGGTGCAGCCAGTTTAACACAGTGGTGGCACCTGATGCACAGTTACTAGAGTTGGGCCCAAGGCAGGCTGGTGCATCACCGAGCTCTCAAATTGTGGGAACTAACCTAACCTTCAACATGAGCATACAGCACAAGCATCTCAAAGAAGACTCACTGACCTCATATTAAAAAGTACAGGAGACATTTGATCATTTTGAAAAGACAGCTAAAAAATAGTTTCTCCTTAATTCATCCTAAAAAGTAAGCCAAGGAACAAACATTTTAAAAAATATTAATATTTATAAAGGCACTTAAAATTCTAATCTTACTGAAAATACATGTTTGTCAGATACATTTTGAATAAAAATTTTTAAGAAGGAACTTACTTTTGGTGCAAGTTTTTGAATAACCCAGTGATAAAAGTGTGAGGATGGAGCCCCCAACTTTCTCCAGAACAACCCCAAAGTGCTTTGACCAGAAAAAGGAGTGCCATTAGTGATTTGCTCTTTCACTGACAACATCTTGTAGTCGTTTAAGTAAAACATCATCATTCTCTTGGCAGAGGCGTTTGGCAGGTGATTCAGCATCTCCACTGATGGCTATTACCCGCTTCTTGGTTTTCTGCTCACCTTGCCTTATCATGTTGTTGATATCTTTCAAACTCTACAAAAACAAGACAGCACGTGTAAAAGACAGGAAAAACAGAAAAATTATAAGTAACAAACTAAGCCTTTCTCCTTTCTATCTTCTACCCTAATCAAGCACTGGTGTTGAAATTATCTTTTGAATCAACTTAAAGGGGTGGCTTCTTGAGTGACTTTAAAAAATGATGTACCTTTTAAACAGTAGTCCTTAAAATTTAGCCTCCAGACAGAAGTAGCAGACACACTGAAGAGCTGATGGTAGAAATGCAAATCCACAAGACTTACCATTCACTTTCTGAGTCAGATGTTTTAAGGAAGGGTATAGCAGTTCATGTTGTATTTATTTGTGTGTGTGTGTGTGTGTGTGTGTGTGTGTGTGTGTGTGTGTTGTGTGTATAGGGCACATTATCACCATAGCACTGTGCAGAGCTCAGAGAACAAACTTTTGGGAGTTAGTTCTTCCCTTCCAGTGTGGATGTCTGAGACAGGATTCAGACATCAGACTGTGCAGCAAGTGCTTTCCCTCACTGCACTTTCTGACCAGCTTCTACCCAAGTTTTATGTTTGTTTCTAAAATATTTTCATTTATTATTTATTTATTTAACATAACATATATGAATGTTTTGTCTGCATATATACCATGTGTATTCCTGGTGCTCAAAAAGTTCAGAAGAGAGTATCAGATCCCTCAAGACCGGCATTAAAAATACTTGTGAGCCACCATGTGGGTGCTAGGAATTGAACCTAGGTCCTCTGAAAAAGTAGAGTAATATACATACACATATATAGTCTTATATATTATATGGTATAACATATTACATATCATGCCTATATTGTATAATTTACATTTATAGTATAATATATAATATACACTATTATAATATAAAGTCTATAGCATCTTATATATAGATTATACATACTATATGCTATATATCATGTTTATATGTATATAAAATATATACATACTATATATTTCAATTTTTGTGTTTGTCTCTGTTGGGGGGGCAGGTACATGTCATGGTACACATGTGGACATCAAAGGACAATTTGCAGGAGTCATTTCATCTTCTATTACATAGGTTCCCAAGGATGTAACTCAGGTCCTCAGGCTTGGTGGGAAGGGCATTAACCTGAGCCAACTTACTGTTTTTTGTTTTTTTTTTTTTTCTCTCTGAGATAGGCTTTTAAACTCAGGTGTGCTTACTGGTTGCCAGGAACCCTGATAATGTAAAGACTGAGACTTAGCAGGTGTGTGTCTGTGAGTCATCCCAGGTGATGTTGATGTTATAGGCACATGAGAAGTAGTTCCTGAAATTGTATCCTAGTTGTCTGGACCTGTCTACCAGTTCTACAAGTCTACAAGTCTGTAGGGCAGTACTGGTGTTCAACAAGCTCCCTGGGTTATTCTGACTCTGGCTTTGGAATCACTGCCTTGGATTCCAGACAGTGTATCTAAACATCACTATGAGAAATAAATCTTGAAGGAGGAAAATACAAGTTTCATCTTGGTCAATTTTCTTTGATAAGTACAGGAAATCAAGGGGTTAAGGAGCTGTTACTGCACTGACAAAATTTGTCCAAATAATACTTAACGGCTTTTGGAAACTTTGGATGCTGCTGTGCAGTCTCAGAAATACTGAAAAAGCTTATCTCTGAGATGCCTCCATTAATGTACAGGATGAAGATGGAGTTAGTATCTCTATACTAATAGATATAAAAGGAGGGCCTTGTTTTATAACTTTTCACTAAGCTGACAGTTATCCATCTAATGCACTTAACTTTCAAAGTCATTCTTTAAAATTAATATTCTCATGTAAGAATGGGCTTATAATTGTCAGAAGTTTGAGGGCAGCTTGGACAATATATTGAGACACTTCTCAAAACAAAGGAAAACAAAAAACACCAAACAGGAGCTAGGCAGATGGCTCAGTGATTAACAGCACTAGCTGCTTTTCCAGAGGACTCAGATTTAATTCCGAGCACCATATGGCAGCAAACTAACTGTCCAAAACTCCAGTTTTAAGGGATTTGATGTCATCTTTTAGCCTCCAAGGGCACCAGGCACACAGACATACATGCAGTCAAAACATTCACATAAAACAATAAAGTAAAAATTAACAAACAGACATCTGTTTTTTTTTTTTTTTTTTTTTAAAGGGGTTGGTGTCCCTTTTAATCCCAGCACTCGGAAGGCAGAGTTGGGCAGATCTTGAGGCCAGCCTGGTCTACAGAGTGAATTCCAGGACAGCCAGGCCCAAACACAGATAATCCTAGTCTCGAAAAACAAAACAAAAATGGACATCTTAACATTCCCTGAAACACCACATGAGTAGCATTGGATTAAACTATATCATCTAGCCAGGCAGTGGTGGTGCACAACTTTAATCCCAACACTCAGAAAGCAGAGGCAGGTAGATCTCTGTGAGTTAGAGGCCATCCTGGTCTACATCCAGGACTGTTAGAGAAACCTATCTTGAAATAGAAAAACAAACAACTGTATCAATTGAATGTAATGCTCTCTTTTCCTTTTCTTCTTCTCTTCTTGTGGTACTAGGAACAAACCCAGGGACTAGTTCTTGCTTGGCAAGCGCTTTACCAGTGAGAAACATCTGCAGAACTAAACACTGTTTTTTTTAATCTAGGCTGGACCAGAATCAAATCTTCCTGCCTTGGCATTGTTAGAATGCAGATCAGCTTCCTGTTGAGGCCACAATCACTGCAGCAGCCCCTCCACTCCTACACATACCGACAGGTACCCTATCGATAGTGTTCGCTCTCTGTGAATCTTCCAGAAAAGACTTACAGGTTCTTGGGATTTCTTACTTGAGATGTTGAATGTGCAGGCTTGGAGAATACATCAAAGGGGTACTGGTGGTCATGTATCCTGCTCCCCACCTACTTCCCTGCCCTGTGCTAGACAAGCAGGGAGACTGGTTGTCTAGAGTCCTATGAGAAGGCCCACTCCTGATGAGCCTGAACTCTCCTTAGAGCTCCCACACACTGTTGAGTCTGACCATGTTGTTAACCTTTCTAATAAACTTTTTCTCCCGAACAACAGGCAGGTCTAAGCATCCCTCTTTAGCCCCACTTCTGAGACTGTACAAGCAATTCAACATCTAAGTGCTGGAATTACAGGTATGTACCACCATGCTTAGCTTAATAGTAGTGTTTCTGGTCATACAAAGCATGCCACAATTAGCTTATATTTTATTAGTGGTAACTTTGTAACAAAAAGATTAATGAATGTTGGCTGATAAAATGAAGTCTAGTTTAAGAGGCAAAATTACTTAAAATCCAACTTTTTCATAGTTACTTGAAATTCTAACTTGAAACCCAACATTGAATAAACACATAGCTGTTCTACAGCAAAGACTGCATGTACCTTACCTTAGAAGGGCTGCCATTGAACTTGTACAACAGAGCACTCCTGGGGGTAAGGCCTGATCCATTTTTGTGTGGTGAAACATAAATGGAATGCTGCTGGGAAATGCGGCGTGGGGAGCCTGGCTGCTGCTTAATATTCGGGAAAGGAGAGAGGGGTGGAGCATCCACCTAAAATAATCCAGAAATCATATTTTTAAGACAAAAGGGCCTGATAGCAAAAATTTGTTAAAACATATTAATGTTTTAAGAACTTATTTATGGCTGAAAAAGGGAAAAAAAGTTATTACTCATTGTTTCCATCAACTACTATTAATAGGTAAGCTAAAACTTACCGTCTTGGATCACCTGAGAAATCCTATAACTAGATTTGAGGAGTCTGAGTAAGCTGGGCACACTGGCATATTTGTGTATCCAGCTTACCCAGGCTCTGTCTTTCCAAAACAACAGCAACAAAACAAACAACTGGGGTAAATCACCAAGAATGGAACATCAGGAACATGTGGAACCCTGTGTTCATACTACAAAGGTCAGAACAAGGCTGGGGCTAGTTCAATTCCAAGTATCATTAATAAAACAAACAAACAAACAAACAAACTAAACTAACAAAAACCAACCCCTCTATCACCACAGAAACAAAAACTAACAGTAACCAAATTTCATTGACTGATAAAGATGAACATAGAAATTTCTGGGCAGTGGTGGTGCATGCCTTTAATCCCAGCACTTGGGAGGTAAAGGCACGAGAATCTTTGTGAGTTCGAGGCCAGCCTGGTCTACAGAGCAAATTCCAGGACAGCTTCCAAAGCTACTGAGAAATCCTATCTCGGGAGAAAAAAAAAAAAAAAAAAAAAAAAAAAAAAAAAAAGAATTAGAAAAGTGATGCCCAAGAAATTACAAACAGGATTAATGAAACATCAAATGCAATCCAGGATTTGAAAACTGGGTTCAATAAAGAGACACACTGAAGAAAGCTCAAGCTGAAGTGAAGATAGAATTCAAAATCTCAATATCCCAATTAGAAAATGCAGAGGAAAGTCTGACAAATATAACAGATCAAGTAGATGTTACAATATCAGGTCTCAAAGGCAAAGTTGAGAAACTAGACTATGCAAAGAATATATAAACATTAAAAAAATACAAGAAAGGTGTTAACAGGGTCCCAGACCTTAGTAGGCCCCCAGGCCTTAGCACAACTGACTCCATGATGGAAAAACCATTCAGGCTGTTAAAACTCAGACAGCACCTCTGCCAAACTAAAACAAAGACCTAACCCATCAAAGCCCTTAGGTATGCGAAAGTCTCTAAATGTAGTAATCTTGCTTTTTGGCTTTTTTAGTTCCTCTTCTAGCTAACTGTTTCTGTTAATTGATATATGTCAACCCAGGATATGGTTTCTGTGGTTAAAAGCTCACTCTGAGAAAGATTTGGTATCCCAAACACCCACTGTAGCCACCGGCTGGCCAATAAAGACTTTCTATTGGCTTAAACCTATATATCTAAGTATTCTTCTTTGATGAATACCCCACAACAAAAGGATTATGCAGGAACTATAGTAAACCATGAAAAAAAAAAAAAAAAAAAAAAAAACCAAATCTTTGACGAGAGACATTGAAAAGAATCTAGGTCAAGGGCACAGGCTAGATCTTTAACAAAATGAGAGAACACTTCCCCAAATTAAGAAAAAACACACCCATACATGTGTAAGAAGCATATAGAACCCTAACTAGACAAGACCAGAAAAGAAACTCCCTAAGACATATCATAATTAAAACATTAAATACACAGGAAAAAAACCAAAGTATTCAAAGTTGTTGTGTGATATTTTGTGTTTTGACAAATAAAGCTTAATTTATCCAGGTACCTTATAAGCACAATTGCCAAATGACAGGTATCCCCAAGGCTATGTAAGAGCTGACTGGATTCCTGTGGAAATGTTAGATTTGAGGAGATTTAAGGAAGTAATAGTCTCATATGGCATGCATTCACCTTTTGTGAAGCAGATACTAAATTCATGGTCAACTAGTAACAGAATTATCTCATCAGGCTGGAAAGACTTGGTTACAGCAGTATTGGAACCTGGTCCTCAATTACAGTGGGAAACCTGGTGGAAAGATGAGGCTAGGCTCATTGAACAACAAAGTAGGGCTAGAGATATTGACCAACTTCTTGGAGAGGGCGATTATGCTGATGTACAAAGCCAGTCTATATATGATGACCACATTTGGTTCTATCTATGCTGTGCAGCAGCTCTGAATGCTTGGGGCAGAACTGAAGAAGCTGGAAAGAAAATGGGAGTCATTTATTAAAGTCATACATGGCCAAAAATAAACACACTGTCTTTTATGAAGACTGACTTCAGCTGTAAAAAAAAAAAAAAGGTACCAAATTCAGAAGCTAGACTAATAATAATCGAATCTTTGGCTTTTTAAAATGCTAATTCACAATCCAAAAGGGAAATCAGGCCTTTAAAGGCAGTATCAGCACCCATAAAGGAATGGTTCTGAAATACAGTCAATATTGAATCTCATAACCATGATGATGCTTGTATAGTAGAGGTGATTTCTGGAGGCTTGAAGAAATGTCAAGTGGCAAACAAGGTCACTTAAAAATGAATTGCAAACAGGGTATTCCTAGAAACAATGTTTCTTCTAATCCAAAAGGAAGGCCCTTGCCTTCTGGAGTGTGCAAAAGGTGCAACAAAGTCTGATATTGGACCAATGAATGCAGATCAAGTAGGGACAGTCAGGATAATCCTTTGCCATCAGGAAACACAGCCCCCCCCCCCATGTCAACTTTGGTTAGTCATTCCCTGTCACTGTGGGGGAAACTCCTCCACTAAGCAATTAAAGAACCTCATGCCTATTGTAAAAAACACACTGCTCTGGATGACAGAACAGCTTTAGGAGATTAAAAAAATTTTTTTTCAGGAGAAATCATAAAGCAAATATGATAAACATTAGATCTGATCAAGAGAGACCTCTTGATTAGAAGAGGTGATATTTCACCAAACAATATGACCATTCAATCTAAACTAACTTATAATAAGACTAACAAATGCCTTTCATTTGATCAGATATAACTTGGCAAAAGGGAACCTCCCCAAAGTTAGGGTTGGAGAAGGGTTTTGTTTTTGTCTTTCCAGGAGAATGAAGGCATCCAGGTAAGGAATCTGAAGACCACTGGACAAATGAGACATCTGGAGAAAAAGGACAAATCATTCAGAGATAATGTCCCAAGAAAAAGAGTAAATTGGCCTATTGGTATATCACATTATAAAAATTTTATAAATCGCTCCAAATGTTTGTTTCTGCTTTTCTCTACAGACATATAATGCAAATGGTCTTTGTTGTAGTCCCAAAGCTGGCTTTGGAGTTAGAGCATGGCTCTCTCCTTCTCTAAACCATGCATACTAATTAAAAAAAGGAAAATCCAAAATCTCTCTCATGTCAGAAGAGCCACCTGATATGGGACAGAAGAAAAAAAACAAAATTAAGAAAGTATTCTATTACACTACTCTCATAATTTTTTGGTTTTACTTTGACTCTTTAAAATTTTTCTTAAGGTATAAATATCTCAAAATTTGTAAAATTTGTCAGACAGCAGTGGTGCACTCCTTTAATCCCAGCAGAGGCAGAGGGCAGAGGGCAGAGGGCAGAGGCAGGCAGATCTCAGTGAGTTTGAGGCCATCCCGGTCTATAAAGTGAATTCCAGGGCAGTCAGAGCTGTTACAAAACAAAACAATATATATATATATATATATATGTGTGTGTGTGTGTGTGTGTGTATTTATATGTATTTATATATGTATTATTTATATTTGTCATGATATTAATGGTCATATAGAGTACTAATTCTAGAAAAAGGCTTCTAGTTTTCTGTATGTTATTTCATGTTTGAGTCTCAAATCAGATAACTAGCAATTAAGTTTTTATACCTTGGATGTACATAACAAATTAACCTATTTGAGATCTGCTGCATATGACATTTAAAATGTTAAGTTTTCTACAGTGAACTGTGACCATGCCTAACAACAACTTTTGAAGTCTCCAAAAGGAGGATGGGGCCCTACAATGACAATTCCACCAAGACCATGGTATGGCCACTAAGCTGACAAACTCCACCCAAAGATCAGCTTTGAACTACAAATTCTCAGGACAATTTCAAGTGACTAGCTGAGATGGTTCAGCCTCACAGAATACTCTATTTAGGACTTGAGATAAGCCCTGCACTTTCCCATTAAAGAGACTGGACAACAAATGATACAGCTAGGTCTCCCAATACTTGATAATTATCCCAATTTTTGTTTCAGGGTCCCTTAAAGATGTTGCCACCCCCAGACAGCAGGAAATAATTTTAAGAACATGACACTCACATTCCCAAGAGGTAGGGTGGGTGGATTTGGGTTTTTCAGTGGATTATGGATATTTGTTATCATTGGGGGGGGGGTTGATTACAAGTTGTTATTGGTCATGGTCAGGAAAAAAGCTAAACAAAGGAGAGCAGATTCAGGGATCTTGTTCTAAAAGGAAAAACAGGGATATAGAAACAGGATAAAAGGCTAGATTATTGACTATAGTTTTACTCAAAAAAGCAGCTACTAGTCTTAAATACTTTATATTGATAGTGATGTCTGTGCATTGATAAACATTTGAGGTTATTTTCTTATACTGTATATATGTTTCTACTCTTGATTAAGATATTTTTTGTAATTTGATATAAATTTAAGTTTTTTTGTTAGAATACACTGTACATATGTTTCTAATCATGTTTAAGGTATTGTATATATACAGTGTACATATACAATGTAATGTAAACTTCTAGTTTATTATCATAAACTATTAAGATAATAAAGAAATGCAAGTTAGTAGTTAGTCACCTATTATAATCAAACTTGTAGTCATGTTAGGTATGTTTTCAAGGTCAAACATATATAGTTTAGATAGACAGGTGGTCTTCAAATACTTCAGAGACCTATAGAATATGGCACTTAAGATGTTTTAATAACATAAGGTTCTTTTGACAATGACACAATGGTGCTACTCCTGGCAGCACCAATCTACTTCAGAGAAGATGATGGATATCAAAGAAACTCCACAGGAACTTTCCTTCTTTTGCTTTTTTTGGTTTTTTGACACAGGGTTTCTCTGTAGCTTTGGAGACTGTCCTGAAACTAGCTTTTGTAGACCAGGCTGGTGTCGAACTCACAGAGATCCACCTGCCTCTGCCTCCCTAGTGCTGGGATTAAAGGCATGTGCCACTACTACCCGGCTTGAAGCTCACTTTCTTTGTAGCAAAAGTTAGTCACTAGGCAAGAAACTGCCCTTGCCTTGACTGCAGACAGTATGCTGTCCAAACTGGATAGGCAGGACACAAAAGAAAGTGATTGCTGAATTTTGCCAAGACAAGATGGGACAGTCTTTCAAAAATCCTGCTTCACTGAAGTTTGTCAGATATTCTAGGCCTGTAGGCCAAAGATGGATGTCCTAATGCTACAGAAGAACCTGGGGTGATGTCCAGGCAGCCAGCTATTTCTGTCATTTCTTAGTTTTGAAGTTGTTTGCTCTGCGCTTCCTGTTTACTCAGGTAATAGTACATCCTTCTCAGGTGTCTGATGGAGTTGAAGACTAGATAGTTATAGTTTTCCTTATTACCAGACTCAGAAAAGAGGTATAACATGTATAAGGTAGAGAGGCATAAAAAGATAGTTTTGGGTTGGTCATCAAGTTAGAATAGAAAGTGAATTAGGCACAATACTTTGGACACACTAAGAAAGGATAGATAATGGAGTATTTTCTCTGAATTTGTCAAAAGCTATGGACTAAGGCATTGCTAATGTAATTATTGCCTGTATATACTTGGATATAGTTGTACTTATTGTATATAGTTTTTCCATGTTACTTAAAACCTCTACTTTTTGTAGACAAATAAAGCTTGCTCAGAGTTACAGGGCGGAGCTAGCCACTAGTTAACCACAGCGATCCAGAGAGGAATCAGGAAGTGATAAAGTGGGCAGAGACAGGATCGAGGCCTTTTTGGATGGAGGAACAGTAGCAACTGGCAGCTAGTTGCTCCCCTGCTTCTCTGATCTTACAGGTTTTTACCCTGATACTGACTCCTGGTTTATAAGAGTAATTAGATATATGCATCAGAAAGCTGAAAGAGAAAAACATACAAGTTACATATAAAAGAAAACCCATCAGAATCATAGCTAACTTCTCAATGGAAATTTTGAAAGCCAGAAGAGGCTGAAGAAATGCAATCAAAAGTTCCAAAAAGCCCACGATGCAAATTATTGTACCCAGCAAAACTAACTGCCATGGTTGAAGGAAAAAAAAAATTATTTATGTTCAGGGGCTGGAGAGATGGCTCAGAAGTTAAGAACACTGACTATTCTTCCAGAGGACCTGGGTTTAATTCTCAGCACACATATGGCTGCTGTGTAACTCCGAGATCTGACACCCTCACACAGGCATAAATGCAAGCAAAACACCAAAGCACATAAAATAAAAATAAATAAATAATTAAAAAAAAGATTTATGTTCACCAAAACAACCCTAAGGAGAATACTGGAAGCAATGCTTTGGATTAAAAAGAGGAAGAAGCATAGCCAAGAGACTCTAGAAAGAAAACAAAGAAGGTTGTCATTAATGAAATACAAAGCACAACTGAAATTCAAACAGAAAAAACCAACAAAACAACTACAATCAACATGTAACTCTCAATAACAACTTAAAAATACTAATGGATTAAACTCTCCCATTAAAAGACTTAGGTTAGCTGAATGCAATAAGAAACAAAATCCAGGCCAGGTGTGGTGGCACACACCTTTAATCCCAGCACTTGGGAGGAAGAGGCAGGTGAATCTCTGTTAGTTGAAGGGCAGTCTGGCCTACAAATCGAGTTCCAGGACAGAACAGCTAGAGCTACATAATGAGACCTAGTCTCAAACAAACAAACAAACAAACAAACACACACACACACACACAACAACAAAAAAGAAAAACAAAATCCTGTTTCTGTTGTCTGTTGGTTATCCAATACAAAGTGATCAGTTCTGATCCATATATATAAATGCCACACTAAATGTACTCAGCAGGTTATATTTATATATTTATGAATGTTCTAATAATAAAGAAAAAAGAAGCTATCAATTTGAGAGGGGGTTGTGGGAAGGACTGAAAGTAGAAGGGGGAAATGTCATAAATATATTTAAATCATAATTTTTAAAATATTTGAAGAAAGTAGCAAGACTTAAAACTTACTATATGGGGGCTAGAGAGATGGCTCAGCGGGTAAGAGCACTGACTGCTCTTCTAGAGGACCTGGGTTCAATCCCTAGCACTTACATGGCATCTCACAACTGTAACTCCAGGGTCTGACAACCTCACAGACAGACATGCAGGCAAAACACAAATGCGAATAAAATAAATAATTTTAAAAACTTACTATATGGTCCTGATTGGACAAATCATACTTCAATGCAAATGACTTCACTCTTCCTACATATATTGTATTGTAGAATTTGATAAGATCACCTCTTTCCTCCTTCATTGGTTCACTGGAACAGTTGGGCGTCTTCGTGGCATCTTCTATGTCTGTTAAGAAGAAATTATCATTGTGATAGGTATTCTGTAATATTACATTAGTGACTTGGATTATATTCCTTCTAACAAAATTAAAAAGAAATGGAAATCCTTATAAAAAGTAATTAATAGTTTTAGAAAAATATGTATGTACACTTTACAAATAGAACTGGTAATGTAGGGGCCCAGCAACTGCCAGGTTGAGGTAGGAGGATCAAAAGTTCAAGCCAGCCTGGGATATACTACGAGACTTTGCTTTAAAAAAAAAAAAAATATATAATGTAGAAAAATGTAATTGTGTGGACTGAATGTGGTACTCTTCTCTCTAGTGACAGTTCAGAAAACACATTTCACAAGGGCAGTTTTTTAGCTCACTGTCACTGCAAACCTTTATTAAAGGGGAACCAGATCTGATTAGGTCTTAAGGAACTCTTCAAATGGGTGGCAGTAAAAAACCCCCAACTTCAGCCTACAGGCCTGTAGATGCTCATACTGGTTGTCTAAAGAAGGTGGAATGACTCTAAAAGGCAAGGAATATATTCATGGGTTAATAAAGAAGCAAAATGAGCCAGATATGGTGGCACACACCTTTGATGGCGGCACATAGAGTTCCAGGTCAGCTAGGGATATGTAGTGAGACCCCCCCCCAGCTCAAAACAAAAGAAAATTAAGATGAGTTGTTGTGTTATCTTTTTTGCAAATGCAAGGCAAGTAAGTAGTAGGGGTTTTGTTTGTTTTTGAGACAGTCATATTCTGTAATAGAAAATAACTTCAAACTTGCAGTCATCTTCCTGCCTCAGCCTTCAGTGTTGGGATTTAGGCATGAGCCACCACAACACCACAACGGGCACACATTCCTTTTTGTTTTTTTGAGACAGGGTTTCTTTGTGTAGCTTTGGAGCCTGTCCTGGAACTTGTTCTGCAGACCAGGCTGGCCTTGAGTTCACAGAGATCCACCTGCCTCTGTCTTCCAAGTGCTGGGACTAAAGGCATGCACCACCACAGCACATTCTAGGACTCTTGTTTTCTCTTGCATAACAGAGACTCTAAATTTGCTCAAGTTGCTTTCCTGTTTGCTTCCTTCCTATCTGTTGGTGTCATGCTGAAATAGATTCTCATTTCAGGCAGAGCTTTAACCTACTCATTATTTAGGGAAATGTTTACAAACTTCAGCTTACTTGTATTTAACAGCCGAGCTACCCCTCCAGCCCTTCACCTTACTTGTATAAAGATCACTTGTTTCTTTCTTTCTTATTCCCCGCCTGAGAAAGGTTTTCTCTGTAACAGCCCTGGCTGCTTTAGAACCAGATCTCTAGACCAGATTGGCCTCCAGCTCACAGAGATACACTGGCCTCTGCCTCCCAAGTACTGTGAGTAAAGGTGTGCACCACCATGCCCAGCCTGTTTCTTTACGGTAGTTAAGAACCCACTGCCAATTAAAGAAATTCAGCATATAAAAATGAGTACTTTCAACAGAGCTGAAACATGCCTTTGCCTTAGGAAAACCAGAAAACTGAAAGAGTTCACGGATATGCAACTCCTGGGAACTTCCAAAAGGGTTTCAGACCCAATTAGGATGTCATTTCCCACAGCAAAGTGCTGGGGATTAAAGTCAGGGCCTGCACATTCTGGCAAAGTGCTCTTCTGACCTCTATGGGCCCCTTTACGTGATACATAAATTAAAAACAAAACAAAAAACCAACTAGACAAGGGCTAGAGAGATAGCTCAATGGTTACAAACACTTTTTGCAGAGGACCTAGGTTTAGTGCCCAGCACCCACATGGTGGCCCGCAGTCCATCCAGTTCCAGGGGCTTTGACACCTTTTTCCAGCCTTCAAGGGCATTACACTCAAGTGGTGTACAGACATGCATCATCTATACATATTTAAAAAAATTAAAAACATAACAAAACAAAACCCCCAAAGTTACAGTTCTTAGAATAAAATAAACAAACTGCATATTTGGCTCTGCTATTGGAGATGCTCTTTTGTCATGTGGTACCCTGCACAATTCAGACTTACAGAAACTCCCCCATCAACAAGAAGGCCTTTACCAGAAATGGTTCCTCAACTTTGAGCTTTTCAACTTTTAGAAGTGTAAGATAAAAATTTCTTGTTTTTTCCTTAACTATACAGTTTCAGGTATCTTGTTATAGTAACAAAAATAAACTCAGAAACTTGTCTACATCCCAAGATGATAAACATTTGAGGAAAGAACATAAGGAAAGCATTATGGTCTCATGGGGACTGTTTGGGACACGTGTCGGGGAAAGCTAACTCCAGCTTCTTAAGGGACTGCTCAATGACCGCAGCTGGTGCCTTTGTACAGACTGTCATTAGTCTTTAGGTTCAAAAGACTCAAGACTATGATCCTTGCTGCTTAAAGATGATGAAGGCAGAGGCCAGGGAGATGGCTGCTGGACAACTAATAGTCACTTGGGTGCTCTGAAAGATCATTTTGCACTCTTGACCACTAAGTCATCTCTCCAGTCCCTATGCATGCTTTTTCAAAAGTAAATTTTGGGTTACAGCTATAGTTCAGTTGGTGTAGTGCTTGTCTAGCATATACCAGGTCCTGGATTCAATTCTCAGCACTCCATAAACTGCATGGTACTACACACATTTAAACCAGTACACAGGTGGTGGGAGAATCAGAATTGCAAGGTCATCCTCTGATACACAAGGAGTGTGATATCAGCCTGGGCTAGACATCTTGTCTCAAAAAACAAAAGCAAACAAATTCCACAGAATAAATAGGCAAGGAATCCAGTGGCTTTTGCTGTTCTACCTGGTTTATTCTTTTATGTATTTCACACTGCCTCAGGAATAATGTGCTTAAGTAAAAAGAGGTAAATGTGGCCTACAAACCCGACACTCAAATTCTGAAAGAGTATTAAATGGTTTACATCTGAAATGTCCCCTATAAGCTCACAGTTAAAACCCTGATTCCCAGCTGGTGGCATTATTTTGGGACACAGTGGAAATTTTAGGAGATAGGACCTAGGTAAAGGAAGAAAGTCCCTGGAGGTGGGCTTTACAGTTATAGGCAGTCCAAGGCTCTCGCTGTCCTTCCTGTTACTATCTATCCACCATGATGTTTAGCTCCTGACAATCCAGAAATAATGGAGTCAGTTAACCATGGAACAATAACCCTGAACCCATCATGTCTCCTTTCTTCCTTCCTTCCTTCCTTCCTCCCTCCCTCCCTCCTCCCTCTCCCCCTCTCTCTTTCTTCTCTTCTTTCCTTCCTCCTTTCCTCTCTCCCTTCTTTCTTTTAAATGGTTTCTCTCAGGTGTGTTGCTACCACAAAAAAACTTTGCACTGTTGACTGAGATCCTCAAAGTTTAAATTGCAGTACACCTGTCTGTTACTTTACTTGCTAGGTGATATATTCTAAAAGCACTTCAGGAGAAGGCCTTTGTTTTGGCAAAGGGCCAAGGGTATGGCCTATCATGACAGGAAGTCACAGAAGCCACATCCACAGTCAGATGCAGAGAATGATGGATGTACACACTCCATCATGCACTCCAGGACCCAGTGAACCTCTGTCTGACAATCACTCCCAATTGTGCCTGGAGGTGATTCCAGATCTTGCTTACAATGAACAATGACCAACCCAACACTATAATGAACAGAGCTGTGTAATTTAAAAATTGTCTTTAGGTCTGAGAGTGTAGTGCAGTGGTAGAGTGCTTGCCTAGCATGCTTAAGGCTTTGGGCTTAATCTCCAGCAATACAAGAAAAAAAGTGTGTGTGTGTGGCGGGGGTGGGGGGGGTGGGGGGGGTGGGGGGTGGGGGGTTGTAGAGATGAACCAGATAAAAGCATGTACTGCTTTTGCAGAGGACAGTTTGGTTCCCAGCACCCACATCAGACAGATTACAAATGCCTGTAATTCCAGCTCAGGGGACCCCAAAGGCACCAACAGTCAGTTCCTCTCTTCTCTTCCTCTCCCCCCCCACTCTCTCTCACTCACACACACACATACACACAAACCACACAAAAACAAATCTTTAAAAAGAGTGAGTGTATTGCTCATTCCTCCTACATTATGAGTCCACGTTATCTGATACCTACTAAATTGTATACAATGTAACCAAAGATTTATTATTTATAGCATACTAAGTTGGATAGCTTACCACCATCTGTCATTTCACAATCACCACTGTATGCCACAACTTCTCTTGGAATACTTTTTAAGAGAACACTCCTATATACCTACAAGCCAGAGGGGGAAGGATCACAAAGTCACAAAGAGATACAAATCAAGCAAAATCCAAACAACAGCAAAATAAAGTCAGTTAAGAAATAATTCTCATATGGGTTATCATCAAGAGTTAAAATTGGCCAGGCAATAGGTCATACATCTTTAATCCCAGCACTCAGGAGGCAGAAGGAGGCAGATCTCTGTGAGTTCAAGGCCAGCTTAGTCTACAAGTAAGTTTCAGGACATCCAAGGCTACACAGAGAAACCCTATCTTGAAAAAACAAAAAGAAAGAAAGACCGGAGGTGGGGGGAATGGGGAAGGGGGGGAAGGTTGGTTGGTTATTAGTAGTCAAGTGTTGTGGTGTACACTTTTAATCCCAGCACTCAGGAGGCAACAGGCAGATCTTGGTGAATTTAAATCCAATCTGGTCCATATAGTCAGTTCCTGGTCAGATAGGGCTACATAGTGAGATTGTCTCAAAAAAACAAAACAAAGCAAAATAAAACCCAACAAACAATGAAATTTTATTACATATATCTTTTGCTAGGTTTTCTAGTGAAAAAAAATCTGTCCTCCTAAAATAAACAGAAGTTAGTTACTCCACAATTTGTGAGAATATATGCATGATATGGATGAGTCAGAAAGAGTCAAGATTTCCTGGCTTCTATTAAACAGTCCTTTAACAAGCCTATTTCTTGGGGGCTGGAGAGATGGCTCAGTGGTTAATAGTACTGACCACTTTTCCAGAGGACCCGGATTCAGTTCCCAGCACTCACATGGAGGATCATAACCGATTGTAACTCCAGTTCTAAGGGACCTGACACCCTCACACAGATGTACATGCAGGCAAAACACCAATGCACATAAAATATAACACCAATGCACATAAAATAAAAAAAATAAACAAAATTTAAAAAAACAAAAGAAACCTACTTCATGAGTTTACTAACCAGAATATCCAAACTACAGTAAAACAATCAAATAACTACTTTTTATGACTTGTCAGTAAAGAAATGGCACACAAATCTATTTTTGGACAGTAAGAAAAAGAAAATGTAACTTACATGACTATTAGCTTGTGGCTGATTCCTATAACTTTTCATTATTTCTTGAAAAGTTCGTTCTTCTTTTGTTACCTAGAGAATAAAAAAAAAAAAAATTACATTTATCAACTGCTTTTGAAAGAAAATGGCTCTGAACAAACACTTCAATTATAGTTTGGTATTGAGAGCAGGCCTGCAGAAAGCCATTAACTCCAGGCCAATCTATGACTAAAAACCACAAACCATTATGATTTTTGCTACATTTAAAGTTCAGTCTTTGCAGCCTGTGGGGACACAGTTAACAGTTTCATTAATCAAAAAGCACTAGACCTGGCATGATAGAACTATAATGAAAATGAATTTTACGAAAAACAGGAGAATAAAACAAAGACCTGTTGAACCTCCTGCAGTCTTTGGTTTTATTACTTTTAAGAAATAACTTACAAGTAAATTAACTACTCACTATTAGACAGAAAATGTCTTATAGTGATTCATAAAAGAACTGAGTAGTTATTACAGGATTAGATTTTGAACGTTTTAAGAGACAGTTTGTAGGAGTTCTAATACTTAGAAGTCACAGTAGGCCTAAGGAAAGGAAACAGACTAGTGACCCAGAGGAATCCCTTCTGTTGTCTGTTATTATAACATAGGCTTCAATTTATTCTTCTCTGAATTAACACTGAACCCATTTTCTATAATGATAACTTAGAAGTGGAAAAGCCTCAATTCTAACAGATTTTTGGAAAAACACAAATGATTTTAATGAAAAACATTTATTAATACTTTGTATAGAGATTTTTTTATTTTTATATGTATGAGTATATTGTCTACATGAATGCTTATGTTCCAAATGCATGTCTGGGGGCAAGGCAGCCAAAAGAGGATATCAGATCCCCTAGAACTAGAGTTACAGGACATTGTAAGCAGTCACGTTGGGTGCTAGGAATTGAACACGTGTCATCTTGAAAAGTAACCAGTGTTTATATCCACTGAGACATCTCTCCAGCTCCTATATATCGATTTTAAAGAGGTATTAGACAGGAAGGTCACAAGAGAGTCTGGGAACATACCCTTTGCCTCAAACACTTAAAAATCAGGTCTTAAAATTATATACACTGGCTAAGATTGCTAGTTTGGCTAATACATTGTCAAAATAGAAGTTTAAATTATTTTTCTCATACATGTCAAATTTTTAAAAAAACAAACAAGATGGTCTATTTTGTGACCTAAAACATGGTGTAACAACTGAAAGCAAAAACTATTTGCAAAGCAGCATGATTTAAATCAAAGAAAAGCAATATAGAACAGAGGCATCCTACACCAGATTACAAATGAAGAGAGCCCACCTGTGTTGCCACTTACTGGGTAACTTTAGCCAAGGCATTTTCCATTCTGGGCTTTACTCATCTGAATGCAATGTTCATTTTACCTTTAAGTCTTACATCAGAGATGTCACAGGTAGAGGTAGAAATGTGATATTCAAATTTCCCACTCCCTTTAAGCCACTGTATTCTTTTTAAAAACTTAGGATTTCATGTATGGTTATAATGATGGTGTATGTGAACTCAGGAGCATATCTGGTACAGAACACGTGAACATCAGAGGACATTACTCAGTAGTCAGTTTTCCCTTTCTCCTCTTCCACTGTGGGTACCAGAAATCAAATTGAGGCTATCAGGCTTGTGTGGCAAGCACCTTTAAGCACCTTTACCCAATGAGATAGCTCACAGGTCCACGGTAAACTGTAGTCTTATTGAGTGGGAAAGCTGATAATTATGAAACTTAAAGGAAAGTCCAGACAATGTAATAGCTTGAAATTATTAATTATAGTAAACAATATTGGCTTGTAGCATAAAAGGAAAATTAACAATCAAGTTCAGCAGCTTTTTATGGATGCTTCAAGTTAAGGCAACTAGGGCAAAGACCTTCTCCCATCCTATACATACTTTTGCCATGATGTAAAACGCACACAGAAGGAGCTGATCCAAATGCCTATCTTTCATTAAATCAGGGCAGTGAACTAAAGTGAATTCAAAACATGTCCAGATCTTCCTTCGTAACTCATTTGAAACATCAAGTTTTAAACATAAATCACGTAAGCGCACACTTGCCAAATGATAGACCTAAGATAGAAGAAAACAAATTGTTATAAAACAAATAATTTCTCAAGTTTTTATGTCTTACCATGAATATGGGCTTATAGGCCAAGGTTTAAAAGCATGTAGGCTGTTAATTATCAAGTCATCAAAATTTCCCTGTTTTATAGCAATCATTCACTGCTGGATAGAGAGTACAGATGAAAGCAAAATACTCTTTGGAAAATTCCTTTACAGTGTTTTTTTTTTTTTTTAAAGATCATGCCTATAACTCTATAATGCCAACATGTAAACTAAGGGGAAGTAAAAGCAGGGTTTACCTGCATCCTAACTATTATGACTTCAAATTTTTTCAAGTGTTCAGAAGCCCCTGTGTATTCTCTTTGGGTTGGAGTAAAATTGCTGGAATGTTTACTATGCCAGGTAGTAAAGATCTGAATTTTTCTGAGCCTGAAAATGACTCAGGAAGCAAAATTATTAAAAACAAACAAACAAACAAACAGTCTCTTGTGGTTGGAAAGATGGCTCCATGGTTTACAGTGTGCCTAGTGCCTGAGGAGGCTACAAGAATGTCAGAATCTCTGGGATTGTAGTTACAGACAATTGTGAACCGCGACTGGGTGCTGGGAACTGAACTTGGGTCATCTGGTAGAGCATCCAGTATTCCTAACTACTAAATCATTTCTCCATCCCCTAAATAAACATATTTTTAAAATAAGGTAGGGAGTGATGAAGGAAGACATCCAATATTAACCTCTAGCTTCCATGCATATCCACACATACATATGCATGAATACATATTTAAAAGAAAAAGAACTTTTGTCAAAGCTAGGAACTTTTATGTACCAAAGAATATAATCAACAGAGTAAAAAAGAGTTAAAAAAAAAAAAAAACTGCAATGGATGGGAAAAAAATATCTAAAATCATGAATCTGAGGGTACTGCGCAAGTATGGTGCATAGATATACAAGCAGGCAAAACACCCATACACATAAAAATAATCTAAATGTAAAATAAAAGTGAATACACAATGCCCTGGTTCAATACTCAATACCCCAGTCCATAAAAAAGAAAGTGAAAATCCAAACTATGATGAATTACTACTCAACACTCATGTCTCTTATTAAAAAAAAATAAATAAATAAAGAAAATGGTGAGTTCTACTGCTTCTCTTCTGTGAGGACTGCGGCTTCTACCGACAATGCATATCTTAGTGAAAACTGGAAGTTAAGCCCAGCGCACCACTAAGAAAGTCCAACAAACCTTTTTCACTACAATATCTAGAAGAGCCTTTTTTGTTCCTGTTCCTGGGCTTGAGGGGACGTGTCTTAGTTTCCCCTTTCTTTTAACTTTTTAAAATGTTACATTGTACTATCAATAAAATTTGTGTATTCCTACACACACACACACACACACACACACACACACAAACACCCCAAAACCCACAGAAAATCCTTGTTGATAAGGAGAACAGTTCATTAGTAGTAAAGTGGAGCCGTCATGAAGAAAACGGAGTGGCATCGAGGCTGGGGGGAGATACAAGAGCTCCTCACTGAAGTGCTTGCTGTACTGTCATGAGAACTGGGGTTCAGTGCCCAGAACTAACTAAAAAGAAACAGGGTGTGGTGGGGTGGGAATGGGTGGAGCTGATGGGAATCCCTGAGACTGGCTTGCCAGCTAGCCTAGCTTACCTGGTGAATTCCAGATCAGTGAGAGGCTCTCAAAAAAAAAAAAAAAAAAAAAAAGAAAGGTGAATGGCACATAAAGAGTGACAGTCAAGGTTATTCTCTGCCTACAGACCCCGACACATTAAATACTGAATTACTATCTCATTTCTAGGAATATACTTGAACTAAAAGCAAGACTCAGTGTCAATACTACCAAAAAGCAATAAACAAAATGTGCATATGTACACAGAACTATTATTCATTCAGCTTTACAATGGAAAGAAATTCCCACATAGGCTTTCTCACAGATGAATGTTGAAGGTGTGCTCAGTGAAATAAGCCAGCCAATAAAGACAAACTGTTGGGTGACTTCACTCAATAGGGCACCCTTCAAATAGGGAGTCAAATTCATAGAGACAAAAAAAAAAAAAAAAAAAACCAGAATGGTGACTGTCGGAGGTTGAGAGCAAGAGATGATGGCTTTCTCTTTGACATGTAGTTTCTGAGTGGGAAGATGAAAAAGTTCTGGAGATGGACTGAGGCAAAGGTTGCACAATAATGTTAGTGTTATCTAGCTCCAAACTGTACACCTAAAAATTAAAGCTGCATATTTTAGGCTATGTATATTAAAAAAAAAAAAAAAAGTAAAAAAACGAGGCTAGGCTACCACTGCCCTGTATTCAATCTTTCTTGAGTAAAGTTAACTCTTCTCAGAGGCTATAGAAACACATACCTTTCTATAAAACAGTGCTAAGGACCCGGTTCTCTTGGGTTTGCTTATTCCAGTCAGATGAGCATCTTGTGCTTTAGTCAGATGGGTCTGTTTTGGAGAAGCACCAATTAATGACTGGGCAGTCAGTGATACAGGGCTCTCAGCTTTGCACTCCTGAGTTGTATTCATGGAAATAGGAACCAGTGTGATCTCTCCAGCATCATTGGCAACACCTGAATGCACAAGCAATAGTTCTCAGTTTGAGATATAAGCTCAATGTTCCCAGTAAAGTTGTCAGTTTATATATACACATATGTATGTCTGTGTATGTATAAGCATAGGGATATGTCAGGAAAAAAAGGCAGCTGTAACATAGTAACTATATGTTGAAAATGAAGTTTTGTTTTTCTCTTTCTGAAACAAGATCATGATTCATTTTGATAATTTTATTTAAAGAAACAAATTTTGAGTAGGAGGCTATGATGATTTATGCCTATAATCTCTGTACTGGGGAGTCTAAAGCAGGAGGATTATTGTGCATTTGAGGCCAGCCCAGATACAGGATTCTATCATTCTTGCTGTGAACTTGTACACCTTGGGCATAGCCTCAGGCAGATGAAAGCAGAAAAAGGGAAGTTTGAGGTGTGGCTTTCCTTTGGGCAGTCTTTCTGGTGGGTCAGCAGATTGGGTAAGAAGGGCAGAGAAACGCTCCCACAGTTCTTTGTATTTCTTGTGTAATTGTTGCCCAATAAATGCCTATTTATCATTTATCTCGGGTCTAGTGAAATAATTACATCTTTGCCTTCACATGGTGAGTTAAAGCCAGCCAGGTATAGAGGCCCTGTCTCAAAAATAAACAGACAACCAAAAAAAACCTTGTCCTTTATTTTGTATGTGCCTATGATGATTTTATATGTCAATTAAAACTTTTAAAAACATCCTTTACTTATTTTGTTTATAGGGAGGAATGTGTGTATGTGCCATGGTGTGCGTGGAAGACAGAGGACACCCTGCAGGGGTCAGTTCTCTCCTTCCACCATGTGAGCTATGGGGACTGAACTTGGGTTATCAGGCTTGTAGGAAAGATCCTTTAGCTGATGAGACATCTCACTGGTCCTACTTTAATAATTTAAAAAGCATATTTTACTCCTTTGTACACTTAAGATGTCTTTAAGTGAAAAAAATCTCCCCTAGAATACTAATTTATAAAGCTCAGATAATAAAGCAAATTCTAACAACAGAAAGGCTTATAAATTTATAAAAATGAGAAAATCTGAAAAGTAGTATAGGCTCAAAACAAAACAAGAGGTGGAGGACTGGATACTTTTAGGGCAGTAAGACCTATGTATGCCACTATGAAGGCAGGCACATGTTATTTTACATTATCAAAATACACAGAACGTAGAATACCAAGGGTGAACCTTGATGTAAACTGTGGGCTTTGGGTGGTGATGCACCAATGCGGGCTCACTGATTCTAAAGAAACATGCTGGCCTGGTGTAATGTTGATGCTTTCAGAGGCTGTGGGAGAGCAGGAATGAAGACAGGGAATGTATGAGAATATCTCTCCTCAATTCTGCAGTGAATTTTAAACTTCCCTAAAATACAGGGTCAGTTAAAGGAAAAGAATTTTGGTTTAAAAATAAAATACTGGGGCTAATAAGAGCATTTGTTGCTCCTGCAGAGGACCCAAGGTTCAGTTCCCAGTATTTACATGGTGGCTGACAACTACCTGTACTCCAGTCCCGGGGGAATATGGTATCTTCTTCTGGCTTCTGTGGGTATCAGGCATACTCATGGTGCATAGACACCCATGCAGACAAAACTCTTATGTACATTAAAAAAAAAAAAAAAACTTTAAAAAAGAGGTTATGTAATCCAATTTAGTAAGACATTTCTTCTTTTTTTTTCAAGACATGTTTCTCTGTAGCTTTGGAGCCTATCTCGGAACTCGCTCTGTAGAGATCTCTACCTCTGCCTCCTGAGTACTGGTATTAAAGGCATGCACCACTACTGCCCAGCACTTAACAAGACATTTCTTCAATTTTTATGTAACCCAAAAGTATAAAGTAGAGATAAAGATGTTACCATGCAAAGGAACTGTAACTTTCTGTCCTGTTGTCCCTGTTACTGTGGTTGTGGTCATTGTCAGCAGAGCTTGCCCAGGGGAAATTGATAAACTTTCAGCAGTAACACTTGAAGGAGCAATTTTCAGTTTTGTTCCTTCTGCGATGATCTTATCCATAAACATCTCCTTTGGTGGGTCATCTCCAAAAAGTCTCCTCTTAGCACTCCCTGCAGCAGGAGAGCTGAAGCGTTCATGGACAGAGATCGGAGACAATGGTTGCATATCTAACAAAAAGAAAAAGAGTTTAAAATCAGGTTTACTTATCCTATGCTAAGCACTTGAGATCTATAAGTAAACAACATGGGCTCCATCCTCATAAATATCAAGTGTAGAGGAAGAGAGAGACACAGTCATTACAGTATTAGTATGAGGGCTATCGCAGCTCATCTTTCTGGATTCCTGAAGTTCTGTCCATACCAGCAGAGGAACATATTAAGAATAAAGGAGAAGCTGAGAGGTAGAATGATGTGACCACAAATTCAAGAATTAGCTTTTATCTCCCAATATTATCTACTAAATAGCACCCAAGAAAAAGGTACGCACATACAAACTCATTTTGGGGTCATATTTTGTCACTCCCCACACTCCCAGCAGTTTAAGGCAGTGCTGAGTATTAAAGATGATACAGATCATCTTTAAATAGGTCCATCAGAAAACATGAGAAACAGTGATTCATGCCACAGCTGACTTTGCCTTAATTTGAGTGTCTTCTGCCATCAAAACCAAAGTGAGGATTATGGATTGGTGATGAGTCAATAAAGTGCCCATCATGCAACCATAGAACCTGGAGATTTGGAGCCAACACCCACATAAAAAAGCCAGGAGTGGTCACACAGGTTTGTGACCCTAACAAACGGTGAAGGGAGAACAGGGAAGGGCAGAGACAGGAAGATACCAAAGCTTACTGGCCAGCCTGCCTCAAGGGAAAAGGCATAGAGCACTAGAGGAAGACATGTGATGCTAACCTGTCACACACACAGTTAGGGACTAGGCCTCTCCCAGTGCTGTTTATCTGCAGCACTGCCTCCATCTTCCCCTCAGCGGGAATGAAGGTTCTCCAGACTGTTTCAATACTACATGTTCTTTTTTAAGGATGAAGAGATAATTTATTCTAGGACCAAATGTGAGTGACCACAGTCTAGGAACACAGATTTAATTTGTCCCAAATTCCATATTTCAATATGGTAACACGTTTATTAAGTTTTCATATTAACATAACATAGACAGTCATGAGCCAAAAGTTTTTTTTCAGATACATCAATGGAAACAGGTTGGTTACAGCAATGTGTAGCAATCTCTGCTGTAGAACTCTTCTGCTTTCTGATGACATATTCTATCTCTTTCTGTTTTTTTCTTTTTTTTTTTTTTTTTTTTTTTTTGAGACAGGAGTTTCTCTTTGTAGCCCTGGATGTCCTGGAATTCTCTGTAGATCAGGCTGGTCCTTAACTCCACCTGCCTCTGCCTCCTGGATGCTGGGATTAAAGATGTGTGTACCACTTTGCCCGGCTCTCCGACAGTATTCTTAACTTTCCAGTTGGTGAAATTACAGTTAAAATATTCTCAGGATAGTCCCATGGACATTGGGTCATACGTAGAGGTAGCAATAAATAGTAATTAAATGTTTTTGGTCACTATGCAGGCTAGCTTTATGTTAATTGACACACAAGCTGGAGTCATCTGGAAAGACAGACCCTCAACTGAGAAAATACTCCCACCAGACCAGCCCATGGGCAAGCCTGTAGGGCATTTTCTTTACTGATGATTGATGTTGGAGAGCCTACCTATTTCACTTTGGCCCATGGGGCCTGGAGGCCCTGGGTACTATACCAAAGTAGAGTGAGGAAGCCATCACTCCTTCACCTCCTCTAAATCAGCTCCTCCCTCTAGGTTCCTGCCCTATTTGAGTTCATGCCCCGAACTCAATGTGATGTGGAACTATAAGCTAAAACAAACCTTTTCTTACCCAAGTTGAGTTTTGGTGATGGTGGTTTATCACAGCAATAGAAACCTAAGAGAGTTACTAATAACTATACCTGTCAAATAATAAATGGATTTTGCCCTCCAAAAGTCAACATATTCTCAATAGCTCCAGCACTGTTCAAAAGTTGAAATCCAAAGTCTCCTTTGACTCAAGGAAAACTATTAGTTGTGAGCCTCTAAAAAACACTGTAATACAAGTTACATATTTCTGGGTTTTGCATCGCTTTTAGCTTTTGAGACAGGGCCTCACTATGCAGCCATGGCTGGCCTGGCACTCACTATGTAGACCAAACCAGACTGACCTTGAACTCACGGGGATCCACCTTCCACTGCCTCCGGTGTCCTCAGATAAAGCACCACCACATCCAGCTCAAGTCTAATATTTCTGAGATATACTCAATCCTACATCACTGTCCACAAGTTTTTCTTTTAACCACTTGCCTGAGCCAATTTCACAAGTATAAAATGTGCTTTTTTTGCTTTTGTGAATGTAAGGCAAACATTCTAACAATGAACTACAGTACCAACCATATATAATGGCAAGGGCATCTCAGTTATCTATTTTACCTTCAGTAGCTAATTAGTTAATCTACTTTCAAAGGATAGGTAATAAAAATTTCTCTGGCAATGATGTGGAGGTTCTGTGTTTTAGAGATGGTCGGGGGAGCAGCTAAATGAAAATCTTTCAGTGATTCTGGCTGTTATAAAATAGCTCTGCTTTTGTTAGTCCTCAGGACACAAGTAGATTCTTATAGTGCCCATGACTCACGAGAGTCTGTGGACCCGAAATATCCTTTCTTACTAGAGCACTTGCTTAGCATGGCTTGAGGCTCAGAGTTTGATCCTCAGGCCCACAAAACAAAATAAAAACTCACAAAGAGTAATTTAGATGATGCTTGCTGCCTTCCCGTTTCATTAATAACAGAGCATCTTTATTTCTGCCCTGGCAAACTGTCATATTTTTAAAAGTATGGATGGATCAGCTATTAATTCTCATATTAATTAAATTGAGTGTCTACCATATTTTTTCCAGTATTTGCTAAGTGACAGTAAAACAGATAAGGTTTTCTCAACTACTCTGTAATTCTAGCACTTAGGAGGCTGAGGACAGAGGAGCATAAGTCTGTGGGATACACAGAGAAGCTCTCTCAAAAACAAAACGAACACACACACACACACACACACACACACACACACACACACACAAAAATCAAGAATTACATAATTCAAAAAGCAGAGTATGTCAATTGGTAAGTCATAAAAAAAAAAACAAGACTGCACCACAATCCTCCCATTACTAAGGCTCAAAGGGGATAATTTTAAGAGTATAGATAAGTCTTTTAGGGGATACAGCCCAGTAGCAGAGGATAATTTTTTAAATTATATTTTAATTCATTTAGTTAGGAGAATGGCAGTCCATGGTGCACAAGCAGAGGTCAGAGACAATCTGAGAGTTGGTTCTCTACCTGCAGCATGGGGTCCTGGGGACTCAGGCAAGTTGTCAGGATCAGTGACTATTTCTAATACTCATTCAATAATTTTGCCTCCTCTACTTTCCTCCCATCTCCTTCCTTCTTCTCCCCATCTAAGATCTTTTGCTATAACCCTGGCTGTCCTGGAACTCATAGAGATCTTCCTGCTTCTGCTTCTTGAATTCTGGAATCAAAGGCATGCATCACCAGGCCCAGCCCATAAATGCTTTTAATATGAAGAAGTTATATAACAGGCCACATAGAGGTATGGGTGAAAGCATTGAGCTTGTCAAATATTAATGAAGAAATCAGATGTTTTACTATATTATAGAGTTTGAAATTTTCGTCTTAAAAAAAAAAAGGGTCTATGCCCCCCCCACCCAGTATTTTTCATCAGTGTTATACCTACCCCGTCGAAGACTCCCACTATCAGTCCGAACTTCCTTCACTCTTGGATGTATTATTGGAGACATTGGCATCATAGGGAGATGTCCCTGTACATTCCCTCCATTTCCTATTTCAAAGTTATTTGGGAATATAACCTACAGAAAACAAAAGCCACTTCACCTTACAAAGACGAACCAAGTAATAGACACTTATGAGAAAAAGAAACCTTAGTTTATTTCACTCCCCTTTTCACTTCTTCATAAAATGTAACATTTTTCAATAGCTCCAATAATTACAATGTGACCCAGTAATTCCAGCATAGATAAAACACTATTCATAGACACCCAAGGGAAATCAAAATATGCCCATAAGAACTCATGTATGAATATTCATAGCAATATCTCCTCTGACCCCCAGACACAGGCTTTCTTTGTATGTAGTACTGGCTGTCCTGGAACTTGCACTGTAGACTAGGCTAGCGCGGAACTCACCAAGATCTGCCTGCTTCTCCCAAATGCTGGGATTAAAGGTGTGCCCCACCACTGCCAGGCCATTTTTTTTTTTTAATTTTCATATACTATATTTTGATTGGGTTGGAGGGATAGATAGTGCAGCAGTGGATTGTATTGACTGCTCTTCTAGAAGACCTGGATTAAATTCTCAGCACCCATATAGCAGCTCACAACTATCTATAACTCCAATTCCAGGAAACCCATGACAAAAACACCAAGTAAAAATAAATTAAAAAAAAACAATATATTTTAATTTCCCCTCCCCCAATTTCTCTCAGATCCTCCATACCTCCCTACCCACTCAACTTTAAGTTCTTTTTCTCTTTAAAATAAAGAAAACAAGAAATACATAAAAAAAACCCACAAAAATGAAAATAAAAATAAGTGAAAGACCAATAAGACAAAAACTGCCAATATAAAGCAAAATGAAACAAAAGTCCATAAAAATATCACTTTGTTTTGTGTTGACCAACTACTCCTGAGCAAGGAGCCTGCCCTAAAATGTAGTTGATATACCCAGTGACACTCTATTGGAGAAAAGCCGGTAACAACTGTACATCTTTTTATATCTGAGGTGGGACTCCCTGTTTATTTCCCCCTCAGTGCTAGTACATCTTTGGCTTGAACCTGTGTAGAGCATCATTCTGAACAGCCAAGAGAAGAAAATGTAAATGTCTCTCAAATGAAAGACGAACAAATAAAATGTGGCATATATATTCAATAGAGTATTTGACAATGAAAGGAAAAGAAAAGCAATATATAAGAAAGTGAAAAGAAACAAGACATCATGGCATAGCTATTTATATGACTATGCAAATTTATAGAGACAGCAAGTGGATTAGTGGTTGCTTAGGAAGAAAAAGGGAGATTAGAGAAAAGGTATAACCAAGTAGTGAGATTCTAAAGATGTGATGCCTATAAACCGTTATTATGTCTGTACATACCAATATATTAAAACTTACTCAACTGTACACTTTAAATGGGTGAATTGTATGGTACATGAATCTTACTTTCAAAAGGCTCATTTAAAAAACTGATTGGGTGGTGGTGGCGGCACATGCCTTTAATCCCAGCACTCAAGAGGCAGAGGCAGATGGATCTCTGAGTTGAGGCCAGCCTGATCTACAGACAGAACAGCCGAGAATACACAGAAACCCCATCTTAAAAAACCAAACCAAACCAAACCTACCAAACAAAAACTGTTATTAGCTTAGCCCTGACTTACTTCTTCACAGGTAGGAACTTTGCTTGCAGAAGCATGGAGAGATTCCCACAGTGCAGAATTACTACTCCAAGCTAAACTTTCCAAAATCTGCTCTTCAATGCTGTTCAGGTGTTTCACCATATCTCTGGAAAGCCCTTCCTCTGATCGGATCACCACCTCAATAACCTGGAAGGAAGTTGAAACAATAATGAGGTTAGACCAACAAGCAATCACTGGTCTAGGCATACAAACATGAATGACTTTAATTTTACTGTCATATAGAAGCACATTGGAGCCATAATTCTGTGAACTGCTAGTATCTGCATATATTGTAAGTTAAAATACAAGATGCTTTTAAGCCTTTTTTCCTTTCTCTTTGTTCTTTTCATTCAATACATCCTGACTGCAGTCTCCCATCTTCTCCAAGCTCCCCCAACCTCCCTTCTCCCTCCAGATCCACTGGCCTTCCATCTCCCTCTAGAAAATAATAGGTCTTCCAGGATATCACCTCAACACTTTTAAAACATTATCACATACGGGGATGGCATTAACAGTTAAAATGCTTTCTACAAAAGCAAGGGGACTGGAGTTCAGAACCTGGAACTCAACTAAAAGTTGGAGGATATGGTAGCCTGCCAATCTTGGAAGGCAGAGATGGGGGATCCCTGGAGCAGGCTGGCTGGCAAGACTACCTAAATTGGCTGATATGGGTTCTATTGAGACCCTACCTCAAAAGAGGACCATTGAGGAAGATTTCCAACATCAACTTTGGGTTTCCACACACACATGCTCATAGATATATGCTTGCCCACACACATGTAAGCATGCTTACATGTACCTGTACACACTATATACACAGACATGTGAAAAGGAAAAAAAAAAAAAAAACAGAAAAAATGAGATCTATGTCAGTGGGGGAGTACTTGCTTACTATGTGCAAGGTCCTGTGTCCTATCTCTAGAACCAAGTTAATTAAAGAACAGAATAAAATAAAATCACACACATTTCTTTCACTTTTTTTGGTTTTGTTGTTTGAGATGGGATCTCAGGTAGCCCAGACTGGCTGTGAACTTTCTATGTAGCCAAGGATGAACTTCTGATCCCCCTGCCTGCATTTCCTGAGTGCTGGGATTACAGGCATGCTTATAATCTTCATGTCTTTCTTTGTAACAGATAAAAACAGATCCAATGGGTATAAACTGGTGAATAGTCCAAAAGTGGTAGGAATAGTCCTAGCTTCCAGTGTAGTTTCTTTTTAATATACTTTGCCTTTCCCATATTGCCAAAGGACAGAATGAACTATTTGAAAATAGTTATATATTTCTTCTCTAAGAAAATACTGATTAGTTAATGCCTCTAAGAAAATACTGATTAGTTAATGACTCTAGTGCAGAGAGAGGGCCTACAGGCTCTGGAATGATAGACTTTCAAACCCACAGTAGCATTTGGGTACATGCTAAAGGAGGCAAGGCCTATGACAAGGAGAAAATCTGAAGCACTGAGTACCAGGTCACATTTGCAATTCAGTAATTTGAAAAAGAACTCAAACTATAAAATTTGGCTCAATTTACTCCTTCTTTCCTTTTATCTTTGATTGGATCCCCAAAAGAATAATTATTATCAGAACACCTCCAAAAATATTTTTTAACATTGCAACTGTGTTTTTTCAACATTAAAATAAATGTGTTTATGTAAGGTATACATACCATAACAGAACTGTGAAATCACCTTACCTTATAAAAATAAAATGGTTGCAAATCAAGAACTTCAATAATCCAAGGAAAAGTACGGGGTGAGCTATAGGCAAAGAGCACAATTTCCAAACAACAAGCCATCAAGGATCTATGAAATATATCTTGCTCTAAAAGAACCTTGGGGAAGAAAAAGATCAGAGTTTAGTATTTCTTAGTAATTTCAGCCTTGGTCCTTTTAGAAAGAAAAGTATAACCCAGTGGTTGGGAGATGAGGCAGAAAGATTTCTATTCAAGACTAGCTTGGGTTATAAACCAAGATGGAAACCAATCTAGACAGCATATAGAGAAGGGCAGGTAGAGAGGGAGAACGAACTAACTATAAAAAACAAACAAAATACACCGGGCGTTGGTAGCACATGCCTTTAGTCCCAGCACTTGGGAGACAGAGAGGCAGGCAGATCTCTGTGAGTTCAAGATCAGCCTGGTCTACAAGAGCTAGTTCCAGGACAGGCTTCAAAACTACAGAGAAACCCTGTCTCAAAAAACAACAATAACAAAAAGACAAAATAATCTGTAAAAAATTATGCTAAATTATCAGAGATAATAGGATAATTACAATATAGATCCAGTACTGTTATATATGTATAACACTCTCAAGCTGGTAAAGTTTTCCAATTCTATTTACTCTTGTTTACTATAGATTTTGAATTTAAATAAGGTACATGTAAATCTCTGCTTTGAAATGTTAACAAATAAAATATGTGATACTCCCACTGAGACAAAAATTTAGGATTGGTTTTCTTTTAAGTTAATTATTAAAAATACCAAAATATAATTATTTTGTCAGCATAAATGTTAACACTGAAATAGAAGGTGAAATAATAAAACAGCTAAAAGTTCAGGGAAAGATAAAAACCTCTTTTACCATTGAGTAGAAGATCTAACATGTTTTCAGAGTTTTTTGTTTTGTTTTGTTTTTCTTTTTTGGACTTTTGACAGTTTCTCTGTGTAGCCTTGGCCGTCTTAGAACTAAATCTGTAGACCATGCTGGGCTTGAACTCAGAGATCCACCTGCCTCTGCTTCCTGAGTTCTGGAATTAAAGGCGTGCACCACTACCACCCAACTATGTTTTCTGCTTTTAGAAATAGTTATTTGGGGGCCAGAGGAGATGGCTCAGTGGGTAAAGCTGCCTGACAACAAAGTTTGACAACCTGAGTTTGATCCCTGGGACCAACATAGTAAGATAAGAGTGAAACTGACACCTAACCTCCATATGCACACACACACACACACACACACACACAAATCACATTTTTAAAAAAATAATGGCTATTTGAGTCAGCAAGATGGTTCTGTGGGTAAAGTCTTTGCTGTGCAACCCTGACAATCTGAGTTTGATCCCTGAAACTCACATAGGGTTGGAAGAAGGAAAGAACTGACTCCACAAAGTTGTCCTCTGACCTCTAATCCTGCACCATGATGTGCAAATATCTGTACACACATCATATACACAACACTTTTAAAATTTACATTCATTTTTTTTTTTTTGCTTGAGCATGTGTTAGTAGTAGTAGTAAGTATATGTACCATGATATCCACTTGGAGGTATTTTATTGTGTGCTTCAGGGATTAAACTAAGATTGTCTGCTTGCATGTTAAATGCTTTTTACCCACTGAATCATCTTGCTGGACTCCAAAATTACTTTTTAAAAAGCTATCTATTGTCCTTCATTTATCAAGAATCACCAGAGATCAACAAGAGAATAAAAGAATGGAAACCCCATCTAGAATAAGTTGTCTGTAACTACAAACCACAGTCACAATAGACAAGCACCAAAAGGAGAAAGGATGATAAATGACTCAGCAGACAGCAAAATATTCAAATAAACCTGAGGACCTGTAGACAGATACCTTAAGGAGCTTGATATATGAAACCTGGAGGACACACAGCATCCGATGACATAGGCAGAATGCAAAAGGAGAAGGCAGCAAGGACTGACACAGGGAGGCAATTTGAAAGTCTACAGGGGTTAGAGTGTGGGAAGCTACACACAATCAGTATTCTAAGGATCACATGATAGAAAGTGTTCTCTAGAGAAACTGGGCAAGACTCACAGGCACTTAAGAAGAGGTGAAAGTCTATAAACTGGACTATGAGACAGTTTCCCTCCTTTGTCTTGTTCTATAACACCAACAACCAGGCAAGAGATTAGAACAGAATACCAACACGTGAAACTCTCATCACCTGAAACCACTCAACTTTATCCTCAGTTTATCAAATTTTTAGTGCCTTATTCACATGTAAGTAGATAATCAAGAATAACCCACTATTTGCAGAAAACTTTTCCTTGAAATACAGAACAAAACAACAGAAACATTTAGGAGACATGTCCGGCAATAGAGGAAAACATCAAAGAAATATAGTTTACCTTAGAGAATAAAAAAAAAAAAATGCAAAAATTTACAGGTATATGCTCAGTGGTAGAGCACTTGCCTCATATGCATAGGGTTCCGTGTTCATAAAACAGAGCTAGTGTTATAGCACAGTTGGTAGAGTGTGTATCTAGCATGCACAAAACCCTGGGTTCTCTACCACCATAGAAACTGGGTAAGGTGGCACATGCCTATAATCCCAGCACTTGGGAGGTGAAAGCATGAAGATCAGGATTTCAAAGTCATCCCTAGCTATTCAGTGAGTTAGAGGCCAGAGGCCAGCCTAGGTTACATAAGACCTTGTATCAAAATAATAATAATAACAACAACAACAACAACAACAACAATAATAAAAAAGATACATTATTACAAAGTTAACATCAATGGTAAAAGAAAGATACTAAAAAATTCTAGCTGGGCATTGGTGGCATGCCTTTAGTTCCACCACTTGGGAGGCAGAGGTAGGCGGATCTCTGTGAGTTCAAGGTCAGCCTGGTCTACAGAGCTAGTTGCAGGACAGACTTCAAAGCAATACAGAGAAAACCTGTGTGTGTACACACACACACACAATTCCAGAAAGAAGGCTGAGGCAATAGGATCAGGAGTTCCAGACCAGCCTAGGCCACATATCACACTCCAGGCCAGTTTGGGATGCACAGAAAGAACTATTTAAAAATATTCCTGAGCTAGAGAGATGACTCAACATTGGCAACTCTTCCAGAGGTCCTGAGTCTGATTCTCAGCAACCACATGGTGGCTCACAGTCATCTATCATGGGATTCTGATGCCCTCTTCTGGTACACAAGTATACATGTAAATGGAGCACCAACGTATAGTCCTCCGTCTTCCCTGAACAGATTCATCTTTCGCCTCTTGGAAGCTTTCAGATAGTACATTGCTGATCCAGTTCTCTTTGGTTTTCCAATCAAAGCCAATTCTTTCCTTTTTAATAACGCTTTTGTTTTAAAATGTTTTTGCCTGATTTCTTTCTCAGAAGACATCACCTGACTTGGAGTTAGCTGTTGTTTAAACTTGCTCACAGCTTCTTTTATGACTTCCATTCTGCCTTAAAATTAGCTTAATACACTTTCTTTTTTTCCTGAGTAAAGTAGTTCCCTTCAACCCTGGGAGGACTCAAAGGCCTTGCTGGTGACTAGGAGGGTAGATTTACTTACTGACATGTCCATGCCATGAAGTCTTCGTGTTTCCTGGACCATTACAGTCTCTAATATTTTATAATACAAAATTTCTGCCAGTTTCAATCTGTTTACAGCAAAGTCTGTGGGAAATAAAGAAAAGCATATGCTATTGAAATTGTGATGACAACTAAAGAGAAAAACTTTTGCCACTTTAGCTGAAGGGAAAGAATTTTACTTTGGGGGACATTCTCCATACTTAACACTGTGTCAATTTTAAATTTCTTGTCTTACCTATGTGAGATCCTGGCTGTTTATCTGTGGACTGAGTATAGTGTTGGCAGAAAGTCTCTCCTATTCCTTTCACTATTTTCATAATGTTTTCCATAGGATTCCGCATACAAGATCTAAAAAATACAAAAGGAACCCACTAACCAGGAAAAAAAACACAGATTACCAACATTTCTCAAGACTAGGATGTAGCTCAGTGATAGACCGCTTGCCTAGCACCCCCAAGATCATGAATGAACACACACACACACACACACACAAAGAGAGAGAGAGAGAGAGACAGAGAGACAGAGAGATTGGTGATCTCAGCACTAGTATACAAAATCATGAAGATCATGAGTTCAAGATCAGCCTGGGCTACACAGCTAAAGAACAAACAAAACTAAAAAACTAAAAGCTAATAGTTTTTAGTGGCTAGTTCTTTTATCAGTTATTATCTTATAAATCTAAAGCAAGCTTTACACATATAAAACAAGCAATACACAATAAAGCTATGTAGTCCCAATAAATTTCTATAATAAAATTAATGAAAGTAGTAAAATTTCACGTGTAAAAAATTATACATAATGACTACCTTATATATGTTATATAAGTACAAGCATGAGATACATCTTTGTGACTGGTGTATTTTATTTAGACTACTCAAGGCCGAGACACTGGTATATGATTGGCTTCCCTTCCTTTTAGAGGTTAAATCATACTTTATTCTATGTCTACATGTATTGTTTTTCTTTGGTTCCTTCACCTGTGGGCATTTTGCCTCCACATATTGATGGTTGTGAATAATGTTGCAGGAATACAATATACAAATACCCCTTATACCTTTCTAAATCCTATTTTCAGCACGTGAGAGGCAGAGATAGGCAGATCTATCTGTGTGAGTTCCAGTCCAGCCAGGGCTGTATATTGATGCCCTGTTTCAGTAACAACAGCAAAAACTACATAACAACAAAAGATTCTATTTTCAATTTTTTAGTACATTTTCCAAAAGTGGTTTAACCAACTCATACAATAATCAACTTTTACTCTCTGTATCTCTCCTGTTTTTTCTTTTTTTAGACAGGGTTTCTGTGTAACAGTTCTGGCTGTCCTGGAACTCATTTTGTTGTCCTGGCTGGTCTTGAACTCAAAGTGATCTGTCTGTTTCTCTTCTGAGTGCCTGCGCCACCACTGTCCAGCCAACTTTTATTCTTTATAAATATTACCGTGTGATATGGACATCAGAGGATGACTTAGAGAACTGGCTCTCTTTCAACCATGGATGTTAGGCATCAAACTCAGGCTATCAGGATTGTGCAACAAGCACTTTTACCTGATGAGCTACCTCACCAGCCCAACTTGTACTACTCTGAGAAAACATCTTATCATTTCCCACTATTTCCCAGTCCTCAACAACAATGTTCAAGGACCCTAATTTCTTCCTGTTCTTATTTTCTATCTTTTGATTTGAGGGTAGAGTGAAAGATACGCAATCTTGATGGACAAGAGGTGACTTCTCACTGTGGTCTTGATTTGTACTTCTCCAGTTAGTGATGCTTAGCACTCTATCATATTAGCCATTTGTCTCTCTGGAAAGATACCTGAATGTTTTAAACATTTAAAAAAATTATCTATTTATTACTATTGCATGGATGGAGGGGGATGTAGGTCATGGAGTATGTGTGGGACCAGAGGGAACCTTGAGGGAGTTGATTCTGCACACTATGTAAGTCTTGGGGACGGAACTTATCAGGTACTTGCTGAGCTGCCTTACCAGCCTACTTTAAGTATTTTTGATCATGTTATTTTGCTGGGTATGGTAGCACACATTTGGTGCCTGCTTGTGCACCAAATGCATGCAGTGTCCACAGAGGCCAAAGAGAGTCTCAGCCTGATGTAGGTACTAGGAATGAAACCCAGGATCTCCGCAAAAGCAGTAAGTGCAATTAACTGCTGACCCATCTCTCTGGCCCAGGAGCATTTATTATTTTTTATTATATTTATTTATTTCATGTATATGTGTGAGGGGGCACTTGTGTATCACAGAACACATGTGGAGGGCAAAGAACATCAAAGAGTCAGCTCTCTCCTCGCACCATGTGGATACCGGGCATCAAAATCAAATCATCAAGTTTAGCAGCAAAAGTCAAAGATTATGAATGTAGTCCTTCTGAGCCATCTCAGTTGCTCCGAATTCATTTTTTAATATTGTATACTATCTTCATTTTTCTTCTGCATAAGAATATTTTGTTTTCCCAACAACATTCCTTTCTATTCTTTACCTATTGGATGGTCTTTAAAGAGCATTTGACCTTATGTATACACACACACACACACACACACACACACACACACACACACGCACTCCCACTTTCAAAAACCCTGACTCTATTAAAAACATAATTGAACAAAGTATCTAATTTAATAAAACATTCAGGAAAATGATATTATACTTACTCAAAAATATTCACAAGTTGTTCACTTGGTGCATTTTTCAGTCCAGCCACAATACTCTGTAAACGGCTTACACTCTGGGTAGCTGAAGCAACAGGCGTAGTGACTGCCTCTTTTTCTTGTAAATACCGCCGTCCAGTAAGTGGGGTAGAAGGTGCAAATGACTGTTTCTGTCAGAAAAGGAAAATGTGTGAAATTATCGAGTTATTACCTCTGACTCTATATTTGATGGAGTATATGTCCCATCTTCTCTATTCATATTTACTTATTACTTTTCTTCCTTTTCAGGTCAGCCATCAGATGTCCAGCAATAGTATGCTAATGACATTTGTACAACAGAATCATACTTCATATTTGTAGGCTCATTTTACCTCATACAACATATCTAAAAATCTATTTTAATTTTACACATGAGGAAATAGGCACAGATAGTAAAAAATTTGTCTGTGCTAATGAAGTTAATGTAAGAGCTGAGAGATATGCTCCCACTCTCTGCAGGAGTGAATTTTCCATTAGCCTTTGTCCTCTAATAAATCTCACATATAAACATGGAATTAAGCCTTGACCCTCAACACTCCAATCTACAGTTACACAGTAAAGTCAGAAAAAAGCAGTTTGTGTTAAGTACAGGGAACTAAACTACAATTCTGAAGTAACATAACATAGGCTAAGCTGAAGCAATAAGCAGAAGTTTTATATCAAAAAACATATAAACCCAGGTATTATTGGAAAATGTACATAAAATATGACTAATAGCAAGAATAAGTTTAAAAGTTACCTTTCAGAGCTTTCATAGGAAGTATGAAATAGAAACTCAGTATTTAACTTAAAAGATGCATCTGCTGTTAGTAGACTTACACAGAGAAAAGACAAGTATTATTCAGAACTGAGGCCTGACTAGCTTATATTACCTTTTCAAAGTGTTGTTGAAGGTTGTATTCCACATTGGCCTCTGAAGTCAGTTTCCCAAATGGGGTGTCAGCAGCAAACTTTCGAGGTGTTCCAATTTCCTCCTCTGCATCTGCTCCCAAAAAGATCCTCTCATCAAAGTCACCCACAGTTAGAACATATTCCTCATACTCCTTGTTCACTGCTTTGCTGCAAAGAAAATAAAACGGAGCTGTGGGACAGACTCATCTCAGATGAAGACAGATCTAGCCTGCAGCTTGGGAAAAGTGATGACTTTGTATTTTTATTGCCTTTGCTTATCTAATATCAGAGGTTCCTACCTGGTTATGAACACACATGCTGGTCACAGCAATAACTTATCTTGAAGTGCAAGTGAAAAGAGACCATATATTTAATATTAAAACAGTGAGGCTAATTCCAGGAAAGATAGTATTATCTGATCACCAAGGAAATAGTGGCTTTGAAATAAGGGCATTCTCAATTGCTAATGTCGATTAATTAGAAGAATATATTAAACACAGATGCCATTTGAGTGTATTTCTGAATTCCCAGGGGAGTACAGTTGTTTCAAATGCCAATGTTTCTTAAATGTATCTAGCCAACAAAGCTTAATAACAATTCCATTCAAAATGCCATTAAATTGAGACTTGAATTTGAAGGAGTTACCTTGATATTTAATGTTTCACTTAACTAATTTCAACAAATCATTATCACCAGTCTGTGACATGCCAGCCACTATTTGTATTAGATATTTACCTATTGTTTTTAAGATCTCAGGTAGTCTAGGCTGGCCTCAAACTCATTATTGTAGCTAAAGCTGGCCTTGAATTTCTAATCCTCTTGCCCCCGAGTCCCAAGTACTGAGATTACATACAGGTGTGCACCACCACATTCATCTTTAAATACTTACCTGTTATCAGTAAAACTGGAAAGGTCCAAGAGACATTCACCTTTTAAAATCTGACACAAAAAAATAATTTAGTGAGATTTCTGTAACATTTCACATATGCATAACACATGTAAAAAGAATTACTAAAAATTCCAGAGCAGGAGCTCTTATACATGGTTCAGCAGTTAGCAGCACTGACTGTTCTTGCAGAGGACCTGGATTCTGTCCCCAGCACCCACATGGTGGCTCACAATCATCTATAATTCCACTTGTAGGGGATCTGTCTTCTCTTCAGACCTCTGAGGGATCCTCAACACACAGACACACTTAGGCATACACACAAAAAAAATTAAATAATATTTTTAAAAATGACATTTTAGACTAGTAAAATCTCTATCACAGAACATTACAACAAATTTAAAGTCAAATATTTTCGTCCTCTAGCCCCATCTTCCCAAATAAGTAAAATCAAAGGTTTTGTTTTTAATGGTGCTGAAAATTGAATTTGGGACCTCACTCATGCTAACTGAACACTGCGATACACAGCCTTAAAGGCAAATTTTCAAAATACTGCAAGATCAGTCTATAGTAGCTCTTTTCAAAATTTAAAAATATTTTCATTAATTTTAAAGAACTGCATACAAGGTATTTCGACCATATTTACCTCTTACTAATTCCTCCCAAATCCCCCCCCCCACCTCCCTCTACTTTTTAAAATAACCCATTGACTTGAGAGCCCATAAACTTGAGAGCAAGGTCATCCACTGGAGTGTGGTTTACTCTTCATGAGTCACACCATTAAAGAACACAGACTCTTTCTACCCTGAAGCTGTCAACTAACCACAGTTCCTTGGTTAGGAATGGGCTTTTCCCATCCCATACAAAAGTGCTGACTGGACTGATGTACAGGCAACCACAGCTGCTGTGAACTCATTGAATGATTGAGTGGAATGGTTCTGGCATATTCCAAAGATACTGTTTTGCTCTGGTCTTCCCTGACCTCTGATATCAGAATTCCCCCACCACTTTTAAATGATCCCTGAGCCTTGCAAGAGGATGTGATAGAGATGTTCCTTTTCTAGCTAAGCATTCCACTGACATTTACTCTCTGTACTGAGAAAGCATAAAAAAAAAAAAAAAAAAAAAAAAAAAAAAAAAAATTCACCAGGAGTTCTGCTGAAAAAGATCCATTAATAAACACTAGTCTATGAAAAGGAAAACTAAAATTACTATTACATGCTTTAAGTAAGCAAAAAGTTTAAAAGGAGAGCCAGATGTGGTGTATCACATGCTTGCAATCCCAGAACTTGAGAAGTAGAGGCAAAAGGATCAATAGTTTAAGGTTATCCTTGGTTCCACAGTAAGTTTGAGGCCAGTTTAAATTACACGAGACCCTGCTTCAAAAAAAAAAAAAAAAAAAAAAAAGAAAAAGAAAAAGAAAAATATTAAAAGGAAATTTAGGGGGCTAGGGTAGTTAGCTCAGTGGTACAGCATGTAATGCATGAAAGTAGCCTATAAGCAGTTATCTGCTTTATTTATATGGAATTAAATTAATAGTTCTAGTGGCACTTGCTTTAATACTTATGGCAGAGGCAACAAGACCTCTGAGACTTCAAGGTCAGCTTGGTCCATACAGTGATTTCCAGGACAACCAGAACTAGTAAAACCTACTGTGAAGAAAACAAAAAACAAAACAAACAAACAAACAAAAAAAACAAAAAAAGAAAAACAAAGCAATAGTTGTTATACTATTACAATGTTTTTAGTAAACAGCACTCATCAGAACTATTTAAGACAGAAAATCAGTCAGCTCACTCTGAACTCATGTTTTTCATAACCCTTTATTAGGAGAATGCAGGGTCTGTCAGAAACCCCTAAAATTATTGGCAATGCGTTTCCTTGACCCAACATATAACTAAGCACTTTCTTCAAACACTCAGTTTCTCTTGTGACTAGAGGGCAATGTTAACATAACAGCAGACACTGAAACTTGGGAATTGAAGGCATTGGATCCCCTGGAACTGGAGTTACAGGAGGTTATAAGCTACTGTTGGGGGTGCTGGGAATTGAACCAGATCTTCTGCAAGAGTAGTAAGTACATCCTTCTAGCCCCAGACATGGGGCATCTGACCATGGGTCCTACAATGTTCAGAAGATTCTGCTGACCCATTAAGTTTAAAATCCCCAAACTCACCACCGCTGATGTAATAAACCAATCAAACCAAATTAATAAATCCAGGTTTAATCTGAGAAAAGGCATTGCTGGGTGGCCCCAGAAGAGAGCAGGAAACAAAGAAGTGACCGCAGAGGTGGAGGCTTTTAATGCCCTGGGTAGGCATGGAGCAGCCAGTGGTGGGCTTTTTAGGGACAGAGTCTTACCGAGGCAACTCCAGGGGAGGGGCCCCTGCTTGGGGTTTGGACAGATCAAGCAAGACATCTCAAACAACCCCTAAACATCTTATTTAATTGTTAGTACCTTTTTGTCAAAGAGTTTTGAAATATATGGCTTGAAGTAATGCTCCTTTATTCCTTTTGCTTCTACTAGAAGTCCATCATGCAGATCACAAAGTACAGCAATGATACAGGGAGGTTCTTGTGCAGCTTTGAAGTCAGGAGCATGGAAATCAGATGGTAAACCTAGTTTGACAGACCATGAAGGGAACAGGAAGGATGAAAAAGAACAGTCAGTTTTTACACTTTTTCTAAGAATTAATAATTACTTTTTTAAAATAAATATTTTACCTTTAAATGATGGATTTAGCAAATCTCGTCTATTTGGGCACATAATAGCATTGGCAAAAATCAAGTCCAAGCAGCACAGAAGTAAATGATAGGAGTTTACTAAATCATCCCCAATCATACGAAAATTACCTTTATAAGAAAAAAACAAGTTAAAATCCAGGAACCTCTCATGTCAAACATACCAAATCCCAAAGTAGAAACGTAAGGCACTGAGAATGTACTCACCCTTTGTGTAAACAAAGAGTGTCCAGCAGAAATTAAAGAGATCCTTTACGCTGCAAGGAATCCTTCTAAAATGGAAACAAAAACAAAAACACAACGTGTTTTTTTGGTTTGACTAACTTGCTAAGCATTGAAAAAGCAAATATAAATAAAAGGGTCAAATTCTGTGTAAAACTCCACTCAAGGGGACAGATGACTCATTAAACTTATTTAATAATTTTGCACTACAAATACATGAGATTAAAGGTCTTACCTCTGCTTCCTGCTTCGTGGCAACTTTGGTAGTTCTTCATATGGATTTTGAAATATATCTAAAAAAATGGGCTCAAATTTTTTAAAAATTACAGTAGATACTTCAAAATTTCTTTCTAGCCTTTCTATACGTTCACGAAATTCTTGTGGTAGGTTTGACATGTCCATCCACTTCTTCATTTTACTAAAAAACTGTATTAAGCTTCAAAGAAAAGGAAGAAAAGGCAACTTTAAAATGAGCTCATATAATGGACTGAAAATGATGACACATTCTCTTCATAACTAAAAATCTTTGTTTTAAAAAACCTAAATCAATGAAAAAGCAAACAATATAAACCCTCACTCCCAGTGCTATGAATTGCACTGGTTCCCAGGATCATCATGGAGACTGACAGTGATCTTCTATGATGCAAGCAGATAGTAAAAGCCCCTATTTCTTTCCTCCTCTACACCTAGGCAATGATCTACATATAATTTATAAAGTAAATGTTTCTCAACAATTTATAGGTTCTCAAAGTTAGTTTGAAGAAAAATAAGCCTCCCAAATGGAAAGTTGTTTGTTTCTGGAGACAGGGTTTCTCTGTGTAGCCCTGCGGTCCTGCCTCTGTCTCCCAAGTGCTAGGATTAAAGGTGTGCTAAGTGTTTGAGTTCTAATATGTGGCATCTTCACCAAAAATAAAGTATGTAGATACTTAGAAAAATCATAGTAGATTATTATTCTACTTTCTCATAATGGGGATACTCTCTGTTAGGGTGGTCTTAGATTGAAAACTCATACTGTCAAAAGCTCACTTTATTAAACATCTGGTACTATATAGAGGAATAGTTGGTAATTTTTTATTTAATTTATTTATTATGTGATGGGAGATGTCATTCTGTAAATGTTTCTCATACTGGTTAATGAATAAAGCACTGTTGGCCAATAGGAAAGCAAGATAGGCAGGACTAGGAGACAAGGAGAATTGGAGAAAGTAGTAAGGAGGAGTCAACATGGAGAGACAGGGAGACCAGATGCCGGCCCCACTCCCCGGTAAGATGATACCACGCGGAAATACTTAGATTAATAGAAATGGGTTAATACTCAGAGCTAGCCGATAAGAAACTAGTACCTGGCCAACAGCATTATATCTAATACAGAGTCTCAGTGTGTTATTTGGGGCGGGCACAGCGGGTCCAGGCCGGCAGGAAAAACCCTACTCGTAACTATGAATACTCGTAATTATGAATACAGTGTTCTGCCTGCATGTATCCCTGCAGGCCAGAAGAGGGCACCAGATCTCATTATAGATGGTTGTAAGCCACCATGTGTGGCTGGGAATTGAACTCAGGACCTCTGGAAGAATAGGCAACGTTCTTCTTAATCCCTGAGCCACCTCTCCAGCCTGGTAATTTTTCTTTTAAGTTATCAGTTAATTGTCCACAGGTAAATTTGACTCATTTGAAAATTTTATTATGGGTATGGTATGTACTGATCTAATTTTTGAAGTTGTAATTCTGTTGTTTAGAGACAGGTCTTTTGTAGCCCAGGCTGGCTCTGAACTTGCTATGTAACCAAGAATGTTGAATCCCTAATCTTCCTGTCTTCATCACCCCAGTGCTGGAATGACAGGCTTTTGCCACGCCAGCCAGCTTTTACACGGTGCCTGGGATGAAAACTAGAGCCTCAGGCACACTAGGTAAGCACATTATTAACTGGGCTATATTCCCCAGCCCAACAGGCAACATTTTAAATAAAATCTACAATTACCCCCCAGCCCTCTTTTAAAATAGATTGCTCCTCATTTGAGCTTTGTCTGATGTTTCTTTATGATTAAATATACACAAGCTGCGGATTCTGAAATTGGAGAACTGCATACAGTGATTTTAAGTCTTTAGGACAACTATACACAGTGACATATTCATGCTCATCTCATTAGTGTTACTGACTCTGGTCATCTTGTCAATGTGTTGTCCTGTTTTCCATCATATAGTTGACATTTATTTTTTAACTTGTCACTACTATCACTCTGTAGATCTTAGTTCTGCCTTTTACTTGCTCCTTTGTCAATCACATAGGACTATTTATCTGGGCAGGGAACAAAGAAATGCAATAATCCAGACTCAGATAGGTAATAATGTTCACTTCTGGGGTACTGAGAGGGTTTGACTGATAAAACTATTTGAAATCATTTCTACTTCCTACCCCTGTGTATCCAGAATAGAAGAATGGCAATTATTAAGGCCCCATTCTGGGAGTTGGAGAGATGGCTCAATAGTTGAGAACACTGGCTGCTCTTCCAGAGGACCAGATCTCAATTCCCAACACCCACATGGCAGTTTACAACTGTCTGTACCTTCAGTTCCAGAGGATGAAACACACTCACAGAGACATACATGCAGGTCAAACACAAATGTACATAAACTAAAAATAAATAAACAACTGCAAGCCTCATTCTGGAGGGAATAGTGGTAGAAATAGTTCCAATTCACTCTAATTAAAAAGAAAAAAATTACAGTGGGGTGGTCGTGGCACACGCCTTTAATCCCAACACTTGGGAGGCAGGGACAGACAGACTGCTGAGCTCAAGGCAGCCTGGTCTACAAGGAGTTCCAGAGAAACCTTATCTGGAAGAAAAAAAAATTAAAAGATAATCACAGCAATTTTAGCTCTATGGAAAATTAATAAAGTCAAGATGATTAAAGAATCTTCATAGATCTCAATTTATGTCATTGATAATAATGAAAATTAATGTTATGGTAACTTTAAACTAAGCAAAACCTATCCACTGCTATAGAAACAATCTCATCTTTTTCTCATCACTGGCCATATATTTTTTTTTTGCCACATAATTTTTTACATCTTTATAATAACTGGCTGTTACTAACATTGTGGCTCAAGCCTATAATCCTAATAATGTCATCAGAGACAATGGCTATAGAAATATTCCTTATTAAAGGGGAATAAATAGGCATAAGAGAATGTAGCACTAATGCAAAATTGGGAACTGTTTTCAAAGAAAAACAATGCTACCAGGAATATTATTAGATCAACTAACAAAACTAGAATATAGATGGCAGATTTGAAAAATACTTTAAGTGTTAAGTTCCCTGACGTTTATAACTGTATCAGTTAATTAAGAAATACCACTAAAACTTAAAATGAGAGAAACTGAATCCGAAAATGAAATTTATGACTCTATGTGCATGTGATATATGTTTATGTGTGTGCATGCGTGCATGTATGCATGTACACTTGTTCATGTAGCTACATGTGGAAGCCAGAAAATGACACTGGGATATCTCTTTCAATCTCTTTTCCACTTGAATTTATTTTTAAATTTATCTTTGTGTATGCACATGTGAGTGTGCATACATGCCATGTCTAAGCAGGTGCCTGGGGAGGCAAGAAAGGTGTCAGAACCCTTTAAACTTTATATATAGTTCCAGGGAGTTATGAGCCCCGATTTGGATGTTGGGAACCAAATTCAGGTTCTTTGGGAGAACAGGAGGCCCTCTTAAACACTGGGCCATCTCTCCAGAACCTCCACCTTAACTTTTGAGGTGGAGCTATCACTTTGACTGGACTGGCTAGCCAGCAAGCCCCAGGACTGGTCTGCCTTGTTCCCTGGCACTGAAGCTTCAGAGCACAAAAACCCAGTACTCATGCTTCTATAGCAGATACTCGGCCCACTGAGCTCTCTAGCCCAAATTTAGTACTTCTAATGTTTTACCTTAATTTAGCTGAACGCAGTATTCTGGTCAGTGAAACACAGTTTCCTTCCATGACACCCTTTCCCACTGTAGGAATGATGCTCTTGCGACAAGCAACATATAAAGAACATGCCAGCCAGTGTATGACTTCTCCCTATAAGCAGATGCAAGAAAAGTACAGACACCTTAAAATGATTATACAGAAAAGGCCTTATAATTTCATCTGTCTAAGCCAAGAAGAAATAAAGCTAATACAGACTCAAACATCAGTACAGACTTCCACATTCTCCTCCCAATTCTTAGAACCAGAACATGAAAAATCAGAAAGTATCCTAAATTTCTAATTCTAAAAAAAGTTCCATTTCTTCATTTCAACTTTAGCCTTATTGAAAGAATTCTACTAAAATCTCTTTCTCTCCCTCTCTCTCTCTCTGAGACAGTTTTGTGTAGCCTTGGATGTTTTGGAACTAGCTCTGTAGGCTGGCCTTGAACTCACAGAGGTCTGTCTGGCTCTACTTCCTAAGTGCTGGGATTAAAAGCATGTGCCACCACCACCACCTGACATCTTTCTATTTTAAAACAGCAGTCACATTCTTGATGGTATTTATTCTGTCATTTAAGTTTTATGTTTCTTCTTAAGCATTTGGGCAGAGAAAAAAATATATAGTAGAAAGTTTTCAAGAGAGTCACATGTCAAAATATTAATATATTGATATATAATAATATATTAATACTAAAACCCACAATATGAATGAAAATGTCATTTTGTAAGGTAAAGATCTGGAGCATTATTTATCCCATAGTAAGTTATCTTTAAAATATTAAGCATAGTTTACCACCACCATAGATATCTCAGTTTATAAGCTATAAAAAAAAGTAATGATTGGTAATTCAACACTTAATTTTCTGCTCTTGACTTCAAATGTTTTCAAGCTGGAAACACTTCATGACTGGGTGGAATTAAGTCTGATGATTAAAAATTACAGATACAGGCTGGGCAGTGGTAGCAGAAGCCTTTAATCCCAGCACTTGGGAGGCAGAGGCATTTGGATCTTTGAGTTGAAGGCCAGCCTGGTCTACAGAGCAAGTTCCAGGACAGTCAGGACTACATAGAGGAAGGAAGGAAGGAAGGAAGGAAGGAAACACTACAGACACAAACACTAACATGTCTGCATAAACAAGACCTGAACAAGTATGACACCAATAGACATGGAACATGGAAGGAAGAACCTAGACAAAGAACTATAGGCAACCGAGGAACACTAACAGAGGGAGAAACAGCACACCAATTGGTTCTCCAGCATCAAATGGTCAACCTAGAAAACATAAACGTGCAGATTGAGCAGACTGTATTTATATATTTAGAAATATATACACACAGACAAACACACACATGTGGAACAATTAAAGAAAAAGACCATGAATTTGAGAGAGCATAAAGGAGAAGTACATAAAGGAGAAGGGATTAGAGGGAGGGACAGGGAGAATGATGTAATTATACTATAATCTTAAAAAAAGAGAAAGAAAAAAAAACAGTAATACTAAAAAGAATTACAGATACAGGACCAGAGAGATGGCACTTGCTATGTAGGTCTGGAGACCTCCATTTGATTCCTGGAACCCATGTAAATGTGGAAGGAGGAACCTGGCCCAACAGAAGCTGTCCTCCAACCTCCACACAGGTGCCACAGCACATGCCAACCCCCCCTATAAATTAAAATTTTATTTTTTTTGTGAGAGGGTGGGACATATCTCAGTGGTAGAATACTTAAAACAACAAAACAAAATCAAAGGTGGTTCTTAATCTCCAAATCTAAAGTTAAGAATAGAAACTATTCTCTATAATTGATAAGAATTTAGGTTGTAAGAATTGAAGAGAAAGTATGAAAAAATACAGTGTAGTAACTGACTTTGACTGGAAGTCAATAAAAACACTTCACGAAGGAAGTTTTAAAACTGCTCAATAGCAAACTGCTAAAAAATGTAAGTTGGGGGAGTAAAGGGAGAATGCCAGCAGGGGCTTGTGTGGTGGATTAGGTAAGGTGGATGGAGACTGCAGAAAGGGTTCTTAGGGGCGGTAGAGACAGGAAGATGCCTGTTCTCCAAGCATCTTTCACCAACAACTAAAAGAACAAACAAATACAGGACAGAATACTTCCAAACTCAATTCAAATAGTTATGCTTGCTTGCTCACTTTCTTTTTCTTTCTTCCTTTCTTCCTTTCTTTCTTTCTTTCTTTCTTTCTTTCTTTCTTTCTTTCTTTCTTTCTTTCAAGACTTTATATGCCTGTTTGCCATAAGAGGGCACCAGATCTCATTATGAGAGCCATTGAACTCAGGACCTCTGGAGTAACAAGACAGTGCTCTTAACCTCTGAGCCATCTCTTTAGAATCTAGATCATCAACCTTCTCTGGACTGAGTTTAGCATACTTAGAAATCTGAAACAAGAGTCTAGTTTGAGTGACTTGGTCACAGACTGTACTTATAATGCTTATTTAAGAAAATTAAATAAAGGTGTGGGAGATTAGAATGCTTTCTCAGACAGATATCTAAAAAACATTTTCAACTGAGATGACATTAAAATTTCCCTTACTTTTTTGTATAGTGTATGTCTGCATGTATGTGCACTTGTGTAAATGTGTTTACTCACTCACGTAGTCACAAGTGAAGGTCAGAGATAAATGTTGGGTGTCACTCTCAACCTCGGCCTTTTGAGACAAGAATAGCTCACTGAACCTGGAGCATTCCTATCCTTTCATATTCTCTCTGTTTTTCAGATATGTATACAGTGTTCTGTTTGCATGTATCCCTGCAGGCCAGAAGAGGGCACCAGATCTCATCACAGATGGTTATGAGACATCATGTGGTTGCTGGGACTTGAACACAGGGTCTCTGAAAGAGCAGCCAGTGCTCTTAACCATTGAGCCATCTCTCTAGCCTTGAAGAGCACTATTTTTTTTTTTTTAATTCAGTCTACTCTGCCTTTTCCTGGAAACAAGGTTGTCTCAGGTACTTTTCTCTTATATGAGTAGAGACACATGTACAATAGTCAACTCCCTATTTCCAACTCCATGCCTGTGAGTCCAGCAATTATTTCACTGGTAGCCAAGTCAGAGGAACAGTCTATATGTGAATTCAGCCCATGTGTATAATGAAAGCTTTTATAACATCCCATTCCAGCACTCCAGAAGATACCAAAATCCAAGGATGTTCAAGTCCCTGATTTAAAAAGGCAATGCATTTGCACAGAACCTATGATCATCTCTTGATTACTTGATGTAAATAATCATACTATATTGTTTGTGGAATGACAAGTATGTTCATGTTCAGGACAAATGCAATTTTCCCCAAATACTTTTGATATGCTGAATTCGCTCCCCTCCCCCAAGCCCATGAATTCCACTTGTACATGCCATCACAATTATACTTCTACACTAAGCTTATATACCTATGCAAGTTTCGATATCTGAGTGACTCTAGGCAAAACAATCCTGGGCAGTGAAAACACCAAGAAAACAGGTATAGTGGTCACTAACCTGCTATGAAGACATTATAAGAGTTAGTGCGAAAATCTAATAGTGACAACCACCATTGGTTTTATTCAGCGCCAGACCACGGTAACGACCTGGCAGAGAGGAACATGGGACTGAGAAGCTTTGTGTGTGCCGACTTTGCTCAAACCACAGTGGTATAAATGAACTCAGTGCTGCACCCTATGAGGCAGAAGGGGTGGGGAGGTTAAATGGCTCATACAACTGAGCCAGACTGCACCACAAACCGTGTCACCTTGGGTGCCAAATTAACCTCTTCCGACCCCGCCTTCTCTTCTGCGGAGTGGGGATCCAGAAGTGTTCCACAAGGGTGGGGAAGACATAATCGAAAGGGCTGAGCAGCGATGAGCAATTCATTGTACCACAGGATCAGGTCTGATCGATTTAACGGCAGAACCGTGCCGTTTGGGGCGCTGAGCGGCGCGCAGAAATCAAGTTTGGAAGTCTGGTGTCTAGGGAAGCGCGGAGCGGAGCGGGACTCGGAAGGAGCAGCTCCTTTCCTCGGCTTCGGCTTCCCAGCTCAAAACAAATGGGTGGGTGGGCCGAGCTACACCCTTCCTTCCCTCCCCGCACTCCTCCGAGACCCCTGTCTGTGGGGGAACTCCCGCCGCCCGATGCGCTGGGGCGGGGGCGGGCCGGGGGTGGGGCCTGGCGAGGGTCGGGGCCGCCGCCCACCTGCCGCCGCTCACCTCCAGGCTGTAGTTGCCGCGGATGGCGGTGAAGTCGTCCAGGGCTTCGGCCGCGCTCCCCTCGTCCAGGTTCAGCTCCTGGCACAGGGCCTGCAGCGCCTCCCTGGCCGCGGCGACCACCGCCGCCCCCTCGGCGTGGGGCTCGTCCTCGAACATTCCCTCCGGCCCGACGGGCGGCGCGACCCGGCTTCGGGGTTTTCTTTTCCCTCCCGGCGAGCTACCCACAACCCCCCGCGACAAAGCGCGCGAAAATCGCCTACTTGAGCTCGCCTTCCCTTCATCGTCTGCCTCCGCTTTTCTCCTCAAAAAGTCCCTTTCTCCTCTGGAGCCCGCAGTAGCCCCTCTTCGGGAATGCGATAAGAAGGTGGACCTCGGGCTCTAAAGGACACCTATCTCGGGCCCTTGGTGGGCAGCCCCGGGTCTCCGGCCGGCGGGGACGGACGAGAGGGAGCGGGGCGGAAGGATCCGAGCCGGTGCTGAGGCCGCCGGGACTGCAGCTTGCGACCCGCGCTCTCCCAGCGGGTCCCGTGGTGTGGGTAACTGAGGGTTACCTGTGGCGAGTCCGTTCGTGCCAGTGAGAAACCTTCTCCATGACAGCAGCCCGTGCATCCTAGGTTTGTCAGCTCCCTGGCGCGCACTAAACCCGCTCACACTCAACTTTGACCCTTGATGAGGTGGAAGCGGGAGCAGCCCAAAGTGGTAATTGATGTAGGAGCGCCACGTCGGAGGCTTCTGCCTCGCCAGAAAGTGATGGAGAGGCAAGGGTTTTAGGTGATCGCCCTTTCTTAAGTCCCTGAATTCTGAAACTGTCCCAGCAAGTCGTCATTTCAGGAGTAGAGATGGTCTTTGCGCTAACCTCAAAGGTGTTTTTAAAACGTAAACTAGAAAAAGACAGTCTCACAATCATTCAGGAAATGCCATTTGTCTTTAAAATACAGAAAAATATAGCATTCAGACACACCAGGTATTTATTAACTTTTAAAAAATGTCAAGCTAGTTCTCAGTCGGAGGAGGCTTTTGTCGTGTGTTCATCTAACTGGAAATGGTATTGGGCATGCCCTTTGCTTACTAGCTCTTTGTCATTTAAGTCCACATGTCACCCTCTCAGGCCATTTCTGAGCAGTACATCTAAAAGTAGGTGATGCCTCCTGCCCAACATCCATTTCATTGTCTCCATTGTATCTTATCTAAAATTGCCATGCTTATTGACCAGTGTTCCCTAGTTTGGATTAGTTCTTGGCACTCAGTACTTAGTGTGGTGTATTTGAAAAATTACAAAGTGCCCCTTGTTTGGATGAAGGGGTCATTAGAGAAGAAAATGGGGATATCCATGCAAGTTATGAAGGAATTCATATGCCCTACTAAAGCCTAAATGTGATACTCAAAGCAGAGAATTACAACATGTTAGTGATGATCAATCAGTCTGTTTTGGACAAACTCCCTGGCTGAAGTTATGCCTTCATGGACTGGATAAGATAAAGACTACCAAGTTTGGAGATAGTAGGATGCTGTCTTACATGCTGAAAGCTGACAGACTGGAAGGAATCTTTGTACTAAATTAAAGGGTACACTGCTGATGTAGGAGGAGTCCTGTGTTATGTGACTTTTTACTAGGGAGAGGTAAACCTCAAAAATCCCAGAAAACAAATGACAACCTACCTAAGAAGTAGTCCAACCTCATCCAGCTTTAGAGAAAGAGTGAGTTAGTTTACTGGGGAACTTAGAGGAAGGAGTATGAATATTGGGAGCATGGATGCATCATCAATAAGCTCATTCCATCATGAATGACAACCTACAAAAGCTACATCCTTAGAGCTCCCTGTACAACTAGTAGACACCAGAGCCAACCTGAGTTTCCCTAGCAAAAGGTCTTAAATAGGATGAACCTTCAATTAAAGGAACAAGCAAGGTTAGCTATAGTACAGTTTCATATAGGGTTCTCACAGGAAGTGGAGGCCTTATAACTTCATTTAAAATAAAGCAGATTATCATAGTGGAAGTTGTGGACTGTGGCTTAAAAGCTATTTAAGCTATTTGGAAAACAAAACAAAAAACTTTTTTCATTTAATACTTCAGTAAAATGCAATGGATTGGTTGACCAGACCTTATAATTCTATTAAGTCTATTGCTGAATGACAAATCTGGGCAGCAATATAATCCAAAAGGTCTTTAGAAGTCACCAAGGTTAATTGCAGGAGAAAGACCTGAGGACTAGCTTGTAAATTTCTTGAGTTTTTGTAGCATGAATAATAAAAACCCAGAGACAGATAGTGGGGGTTCAAGCTGAAGATCAGAAAAGAAAAGCAGACAGTCCACCAAAGAGTCGTTACCTCTACCAAGGCTCAGACAAAGGTGATCCTGTCCTCAGCATGACTGTTGACTGAATACACTGCACTCCTATCTCCACCTACCTTATGTTCCTCTCTGGTGCTAGGATTTTGGCTTTAGAGCCATATTCATTAATCCTTGCATTTTTGGTCATTTACACATAGTAGTAAGTGCTTCAGATCCATCTTTGACACATAGTAGTAAGTGCTTCAGATCCATCTTTGCAAAAGAGATGGGAGAAGCATGGAGCCAAGTTGGGGTGGGGTGGCTAGAAAGGACAGATGCTTAACCTAACTTACAATTCTACCTAGCATATTTTCACTTGCTGGGCTGTTACCTGAGAGCTCCTCCCTATCCCCCCCCCCCCAACCTTTTATTTATATAATGTTTTTTTTAATGAGAAAACATGCTCTGTTTTATAAAAGATTTAATTTTCTCTCTCTGTCTCTGCCCCCCCCCCCCCCCCCCCCCGTGTATGTGTGTACATGAGTACTTGCAGAGGCCAGAAAAGGGCATTGTATCCCCTGGAGCTGGAATCACAGGTAGTTGTGAGCCAACCAATGGATGCAGAAAACCAAACTAACTGCTGAGCCCTATCTCCGGCCCCTATTTTGTTGTTGAGGCAGGGTTCAATACATCTCAGGTTGAACTTGAGTGGAGTAAGCCATCATGCCCTACAAGAATATCTTACAAAATAGGTAAATAGGTGTCTCAGTTAAGGGCAGGAAAGCAAAGCAGTTTTTTTTTTTTTTTTTTTTTTTTTTTTGTTTTGTTTTGTTTTGAAGTGAGAATTGAAAATAATACAGACATGGATGTGTCAGTAATAGAAAATTAACAATAATTTTAGTATATAGTATTAAAATGACATTGTTTTTAATTTTTTGTTTTTTGAGACAGGTTTTCTCTGTGTAACAACCCTAACTGTTTTGGAACTAGCTTTTGTAGACCAGGCTCACCTGAACACACACAGCTTTGTCTGCCTCTGCCTCCTGAGTACTGGGATTAAAGGCATGGGTGTTGTTGTTCCTTTGGTACAGTTATAGGAATAAAAGCTGGAGAATGGAGGGAGGTCCAGAGTGAGGGTCCCAAGTGAGTGGGGTCCCAAGGTAAGGGACCATATGGGTTCCATAGCAGGTGAGGGTGACTGAGGAGGAGGGACTAACATGCCAGGTATGTTAGTCTAAATGAGTTTATTTAGAAAGGGGAGTGAGGGGGAAGGGAAGAGACATAGAGGAACCAGGAACAGAAGAGGAGAGAGAGAGAGACAGAGAGAAGAGGAGAGAAGAAGGGGGTAGCTGGTGGCAAACCAAAACCAGGAGAGAGAGAAAAAAGAGCCGGAAGGCAAAAGAGAGGGCAAAAGAGAAAGAAAAAGAGAGGGTAAGTGGGCAGGGGTCTGACTTTTAAGGGGGTCCTTTACACCTGCCTGCAGACTAGTACTCATGGAGCCCTGGCTGACCAGAGTACTGCCTGAGTGCATTCTGCCAGGTGACAGGGGCAGGACAGTGTAATTCCTGAATCCTTACAGGTGCCCGGCCTTGAATTTCTATTTTAACATTGAAAAAAGTCAATAAAAACATTAATTTGTTTCTAAGGATAGCTTTATGTAAAAATATTAGATCTTGATTTAGTAGACTTATTAGTATTATCACTATTATAATTGCTATTAGGCACTTATAAAAGTTCCAAGCTTTGAGCTAGTTCAGTAAACAGTAATCCTTTTTCTCTCAGGGTGTACTTCTATGAATTTTAACTAACAAATATAAGTAAAATAAGCATTGTTATGCTTGAGACTATCTGTTAGTGACATTAGTCAGAAAATAAGAATCTACCTGGAGAGAAAGGGACTTCAGCACCAAATATGAGTGAGAAAAGGGGTCATTCAAACTTTTTCTTGCCACTAGATAGCTAAACTATTTCCTCAGCTTAGCCTCTATAATCACAATCTCCTTACATTTTTGGATTTGAAAAGGGAATTCATTCACTCTTTCTGTAGTCTTGTGCTCTGCATGGGCTGGAATTTGCTATATAGATCAGGATAACTGAATTTGTGACAATTTTCTCACCTCTGCCTTACAAATGCTGGGACATAGGTATAAGATACCATGCCTGGCTTATTCTCTTTTTTTTTTAAATATGGAAATTTAAAGATGAGTATCTTTCCATCCCTACCGGTTTGTTTCTACCCTGAAAATGGAACAGTTCAAGAAATCATACCAAGAACTGAAAAAAAGTTCAAAGAAAAAAAAAAGCACCAGTTTTTATATAACTCCATTGTCTTTACAGTATAGGATGGATGGATGTTCTCTGTGATCAAAATGTACATTATGCTAACTTTAGGAAAGAAGTGGCCAGTCTGTAAATTTGATGAAAATACTGGAGGCTCAGTATCACTAAAAACATATTTGGTTGCATGAGTTGTTTTTGTTTGTTTGTTTGTTTTGTTTTGTTTTTAGCATAAATTCAGCAACTGAGATGAACTGTAGAGCAGATCTGTGTTTATTCCCATTTGCAAGAAAGAGTAGACTGGAGAAGAATACAGCAGACTAACCAAGGATGTGGGTGTAGGAATCAGAGTACTTGGGTAATCCTGGCTTTGCCATTTACTAGTTGTGTGACCCAGAGCAACTCACTTTCATGTTTGTTTCCTCAGTTTCTCCATCTGCAAAATGAAGACAATAATGGAATGAATTAAGAATTAAAAGTGTTAACTATATAATGTGCTGCTATTCATTTTTATTAGATAATCTAGAAAATAGACTAGTTCAAAAGTGGATAGTAGAGTTGGTTTCCTAAAAGGAACCAAGGAGAACAGAGTGAGGGGTAAATACAATTCAAACGTATGTTCATTGCAGTTTTACATGTAGTGACTGGCAAATTCTTGGCTCTGACTCAGAGTGAAGATTTGAGTAGGCATGTCCAGTGTGACATTGTGATCTAAGATGCCTGTGGCCTGCAGGCTATAAGGTCTCCATTTTGAACCTGGAGCTACAAGTAGCATATTGCCATATCCTACTCCCTATGAACCATAGAGGGATTTGTTCCTAAAGATATCTCAGCAGAGAGAGAGCAATAAAAGTTGGGAAAGAGTATGAATAATGATTAAGACTGCTCACTGAACAACACGAAAAATGCAATTTGCTAATGGATGTAGCTCTTCATCTGCCAGTTGTCATATTTCCTTTTTCTCTCCATATCACCCCAAGAAGTTTCTTTTGTCCTGGAGAATTCAGCACTGGCTTTCTGCTTAGGTTTCTCCACTAAACAAAGGCCTGGAAGTTAGACTTAGTACCTCATTTGTAGTATGCCCCTTTGGGATTTCCCATACTCCTATGTGCACTTATCAAGGTATTTATTCAACATAAACTAATCTGTTTTTCTCTCTCATTTTATATGCACTGGTGTTTTGTCTGCAAGTATGTCTGTGTGAAGGTGTAAGATCTTGTTACAGACAGTTGTGAGATGGCATGTGGGTGCTGGAATTGAACCCCTGAGTCATCTTTCCAGTTCAACTAATCTGCTTTTTAGAAAAATTCATCTTCTGAGAACATTTTCTTGACTTATATTTAAAACGGGCAGTTGGTAGTGAACAGATTCCATCTTAAAGCTATCTAGGACCTGGCACATTAGTTGGAGAAATTAGGAATATATGAGGAAAGGCGTGGGAAATTCGTATACACTGGGATAGACTCAGCATAATACCCTGTCAGAATTTTGTTATTGCTCATAGGCTTCAACAGGAATTGGAAAGGAGAAAGCCCTTGTGAGATTTTATAAAATATTATGTATGAAAATGTAAAATAGACTGGTATCTGTTATCTTTTAGATTGTTGACACTCAATTAGCCTTGACAACAAAGTCAATAATACTAACACTGCAACACTGCCATTTACTTGGAATTTTTCTTTTGTCTTTTTTGTTGTTGTTACTTAAGGGTTGTTTTGCATTCATACAGAGTTTTACTATGTAGCCCTGGCTGGCAGGGAACTTTCAGTGATCTGCCTGCCTCTTTGTCCTTAGAGCTGGGATTAAGGGTGGGCACATAGGTCCTGGTTTTTGATAGACTATAACAGACTCTCATGAAGAGGAGACTGGCCTCAAACTCATTGTGTGATCAAGAATGGTCTTAAATTCCTGATTCTCGTGCTTCAGCCTCCCAAGTGTGGGGTTACATGTGTGACCTATTTGTTTTTGTGCACTGAACCCAGGGCCTGTCACATGATGAGGATGCATATTTCCATCCTTCCACTGACTTATATCCCCGGCCCTGGATTATCTCTCCCTCCCTCCTCACGTAGCCCACTTCTATCTCTCAAAAGCAGTCATCAGCACTTAAACTTTGCAGATATCTGCATGACTCAAACTCACTACAATTTTTACTTTATCTGCAAATTTAAATCAAAACTTAAACTCCTTGAAATATTTTAACTACTAAAATTATTTTTAAGGGGGATTTTGCTGGAGGTAACTAACTGCATGGAAGTAGCTTCATGCTATGTTGCCTAAGTCTGGAAGAAAAACAGGCCATGTGCAGGCCAGCAAGAACTTAGTGGGTAAATGTATATGCTTCTAAGCCTGACAGCATGTGTTTGATCCTTGAGGTGCACATTGTGGAAAGAGAGCACCCCCAAAAGTTGTCCTCTGACCTCTACACATGCACACACTCATAGACACATTTGAAATATGGTAACATTTGAAAAAAAAAGAGAAAATGGAATGTGTTTATCACTTCTGTGGTTTCTGAAAGTGTTTGCTCTTACCTGCTGCCATGTGTTTTGCATTCTAAGTATTCAGACAGCCAAAGAGCTTCCTTGACCAGGAAACTCTTATCTTGGGTTCTGGCTCATTCCTCACCCTCTGGATTCTGAACAGAGCCTGGGAGGCAATGATGCGCAAAGAGGGCTCAGGGTCTTGTAACAGTTCTCTCAGATCTACATGGAAGAAAACCAAGACTGAAGGTTTCTAGAAAGGAGTACTTCTCTAGATACCAAGTAGCCAACAAACCAGAGAAGCTGGCATAAAAAAGCAGCTTTTTCCAAAGCTGTCTAAAAATCTGCACATTGGTGAAGTGATTCCAATTTTGACCTGTAAAACCCATTCTTTGCTGAATTGCTTAGAATTTCATTCCTGTAGATATTAAGACCTTGGCTAAGAATTCACTTCCCCTTGCTGCCCTCAGGGCAGGCAGCTGTAACCACAGGAAAACAAAAACATGTTTTCTAAGGCAAAATGCTCCTTTGGTTTCCACAACCTTGGGTTGGGCCCCTGGTAAACACCCTAACTGGTCCTTGGAACCTGAGATGACTAACCAGCCCCCTCTGCTTCCTCTCTTCCATCTGGTGCTGGGGTATAAAAGCCAGCCCCTGGAGTAAAATAAAGAAAAAGAGCCTTCTTAACATCAAGCAAGAGTCCTGTGTTGTTAATCCCAACACCCTCTGCAGATCCTCAGTCCCCTGCAGTGCAGGCGCTGCAATTCCTTTGCAATAGCTCTATTTTAAGTAGTCTACCTAAAATAAAATTATCTGGGCCTGCCAAGCTATGTCTAATGTTAACCTCTTAACTTCTTGCCTTAATCTAAAATAAATAAATAAAGTTAACCCATATCATTATTCCTCTGTAGTATTTTCCTTCTTTCTTTTCTATCTATCTATCTATCTATCTATCTATCTATCTATCTATCTATTTATTTATTTGAGACAGTGTCTCACTATGTAGCTCTGGCTGTCCTAGAACCTATTATGTAGACTAGGCTGACCTACTGACAAGTTCCAGGAAAACCAGAGCTACACAGAAAAACCTTGTCTGGACATAAACAAACAAAAAGTATGTCTTCCTGATCTTATTTTCTGTACACTGTTTTGCTTCAATACTGTTGTCCAAATGGAACCATATGATCCAAAACTTTTTTTTTTCTTTTGAGAATGAGCCTTGGTATGACCTTGAACTCATGATCCTCCTGCTTCTACCTCACGAGTTTGGGGACAATTATTTGTCTTATGGAATAATATCTCATTATTATCTAAGTCACTTCTGTGGTGAATCTTGTTCCCCTAGTGTTTTAGGTAAGAAATAAACGTAAGTCATATAGTATCCTACTCCACAGAATAATTTACATGGCTTTCTTTTCTTCTGTTTTGAAATAAGATTTCATTATGTAGACCAAACTGTCCTCAACATAATAATCTTCCTCCCATGTATTGGGATTATAGGTGAACCCTGTCATGCTTGGCTGACTTTTGTTGTTGTTTTAGAATGTTTTCATGTCTATGAAGAAAATGGTAGACCTTAGTGAGAAACAGTTGGTGGGTCAGAGGGTAGAGAGATGGCTCAGTGTTTAAGAGTACTTGCTGCTCTTGCAAAGGACTTGGATCAGTTCCTAGCACCCACATGTTGGTTTATAACCTTGTATAACTCCATCTAGTTCCAGGAGATCCTGATGTTTTCCTCTGACCTTTGCAGGCACCAAGTATGCTACAGTACACAAACCTATATACAAGCAAAACACTTGTATACATAAAATATTAAGACAATTAACATTGTCTTCCTCATATTAACTTTATTCCCTACCTGTTTCAACAATTACTCTATTTTTAAAAGTAGAAAATTGGGTTATGGAAGATGACTTAGTGGAAGCTGGACAGTGGTGGCACACACCTTTCATCCCAGCACTCAGGAAGCAGAGCTGTGCAGTTAGAGAAAGTCTCACCCACCGACTGTTCTGAAAACAGTTCTGATGGCTGTCTTAGAGGCTAAGCATCCTCATACTCAGTCCTACACTCAACAGCACAGCTTCTGAGACAGTAGGACAGCCTCTGAGGTTCGTGTAAGACATCACCACAATTTTGTTAGGATCAATTACTAGAAAGATGTTTTACTTCCTGACAAAGTTTGTACCCAAACTTTGTCATTAAACGGTCATTAAATAAACTATTTCCAGACAAACTGGATCATACCCTTTCCTAGGGGTCTTAGACTTTAGATGAAACCATAATTTAATTGAATCACAGTCACCAGTGCTTTTATTGCTGCATAAGCCCAGAGTTTTAGATGCCAGACTCAGCTGTGCTACAAAGCCTGCCCATAGTCCCAGATTCAGGGACCTTCCAAAGCAGTGCATTCCACATCCAAGCAATGCCATTACTTACCATTCTCTAACCAGTCAGGACCCTTGCTCTTGAGTTCACTCGGATCCACATACTTTGATAAGATCCCTAAACATAAGATAGTAAGTCTTAAGACTTTTGCTTTTAGAAACTAAAAGTTTTTCATTTTTATCATTTAATAATCTAAGCAGATGGCAGAATTAACCTTTTGCTAATAAGGCATATTCAAAACAATAAATTCCAGCCAGGCATTCTGGCTCATACCTGTGATTCCAACACTTGGGAAGCTCAGGCATAAAAACTGCCATGAGTTCCAAATTAGCCTTGATGACAAATGAAACTGTCTCAAAAGCTAAGCAGAGGCTTGAATGGTAGTATACATCTTTAATTCAGGGGGCAGAAGCTGGTGGATCTGTTCAAGGCAAGCCTGGTATACATATCAGTTTCAGAACAGCCAGGGCTACACAGTGAAAACCTGTTTCACAAAATGAATAACTAAAATAATAAGGAACAAGAGCCAGCAAGATAGCTCAAAGGGCTAATGTGCTTGCTCGTGAACCTGACAACCTGAGTTCAATTCACAGACCCACACAGTAGAGAGCTGACTCCTACAAACGCTCTCCCCCACATATCCACCACGCCACATATATGCCATGTCACTTAAATGCACACACAATAGTTTTATTTATTAATATTAATATTCCCAAGTGCCTTATAGTTAGTTATCAGTCAATAATGTCATTCCTTCTTCCTTGAAAGTGTTTTCAAGGTTGTTTACATAAAGATCATGCCTGATACTACAAGTCTGATTTGAAGTTTGTGGCTGGAGAGGTCAGGTCCTAGCAGAGAAAATATTATTTTTGCTTTACTAGATGGATTATTGTGACTATTAAATTGTCTGATAGATACTTAGGTTTATGCTCATAGATGCGTGTGCTGTCAGCTTTGACCAGAGACTAAGAAACTATTGGTTGTCAGCCCTAACTGAGAGTTGAAGGGGCGGGTGGAGTGTTGTAGACATTGCACTCGTGAGCTCACAGCTGTGATGGCTTGCATAAACACTGGGCCCACTGACACTCTCACCAGAGACTTGAGTTCCTGCATGCTCTTGAGGGTTTCTAGGCAGTTACATAGGTTCCTGGGGAAAGAGGTTTGTTAAGTCCTACACCTCCCTGAAGGTCTACAGGCAGTTAATGGTTGCTGGAAGGGATAGTGTGAAGGAAGAAACATTTTTCTCAGTGGTAGTCACTTGCAAGTTTACCCAGGCTCCTGTAAATATGCCTTTACCCATGCTCCTATAGTAACCCTAATTAAATTTATTTAGTCACCAAAATAAAAGACATGAAAGTACAAGAGAGACTATTTGGGAAGAAGGGATCCATGGGAATGAATGGCTGAAGTATAAGAGAGTTATGAGGTGAATATGATTGCAATACATTCTATGTAAAGAAAAGACTGGGTTACTCAACACAACATGGGAAGGTATAGGATAAGGTAGCTACATAAATGAAAGTGTTTTGTTTTACCTATAAACAAGACAGCAGTTCTTCTGATGGGAAGTTTTGGGTCCTTGGAATACATTAGTGTTTGGTCTAGGATGTTTATTTTCCCTTTGCTTTTTTCGCCCTAAGTTGATGGGAAGAATATATAACAATAAAGTAGCAGGTGAGTACAGCATATCTGAATTACTATAGTCAATATCATAGTGACTTCTTTGCCATGATAGCAAGCCCCTGTAGAGCTAAGACCTCAGAATACCCACTGTGTACGCCTGTCCATGACACCTTTAAAGTCACCCTGGCTTCTCTGCACCTCCGTCTTCTCACCTCTAAATGCTACCTGGAGCTTTAACTTCCCTACCAGCTCTTCCTGCTTAGTCAACCCAGCTCTGAGTACTCTGTAGGCTTCTTTTCTTGGCACATAGTATTTTCTGCTTGGAGTTTCTATTTTAGTTTCATAAGTTTTCGGTCTTCTTACTAGTTTGCAGGCTCTAAACTAAAGGTTTTAAAACTGGGTTGCCATGACTTTCTACATGGCAGATATATTTTGCTCTCTGGGTGAATGTGTGCACCTTTCCAGGGCCTCTTGGAACAAGCACCTCACAAACAGAAAAGGGGACAAAAATTGTTTCTCATAGAGCTTACAATTTGACATGGATAGTTTGCACTTTTACCCACTGGGAACAGCAAATGTCTTGTTGGAAATATTGTCATTAATGCATCAACTATAAGCAATGGCTGAAGTTCACCCAGGAAAAAGACAAGGCAAGGGTACTATAGTGTGCTTCCCAGCTGTGCCAACTTGATAGGAAGAGACCATTCTGGGTTTTAGATATGTGGAAGATTCCTAGAAATAATCTAGGAAACTTCAATGTGGGATCCAGATGGCTCTACTTCAGTTTCTAGAAAACTATGTTTGGACCTTCTGAAGCTACCCTGGATCATTTAGACTCTTCTGGGTTTGTAAACAGAAGATGCCATCTGGGTCTCAGGGCTAAGGACATGCTGCCCTCCCACTATATCAAGCAAAGGACTAATATCAAGCAAAGGGCTATAGATGGGAAGACAATGTATACTTATTTTAATTCAGCTCACATGGACATTTGTTGCTGTTGTTTAGACAAAGTCTCACTGTGTAGCTCTGGCTGGCCTGGAACAGCTTGGCTTGAACTTCAGAGATTCATCCGCCTCTGTCTCCTGAGTGCTGGGATTAAAGGTGTGTACAACCAAGCCTAGCCCAAGTAAAAAATTTTGACTAGATACTATCAGTCTGACCTTGCAGTTTCTGATGCTAGTGGGGCTCTCTAGTTTATCAGTTATTTTGTTATTACTATTTTGAAACAAGGTCTTACTCTACAACTCAGTTTGTCCTCACACTCAGGCTGAGCCTCCTGACTCAGCCTCCTGAGAGATGCTATTCCAGCAATGTTTCACCACTCCTTGTATTACCAGCCTTTTGCATATGTGAAGAAACGTGTTAGTAGTAAATTTGTTGCAAATGAAATGGCCCAGTGGGTAAAAGTACTTGCCACCCTAGCCTGTGGACTCAAGTTTGATCCTTGAAACCCATATAACAAAAGCCAGATGAATAACTCCTGCATTTCTACAGTGAGATGGGAGATGGGGACGGGCACTCACATCAGCAGAAACAAAAGAGACCTTGCCTCACAAAGTGGAAGGCAAGAACTGACTCCTGAAAGTTGTTCATTGACCTCCACTTGCACACTGTGGCACACTCAATGTGTGTTTACATACACATAAAAAAGAATTTTTAAAAGTGTTTTTGTGGCTGATTGGGGCAACTATAGAAAGAGATCTATCTCTTGAACAGTTCATGGAAAGCAACTACTGCTGTGAAAGGGTGGGTGGAAAATGTTTCCTGCATGCCATGTCCCCATTATAAACAATCAGAAAGAACAAAGCCAGTACTTCTCACATACAAAGAATTTGCAGACCCTTCTAACTTCATTTGGTTTGATGTATAAGGGATCTTTGCAGTACACTTCTCGGGGCAGCTTCCATTTCAGGAACTGGGCACATAGACTTAGGACTCGTCTACTCTCCTGTGGGGGAAGAGAGTATAACAGATCAGCATTTTCAAACACTCTTTAATGGAGGTAAATTTTCTTTAGTAAAACTGACACCAAAGTCTAATGTGAAAGGCCGATAATTTCAGAATTACTCTGGGTGAGATAAGGATGAAGAAACCACTGGTCTCTGGAAAGTGAAAACTAGTAGATGTAATACACAGCTAAAATACAGATTCTATAGCCCAGACTCTATACAGGATTCCATTCTCTAGCCATTGCTCTCAGAATGTCACTAAAGCACCATTCAACACTATCTCTGGTCAGTTAGATATTTGGGCAGCAAATACCTTTTAAGGACAGGTATGGTGGTGTATGTCTTTAATTATAACTCTTAGGAGGCTAAGGCAAGTGGGCAGATCTCTGAGTTAGAGGCCAGCCTGGTCCACATAGCCAATTTCAGGCTATCTGGAGCTACATAGTAAGACTTTGTCTCAAAACAAATGAAACAACAAAAAACAAACCTTTTGGAAATTGATAAGAATTAGTTCAGCTTATTTGTGTAGCAATTTGTAGATATAAAGTATCTAACCGGGTACCCACACTAGGTTTTTATGCCCTTAAGAAATTCTCACATGCATGTAAACACTGTCTAAGTGTCCTGGAATAGAAGAATGGGATAAATTTTAGATTAAATGTTGCAATCCCACATGACACTGAAAACAAATGAACTATAGCCTTATAATAAAAATACCATAAATACAATGTGCTGAGATAGTTATAGAAACACACAACATAAAGTTCAAAACATGAAAAATAATTTCAGTGTACACACCGATGGCACACAATTATCATCCCAGCACTTGGGAGGCAAAGGCAAGTTCAAGGTCAGGTTGGCCTCCATAGTGAGACTCTCTCTCTCTCTCTCTCTCTCTCTCTCTCTCTCTCACACACACACACACACACACACACACAATCACATTCACACAGACAAGCTAGTTATGGCACACACATGTAGTTCTAGTACTTAGGAAGCAGAGGCAGGACAATCAAATCCATCTAGGAGCAAGCAGTGAGTTTGAGATTAGCTTGAACTACCAGAGACCCTATCCAAAAACAAAAAACACAAAAGAGAGAAGAGGGAAAGGAAGGGAAGAACTTACTTTAGAGATGATCAAATTCAGGATGACAGGTCTTTGGGGGCCTCAGTTGGGAATAGGTGTATGATTTACTTGTTTCATTTCTTAGGACATTGGTTCTGTCCTAACCCAGTTTAACACCCACCTCTCTGCTCAGACTCCTCTCTGAAGAGCTTGACTTAGCTAGAAGTTGTTCAATTTTGTAGGAAAATAAACTCAGAGCCTTGGTGTCTCTAGGCCTTTTCTGGTTGCCAAGAGATGGCAGATTTGGGGTAGGTGCCAATGTACCATGCACCCGTGAGCCCCAAAGATATGCTTCTCCACCACTTAGTTGACAAAGACTGAACTACACTTTATTGATGTTTGAAATGTTTCTAATTGATGGCTAAAGACCTACACACCTTTTCACACAAGGTATGAGGGCCCACATAAATCTTAAGTCCTGTTTCTGTGCTTTTTCTTCCCCAAGACAGGGTCTCACTATGTAGTCCTGGCTGGCCTGGAACTCAGTCTTTAGACCAGGCTGGTCTCAAATTCATAGAGATCTGCTTGCCTCAGCTTCCAAGTGCTGGGATTAAAGGTGTGCACCATAACCTCTGGCTGTTTCAAAGTTTTTAAGTTTGACTTTAATTTCTGTATGGGAGCATACAAAGACAGCTCCAGAATCTTCCCAAGTCCTTGTGGTCTGAACTTGCCTCCCTGAAATGATAACTGGTGATCACAGTTAGCATAATGGACTGAGAAAGCTTATTCTCTCTGTGTGTGGGGAGGGGAAGGGTTTACTGCACTGGGAGTTGAATTCAGGACCTCACATGTGATAGGCAAATACTGCCACTATTTCCAGACCTTTCACTTTATTTTTATTTTAAAAATTTTATTTATGTCTGTCTATCCTATCTATCTATCTATCTATCTATCTATCTATCTATCTATCTATCTATCTATCTTTCCTATCTACACGTGTGTTTGCAGGAATCAGTTCCTCTCTTTCCACCTGTGGGTTCCAGGAATCAAACTCAAGTTGTCAGGCCTGGCAGTGAGTACCTTTACCTACTGAGTCATCTTGTGAGCCTTACTCTTTTAAGTTATCCACACTGGCCTTGAACTTGAAAGCCTCCTGCCTCAGCCTCCCAAATAGCTGGAATTACAAATATATGTCACTATGCCTGGCCTGAACAGATACAGTTTAAATGAAAAAAAGAAAAGAAAAAAAGAAAAAAGAAAAAAAAATTCTTCAGCAAAACCCTTGGAAGGCTTAGGAGAAATAAAGCCTCCAGATGGTCCACAGAGGTTACTCTCTAACTTAACTCCAACACATTCCATGTCTCAAGGCCAAGAGATAGTCCTTGAAAGAAAAGAGATAGTCATTAACACAGAGTTTGTTGAGTTGAGCATTATATTTTGGGCTTTGTGCTAGGCTACAAAATAATAACACACAGTTCTTCCCCACAAAGACCATATTTACTACACAGAAATAAAGAGTTCGATTTCCCACAATTTACTCAGGGAGATGACTGAGATGTAGTTCTGTGCCAGAGGACGTAAGGAACAAGAATGTGACTGCCAAGTCTGTGCCCTAGAGGATATAAACACTATATGCAGAGCTAGCTCTATAGTCAGTCACTCATGGCCAAAAAGAAGCTGGCATTACCTTAGCTATGTCATCATTGTCATCCTGTGAAAACAGAAGTAGTGGAACCAGGCTTTCCAGGACGTGGCTCTCCACACACTTCTTATCTGTGTGCTTCACAGCCTTTACGGAGGCTCCAAAGAGAGTCATGGAGAAATGATGGATGCCATGTCTCATCTAAGAATGGAGGGTTCACAAGGAAACAACTCACTGAACATGCTCATACTAGCTTATAAGAACTCCAGGGAGTCATAACATGAAGCTATCTAGTTGCATATACTTCAGGGCAAGAAATCAACTATATAAGGAGACAGCAAGACCTGTGTTTGATGTTCTTGTTTCTGAACTGTATAAGCAAGAAATAAGTAGTTCCACCTGTTGCTGGAAAAGCTTGTATCCAATACTGACACAAGCTCTTTTGCTGAAATTCAAAATCCTAACTAGCATATACTGAGGATGTGGGTTAATGTGCATTATGTGTTTCTTTTAGACAATCTTTGTGATTTTGGACAAATAGTTGTTATTTTGACCCATTTCTTTTTTATTTTTTTTTCTTGTGACCCATTTCTTACTGTTCCTTGTTCTATACAAAAATTTTCCCCTCCCACAGAGCAAGGTAATGCCTTGATAAGTCTGTGTGTCTCAAATTTTTGAGGTCCTTTTTGTTTTTTTTGAGACAGGGTTCCTCTGTGTAGCCCTGGCCATCCTGGACCAGGCTGGCTTCAAACTGCAAGATTTGCCTGCTTCTGCCTCTCTATTAAAGGAATGCACCAACACTACCCTGCTATGTCACAAAATCTTTTAAGTCTGAAAAATTAATAACATCAGTCCAGAAAAGCAGGCTATCACAGATTATCTGGATGTGTCTTGAGGGCGAAGATCTAAAAGGCCTCTATAAGTAAAACAAACAAACAAACAAAAAACAAAACAAAATCCATTATGTAAGTAAAATAAAATGGTCTTATTCTGGTCTTAAAATCTGCTAGCTGGTAAGTTCCCGTCTTCTAAGGGAGAATCTTTTCTTTCATTGTCTTACATCACCAAATAAGGAGCACAGGATCTTCATCATGGTAGCCAAGGTGGCGGAGTCCAGTGTCTTGACAAGCTGCATGAGTGTCTGGATGGCCAACAAAACGATTCTCTCATCCGTCTCTTGCAAGCTATCTAAGATGCAGGGTATCACGCTTTTGATGTCTTCTCTCTGTGTGTCCAAAAGCAGCCATGACTTCCTCTTCTGGTAGCTCATTATCTAATTCTAAATGGAGAGATCCCACACCCACTTATGTAACCTAGTGCTTGTGGATTTCTGGTAACTCTGGTGGTAAAGAGGACATAAAAACTCTCTCTTTACTATTGGCATGCCTGATATGTAGAGGAGCGGGGAGGAGTTGTCATAAATTGCTTCATAGAACAGAGGTGGGACCAGGTAGGGGAGGACCAGGGATATACCCTTGGATTTACTTTAAGGAAAAGCTCTCCCAACACACACACACACACAAACACACACACACACACACGTGTGCTCACACACACATGCACGCATGCACACACACACACACACACACACACACACAAGTGGAATGACCAGCTCAGGCCAGAGTACATTTTCCAGCATGGAAGTTATTCAAACAAAGGCTTGAAACCTCCATGGTAGGGCTTCAGCAGAGTTTGCATGAGGATCCTTAAAAGCTTTCCCCATCCTAAACTCCTACAATGAAGTGATCTCAGGATTTTAAAATGTGTGTATGTGTATACATATATACATAAGTGCAATAAACAAATATCCATACATCCAATCAGCCAGAGTGAGCATATACTAACATGTGTCATTTTTGTTCCATAGATGTATGTATGTATATATATATATGTATATATATATATATATACACATATATATATTTTATAAAATAAATACATCTCAAGTGGCAAGATTAAAGCTTCAGCATTACTTCTGAGCTGTGTTTCTTTCTTTTCTTTCCTGCTTTTGGTTTTTCAAGACAGGTTCTCTGTCGTGGCTGTCCTGGAACTAGGTTTGTAGACCAGGCTAACCTCTAACTCACAGAGATCCTCCTGCCTCCATCTCTCTAGTGCTGGGATTGAAAGTATGTGCTATCACAGCTCACCTGAGGCATGTGTAAGACTTTCATCATGAATGACAGTGATCTCTGTCTTAGATGATAAATATCTTGGAATACCCAAGTACTCCCACAGGCCAGCCAGCATGGTATAAGGCATCAATCAGGCAGCTGGATATTTTCTACTATGCACCTCCCCCACAAATTGCAAGTTTCAAAGTGTTAAGAATATTTGTGACTTGGAATTTTAAATTTATTTAATTTTAATTGCGCCCACATAACTGTTAGGTATAAAATTAGAATGGTATAGATGGATGTACAGTGAGAAAGGTGTCCCCCCCCATTCACTCCTGCCCCAACACTCCCTGAGTTTCTTGGGTATCTCTGGGATTGTTCTATTTACATATCTATTTATTATTATGCATCTACTACCTATTTATTGTATCTATTACCAGTAAATCAGTGGTCAAAGGTCCTTTTACCATCTCTCGGTATCTGACAAGATTGCATAGTCCTCTCAGTGCAACAATCCTGAAGAGCTTATTCTCATCATACAGCCAGTCTTTCAGGCGAACAGTGGAGTATAACCTGGGCAATCTTCTGGCCACTGGACTCTTTAAGAGCTGAAAGAAATGACCTTGCATCTGTTTCCTTGAAGGGAGCTACCTTTCCACCAACTCCAAAGTATTCATTTTCCTTTGAAATCACCAAGCTGCTGCAGACAGTACAGAGTGATGGTGGGAACAGGAACACAAGGAATGCTGACAAGGGTGAGAGGAAAGGGTTCCAAAAGGCTTGAATCTAAAAAGGAAGCATCTAGGGCACACACAGAACGCCTAAACCTAGTTAAATGCAGCTTAGAATGGAGGTTCTACTGCCTTCTGGGCTTCCTGAATCCAGTAAACAGAACTCTTACCTCCACAAAAAAGCCTGCAGATGTGAGCTTGTGTTTCTCATTCCCTCGGTTAATCAAAGGGACTAACAAGTACATGGTCTTATATGCAAAGAGGTGACTTCTTTCCAGCAAGGCACTGTAAAACAGACCAACAGAAAACTCAGACATATGCCAACCCGATGGTATTTTCCCCTCTTGGGCCCTCCAAAGTTTTTACTTTGCTTCAGGTATTCAGGAGGTCATGCCAGGACCAAGACTTTCAAAATGTTTTCCTGGTTAATTTACAGATACTATAGCTAGGCATGATGGTGCACACCTTTAATCCCAGCACTTGGGAGACAGAGACAGAAGGATCACTATGAGTTTGAGGCTAACCTGGTCTAGAGAGAGTCCCAGGCCAGGGACACAGTGGGACCCTGCCTCAAAAAAACAAAACAAAACAAAACAAAAAAAAACATTGTTATGGTTATAATTGTTGTGAGTTTTTAAAGGAGAAAATAAAACAATTCTGATTTCTGGAGAGAATGAATATATTAGAATAAGGAAGTCTTACTTGGCAAGGAGAGATACTCCCTGAAGATGGCATGCTCCCTTTAGAAGACTCCATCCATCATTCTTTTCCATGATGCTAAATTCCTGCCAGCACAATGTTCTGAGGAGGAGAGTCTTTGTAGCTTGTATGGCAAAGCTAAGTTGAACAAAAACAAGCATGGATGGAAAGAATAGGACTACTAACCACTGGGATGGGCCAGTGGCTATATCATAATTCATCCCTTTCTAAAATTCTTAAAGATGCTTCCTGCCCTATTAACTGGAAAGGCCTTCCACATAAATCCTCAGCATAAAGAAATTTAACTTGATTTTGTTTCTCAAGATGTTTGGTAGATCTATGGTTCAGCAATTGATTTGGGATGCTAAATGAATACCCACTGCATTTTTTTAAAAGATTATTTTTATTTTGTGAGTATGAGTTAGCCTGCACATCTATGCCCCACATGCAGTGCCCATGGAGGCCAGAAGAGAGGGTGTTAGATCCCCTAGAACTGGAGTCACAGACAATCATGAGCTGCCGTGTAGGTGCTGGAAACTGAACAAGGGCCCTTAACCTCTACACCATCTCTCCAGCCTGACCCATTGATTTAAAAAAAAAAATTGAAGTAAAGTTTAAGGCTAGGGATTTGGCTCAGTTGGGAGAATGCCTGCCTAGCATGCTCTAAGCTATGGGTTTGTTCACTGTCAGTCCAGAAACCAGACATGGTAGTACATGTCTGGACCCCAGCATTTGGGAGCTAGGAGGTTCAGTAGTTCAAGGTCATCCTAAGCTACAAAGGAATTTGAGGCTGGCTTGTAGGACATGAGACCCTGTTTCAAAAGGAGAAAGAAAAAGATGCAATTTATATTTCCCCATAAAATTTACCAGCACAACTTATAAAATAACTTCTTTCATAGCTATCCCAGACATAGCTTCAAGAGCATGTTACAGCTGGAAGGGTTCTTGGAGATAATTCGTGGTCTAATCTCCTCAGTTTCAGAAGAGGAAACTAAGGTGCAGAACAGTGGATTGGTCCAGGGCATGCAGCTCATTAAACAGATACATGAGAACTACACTGGGACATACTGACACTTAGCCTTGTCCTAAGTATCCCATGGTATGGCATTTCCTTCCAAAAGATCTGTGTGTCAGCAGCACTAGAAATGTCTAGCAAGACCTTGTTGAGAAACTGAAAAATATCTCCAAGCAATATCCCAGAAATAAGAAATCATTTCATTGGATCAATCCAGTTTGGGAGTCTGGTTGGCTGGTTTTGTCTCTACTTGCTCTGTCAGGGAAGGGCTAGCACAATATCACATGTTATCTGCCAGGCACCTACATAGTGAATTAACATTGGTACCAAGAAGACTAAAGGCAGCAAATAAAAACCAGAGTGATTCCAGGGCAATGTGGACCTATGTTCACGCACAGTTAGGACCACCTCTATCCTTGTGTCTACTGCCGTGCCAAGGACTGTCTAAAAAGTACACAGATTAATGAAATCACAGTGAGCAGTAAGTACCACAAAGGTGTGACCTCCATTGGTATTTCCTGTTCTGCATACAGGCCACTTGGGATGTTGACATCAGACATAGTGAGGCCGATGCTGTGGTGAATCTGGATGAGCAGTGTCATCAAGAGCTGAGGAAAGAGTCGGAATGCAGCTGCTCGAAGTTTGTTTCCCATGAGCACTTCATAAAGGGCATCTGTTACCTGTGGCAGAAAAGGCACAGGCAAGACCTGAGTGTCTATGGTTCTAACCCTCTGAGGACAGCAATGGTATTTGGTAGAAAGAACAGACATGACAGGGAGAATAAGAGCAAAGTGACCATTAGAGCAGAACTGGGGCATGCTCAGAGTGCAGTACATGCTTAGCAATGGTAGAGCCTGGGTTCGATCCCTAGCACCACACACATTATACATATGCACGTATACATGTACACACAAGTATGTGTGTGTGTCCCATTAGCACACTTGACATCCAAAAATCATAACTGGAAACTATTAGTATACTTGATTAAGATGCAACTAAAAACAGTAAAACAAAACCACAACAAAATCTATAATAGATGACATATAACGACTCAGAAAAGTATTTTTGTATCAGTGTGTTAATAAAATGCTCTCATCCTTCAGTAAATAAGACAAAGGTAAAGGCTTGCTGTGTCTGCTGCATCATCTGGGAGCTGGTTGGAGCTGCATCATGTGGCTGAAATACTCATTTACTTACCCTAACTTCTAAAACTACATTAACATAACATTTTAGATTTTTTTCTTGAGACAGAGTTTCTCTGTGTAACAGCCCTGGCTCTCCTAGAACTTTCTTTGTAGACCAGGCTGCCTTCAAACTCACAAAGATCTGCCTGTCTCTGCCTCCTGAATGCTGGGATTAAAGGCCTGTGCTACCGCAGCCCAGCTACAATTTAAAGTTTTTAAAAGGCATACATTCTTAAGAAAAGAGAATAAAAGAGAAGATAACAGCAAAGTAGAAATGCTGAAAGAAACTGGAAGCTTAAAATACTATGGCAATACTTAAGACTAGACAAAGAGGAACCTAAAAGCAGGAGATAAGGTGAGAAGCATAGCCTGCCAGGAGGCTGGGTGTGGAGGGAATGCTAGTACTTGGGAAGCCAGAGTAGGAAGTTCAAAGTCAACTTTTGTTATATGGCTATTTTGAGGCCAGCCTGAGCTGCCTGAGACCCTGTCTCAAAAAATAAAAGCACACATAGTGATAGGAAGCAGTCTCTGTATGCCCAAGGCCAGAGGTGTGTAGCAACCCTGAGTATTTCTGTACAGTTTGGCTATGAACATAAGACTGCTTTATAAAATATTGTTTTCAAAGGAAAAATGGGGTGGGAAAACATCAAATACACACAGGCACAGGTATTTCTAGACATCTCGTGAGGGAGATGGACCAGATTATAAGCTAAAATTGGTTTTCTTTTTTTCTTTCTTTCTTTCTTTTTTTTTTTTTTTTTTTTTTTTTTGTATGTGTAAGTGTTAAGTTTTGTTGTTTCTCCTTTTGAAAACAAAATTGTTGCCCAGACTGGTCTCTAACTCTTGGGCTCAAATGATGCTCCTACCTTGGCCTTCTGAGTAGGTGTGATGACAGGCACACAGTACTGTATTGGTTTTAGCTTTTTTTTTTTTTTTTAAATCCAAAGATTAAGTGGTAGAGACTATGTATGACCTGTAAGCCCTAAAATATACATGGCTTACAAGGCCTAAATAATTTGTTTAGATAGAAAGCTTTCTAATCCTATTGTTTTCTATTTTGTATGTTATTACATTTTTAAACTTTTAAAATTACTTTAGGTAGCTGGGTGTTGGTGGTACAGGCCTTTGATCCCAGTACTCAGGAGGCAGAGGCAGGTGAATCTCTGTGAGTTTGAGGCCAGCCTGGTCTACAGAGCAAGTTCCAGGACAGGCTCCAAAGCAACATAGAGAAACCCTGTCTCAATAAAATGACTTTAGGTAGTTTTTAAAGGATAGAAGTAGGCATATTCATACTGTATTATGTGCTACCATCCTGTCCGATACCTCCAGGTTAGAGCCAATGAGAAATGCACATAGATTTCCAGATGAACTTTAGAAATAAACTTAGAAAACAAAAAGATTACTTTCTGGATAAGGTGAGTTATGGTGATATTTTGCTTATGCTATAACAAATAAAATCTTGCCTAAAGATCACAGTGCAGAGCTTGCCACACTAGTTAGCAATAGAGGCCATGCAGTGGTGGCACCTTTAATTCTAGCAATCAGGAGACAGAGGCAGACAGATCCCTGTTAGCTCAAGGCCACACTGGGCTACACGAAATTACCTCAATCTAAAAGAGAAAAAGAGCTCAGACAAAGGTGATCCTAGCTAGCCCTTGGGATCACTTGCCTTTAATCCCAACACTAGGGAGGTAGGGAGATGAGTGATATGGTGGGCAGGGAGAGGAACATAAGGCAGGAGGAGACAGGAGCTCAGTGCAGTCTGAGCAGCTGTCAGTTTGAAGCAGTTTGAGGGTTCGTAGAGACAGATGCAGTCTGAGGAAGCAGTCTGAGGACAGGATCACCCCTTTGGTCTGAGCATTGGTAGAGGCACGAACTCTAGTAGCTGGCCCCTCTGCTTCTCTGGTCCTTCAGCTTTCACCCCCAATAGCAGACCCTGAGTTTTTATTATTAAGACCAATTAGAACTGGAGCTACAGTGAGTCTTCCTCAAAGAGGAGAACCCATGCTGGCATGAGAGGGGCAGCGCAATGGCTTACAGCAACAGCCACATAGGCCATCTTCTCCTGGGTGGGCACATCATGGCATTTCTGCAGCTTTCTCAGGAGCCTCCACAGGACCCAGGTCGTGTTAGACAGTTCTACCTCCAGGGTTCTCCACAGTTCAGCCAGATGCCTAGAAAGGCAGGACAGCAAACATCATGAGAAGACTTATCCCAGGCCTCTCAGGATCACAACTTTCTTAGAGTCATGTTGGAATCCAACCTTCTTCTGCTCAGTTCTTCAGTGTCAATTCACATAGTGCCTGACTGTAGCAGCATGAGTTTTCATTGCCTGGCACTAACCTACAGCCATTCATGAACTACTCTTCAGGAAATGTAAGTGTTCCTCTGCTTCTGTGCCACCCCTGACCATTCACCTTTGCCAAACAAACCATGGGCTTTGATTACACCAGAGATTCTCACCATTTTCTGAAATCAGAGGCCCTTTCTCCATCTCTCCCTCCCCCCCCACCCCCAGCCTGTCACCTCCCCTCAAGAGAAAGAAGATCAAGTGGCATCTCTTCGGTCAAGCTTCCTGGTGCTTCCCCATGCTTCTCAGCAGAGTTTCCATCACGTCTACATTGCTTCTTGGTGCAGGTTTCCTCAGTAGTCCTACACTGGTCAGTGCTCTGTGTGTGGGCCTCAGAAGGAAGGGATCCTGTCTGGATTGGTACAATGCCAGGTCCACAGTTGGCATTCAAAGACACATCTATCCCTGGTGGTCTATGGTTCTCTCTGATGTCTGAAAAGGTCAACTCCTAAAAATTAACCTCCAATCCTACTTAGGTATTAGATCTGAAAGTAATACGTAGTAATGTCTCAAAAAGACTACAAAGTTGAAGTCACAGCTAAGGCCAGTCTGAGAAAAACTTAGTCTCAAAACAAAACTCTCTAGCAGTAATCCAAAGGCAGGGCCTGACAGTTAGATAAACAATGTGGAAGACAGTGTGGAAGACAGGAGACTGGGCCTTTTTCTTTCTTATAAAAACAAAAAACAAAGCTTGACTGGGATTTTGCTCCAACCTCCATTCTTGTTGTTTGTTTGTTTGTTTCCCTTTGGTTTTTTATCTTCTTGAATTGCATTTACTGTATGTATTTGTATGTATGGGTACTTGTGTGCCACCCTACACATGGAGAGGTCAGAGGGCAGTTTTCCAGAGTCAGCTCTCTCATTCCATTTTGTAGTTCCTGGAACTCGAACTCAGGTCCTCAGTTTTGGCAGCAAATGCCATTACCTAAAGGGAAATCTTACCAGCCCAAGGCTTTCTGTTTTATCCCAGTACTGGGGACGACAAGCACTCTACCATAAAATACATCCCCAAATCCTCCCATTCTTGATAATTTTCAGAATCTACCTTGGCATCTTTGTATGCTACAAACTGATTTTTTTTTTTTTATTAAGTGTAGACTCTGTCTACCTGAATCACTCTGAATACTGAGACTCTTGGATACTATCCCAACAATCATTTTCTACCTTAGGAATCCTGCCTTTTTGTTTTTGTTTCTAGATAGCTTTCACTCTGTAGCTAAGACTGTCCTGGAAGGAACTAGGTAGACTAGGCTGGCTTCCGACTTAAGTGATCCTCCTGACAGCCTCCAGAGTGCTGAAACTACAGGTATGAGTCATCACACTGGCCTCTAATTTAGTAATTCTAATCTGAGAATAAAACAAAGCAAAAAAATCCCAAGCAAGCCTGAAGGGAGAGAGGCCTGAATGTCATGTGAGACTGTAAAAGGCTCATGGCAGAGAAAGTAAGAATGACAAAGTATGAATGTGCAATGTTTTCTATGATTCTGAGGCAGTAGATAAAGTACTGTGAGAAGCAAAGCCTTAGAGTCTTCTGGAATGCTCTACTTTGCTGCACATGCTAAGGACACTGGGAATTAAAAAGCACACAACTGATGGGGGGTGTCCTTCTGTATATATGTTTCTCTTGTTGGTTGATAAATAAAACACTGATTGGCTAGCAGCCAGGCAGAAAGTATAGGCCAGGCTATGAGACATCTGGGGAGAGGAGGCAGAGAGAGGCTGCCAAGGAGAGACGCCATGTAGAGACTGGGAAGATAGGGTGTACCAGGTGTTCTCTGGTAAGATAAGGCCATGTAGAAGTACACAGATTAGTAGTTATGGGTTAATAATTAAGAGGGAGCTAGCTAATAAGAAGCCCTAGCTTTTATAACAATTTATAAATTAATGTAAGTCTTTGTGTGCTTTATTTTGGGGCTAACTGGCTGTGGGACCAGGCTGGAAAGAAACTCCAGCTACACACAGCCAATGACTTTCAGGTTTTAGTAGAGTTTATTTAAAACGTTGCATTGACAACATGGTTCAGCAGGCAAAAGAACCTACTGCCAAGCCTAACCACCTAAGCTTGAAGCCCAGGCCCAACATGGTAAATGAAGAGAACTAACTCCACTCCAGCCATGACTTGTCTGCACCCACCTGAGCACATGTGCATGAGCGCGTGCGCGCACACACACACACACACACACACACACACAATGATAAAGCGCGCATGCGCGTGTGTGTTGTGTATATATGTATGTTTGTATGTATAAGTTATGTGTGGTGGTGCATACCTTTAATCCCAGCACTTGGGTGGTAGAGGCAGGTGGATTTTTGTGAGTTAAAGGCTAGCCTGATCTATATGGTAAGATTCAGGAAAGCCACGGCTTCATAGTGAAACCCTGTCCCCAAAAAACTGTAAAATAAAATAAAAACATATAAGAAGTTCTAGATATGTGAGGCAGGAGGCCTGAGAAATCAAGGGCAGCTTTTCAGTGGTTTTCAACCTTTGGATCACAACCCTTGGGAACTGAATGACCCTTTCCTATGCCTAAGACCATAGGAAAACACAGGTGTTTATATTATAATTCATAGCAGTAGCAAAATTACAGTTACGATGTAACAGTGAAAATAATTTTATGGTTGGAAGGGTCACCACAACATGAGGAATTATATTAAAGACTGAAGCATTAGGAAGGTTGAGAACCACTGCTTTAGGAGGTGAGACCTGGCTGGCAGAAAATAGGTCACAAGCTGTATGGTGGTGGTACACGCCTTTAATCCCAGAACTCAGGAGGCAGAGGCAGGTGGATCTCTGAGAGTTGGAGGCCAGCCTGGTCTACAGAATGAGTTCCAGGATATCCAGGGCTGTTACACAGAGAAACCCTATCTTGAAAAAAGAAAAGAAAAGAAAGTAGATTACTAGTGAAAGTTATAAGCACCCTGGTTCTGGCCTTGCTCTGTTTCCTGGTCTTCCACAATGTGAACAATCCCTCTCTTCTCTGCCTCTGAAGACATTTGAGCCTCACCTTTCCTTCCATGCCTGACCTGCCTTCTATACAGCTACACAATCTGTAATCCATCTTCACCACAGTCACAGGCAAAAGGCACGTATCAAGTCATTCCCATCTGGCTGGTCTGGAACCTGCTATTTAACCATGCTGGTCTTAAGCTCACAGAGATCTACCTGTGTGCCAGCAACATGAAGTTCTTCAATGGCTTCTCCTGAGGTATAAAGTCCACTATCCTACCCAATTATATTGTTCTCTAACTTCTGGTCATTTAAAAAACATCTTAGTGTTGTATAGCTGTACACCTACCAAGACAGCCCAATTTTAGAACTTTAGTCCAATTTTAGTCCATCTATGCAGAAATATCCCTTAATCCAATCACTCCCTCCTGCTCATCTGTCTGCCCAGCCTTTCTTAGACTCTTTCGTGTAAGACTCTAAGACAGAGGAGCCATGGGAAGCAATTGATTAGAGAAACATACAAAAGACTTTAAAACCCCATATTAGCTTATACAGGAATGTATTTATTTCCTCCAGATGGGTAAGAGTCCTAGCATTTGACCTAGTAGTAAAGGCTCTGGTTCCTCATAGAGAACACCAGCACTATATGAAGACATTAATGAGAGGCATTCATACAAAAAGAGCCATTTTTAAATAGGTTAAAGCAGAAAAATATTTTTTGAAATAAAACAGTTGCTCAGAATTGCAATATAGGAATCAGGTTTTAAAAGGAAATGTTGCCCCAGATAAAGGGGCAGGGGAATCTCTCCTGAGTGTCACTGACTTCCCCATATCTACCTCTTAGACTCTAAGACTTAGACCTACCACTGTAAAAACACTCAGCAAAACAAAACAAGAAAAAAAAAAACCAAACAAAAAACCCAAAAACTTCTCTGTAGAACCCCATTCTTCCCTATTCCTAACCTTTCTTTTTTATGAATGCATTTATTTATTTGGGGCAAAATCATTCTTGAATGCATTCTGAAAGTGAGATGCCAGCCTTATGGATTTCACCCCTAAATAACTTTCATACCTGTCTATATGCATCTATTTATTTATCTCTATGTAGGCCAGCTTGGCCTTAAACTCTCCATCCTCCTGCCTCAGCCTCCCAGTGCTGAGATTCCCAACATGCTTTAATATCCATATTCTCACCACTAGAGTGTCCTTCTACATACAGTATCACTTTACCCATAGACAAATCATACTAATTTAAGAATCTAGTGGAACAAGATGGGGTTGCATGTACCTATAATCCCAACACTTGTGTGAGTTTTAGGGGGACCTCATCTACACAGTGAGTTCCAGCCCAGCAAGGTCTACATAGTAAATCACTATCTCAACTTTCACCACCTTCTAAAAAAAGAGTCAAGTACAGATTCAACTTTCAATTAAAGCTTTTGCTTGGCTCCATCAAGGTCTTACACTGTACTGGGTTGTACTGCTTCTTTGCTCCACCACCAGTCCCTTCCTTCCTTCCTTCCTTCCTTCCTTCCTTCCTTCCTTCTTTCCTTCCTTCCTTTCTTCCTTCCTTCCTTTCTTTTTTTCGTATCTTTAGCTTTTTTGAAAATCAAGGCCATTTGTCTTTTAGAATATTCTTCCAAGGGATCAATCTGTATCTTATCTTCTCTACAGGAGTCTCATTAGCAACATGTTTTACTGTACTCAGAGATAGGTTGTGGGCCCAATTTAATACAGAAGTTGCACAAGGTTCTATTACCTGTCATATGGCACTGGATGACATAAAAGATGGCTGAGCACTATATCTGTATACTTAGGTCTGGAGATAAACAAACTCACAGTATTTATGATTTGTTGCCGGACAGTAGGCAGAGTGATTATTGATAACCGGGCACAGATAACGCCTATTATTTCTGGCACCTGAAGAGGAAAAAGACATCACTAAGACCTTAATCCTGTAGACAATTATAGAGTCTTTGTAGCCATATCTGAGAGGTGCTGGAGGGATAGAAGACAAAATGATTTTGATTTTGTACAGTTTAGTATGCTAAGGGTTCAATTCACTGCTAAAGCACTTCCCTAGCGTGTATGAGGATCAGTACTGCAGAAATAATAAAAAAAACAAAACAAAACAAAACAAAACTTCCCAATCATCTCTGGAGTGGTAGCCTTTAATTCTAGCACTTGGGAAGCAGAGGTAGGTGAACCTTTGTGAATTTAAGGCCAGCCTGGTCTACACAGTGAGTACAATGACAGGTAGGGCCAGGTAGAGACCCTGTCTCAAAAAAAAAAAAAAAAACAGTGTATATGAATGTATGTATACAAAAATATTTGGAAGTTGGTGGAGCTGTAGTTCAGTTGCAGAGTGCTTGCCTAGCATAGATGAGGACCCAGATTTGATACCTGATTCTCAACAGTGTGGGATGTGGGGGTGGGAGGATGGGGGGGGTGGAGAGAATAAAAGAAGTGCTGGAGTGCTGGGTGGAGCTTGGGGGTGCGGAGTGCTGGGTGGAGCTTGGGGTCGAAGGCTTGCTTGACATGTACAGCACCTTTGGTTCAATCCAGAACCGCAGAAAGAAGGGGGGAAAAAAAAGCAAGAAAAGAAAGAAGGAAGGAAATAGAAGATTTGGAAGGATGTAAACACAGACAGAAGCTGTATCCCTGAGAAACAAAGAAGTGGGTTTTGTTTCTCATGTATTTTTTCTGATTTTTGTTCAATGATAATATAGTGATTTTATAACAAAAAAATGTCATGTTATGACAGGTGAGCCCTTATCCACTGTCCTTTCTGGTCTTTTGGGAAGCAGAAGCCATGGCTTTGGTCCAGTTCTCTCTCTGTTTGACTACTCACCCTGCCATAAAATGGCTGTGCTTACATCAGGTGCCAGAAGTTGGCTGAAGGGTGGGCAGGGGATACAATTCTAGCCATAGATAAGTGAGGGAGAGCCAAGCGCGAGTGGACACGCCTTTAATCCCAGCACTCAGGAGGCAGAGGCAGGTGGAGCTCTGAGAGGAAAAAAAGCAAACAGACAAAAAGAAAGAGACATGAGGGCGAAGACACTGAGGGCTCGAAGAAAAGATTTTCTGCCTTCAATGAAGGGACTAAAAGGAAGGCATCATCTCTCTGGACTGCATTTATTCATCTGCTCATGAAGTCTCAGCTGTGCCTGCCTCAAGGACAGGAAAGGTAAAAGATGGAAACCATGGCCTTGGCTGTCACTGTAAGTCAGTGAGCCCAGCATAGAAAATACACTATTTCCAGATTTCCTATACATATTTAAGAATGTATATTTATTGTAATCATTTAGTACAGTCCAATCACTTCTTTATAGTAAGAATATGTCAGATAAACATCTTAACAAATATATCATCAAGACATAGGATAATCAATCCTTTGGAGAAACTTCTCACTGTTAGCCTTTCTGCCTCTAAAGGTTCCCAAACCATCCACGAGACATCTGACTTCTCTCGGGTGTTCCAGTTGTAACTTTGCTGCTTTCTTTTTTATGATTTTTTTCCCACTTGTATGTACATGGACGTTTTGCCTGCATGTATGTCTGTGTGAGAGTGTCAGATACCCAGAAACTGGAGTTAGAAACATTGGTGAGCTACCATGTGGGTGCTGGGAATTGAACCCAGGTCATCTAAAAGAACAGCCAGTGTTCTTAACTGCTGAGCCATCTCTCTAGACCCACTTTTTTCGCTATTCTCATAGGTTAAAAAAATGGGTTCTTGTCATTTTTAAATGCCCTTTCTCTTTGATATTTTTGTGGCACTATGGACTGAACCTGGGACTCTGTGCAAGGACAAATGCAATTCAGACAGCACTTTCACTCCAAACAAAACACAATGAACAGTTTATAATGCCAGCAGCTCTTAGGCTTCTAGCTATTTCTGTATTCCTTCTATATTTAATTAATATGGTCGATTAATTAAATATTTTGGGGAGACAGAGTTTTGTCTAGTATCCTAACCTAGCTAGGAACTCACTATGTAGCCCAAGCCAGACTTAACCCTTTAATCTTCTTGTCTCAGCCTTTCAAGTGCTAGGATTATAGGTATGAAACACCACACCCTGGTCTATCCTTTTTACTAAAAAGAATTATTATTACTGTCTCTATGTAAAGATGAGGGCACGAATGCCACGGTGTGTATATGTAGAGGTCAGAGGATAACTCTGTCCTCTTTTTCTACATTGGCACCTGGGGATAGAACTCAGGTCATCAGGCTTGTACAGTAACCACTCTGACTCACAGACCCATCTTACTGGCCCCCAGCTCTGTCCTTTTGCATTTTAGGTGATAAAAATAAATTGTTTCTGGGTGGTGGTGGCACACAACTTTAACCCCAGTGCTTGGGAGGCAGAGACAGGAGAATCTCTGTGAGTTTGAAGCCAGCTTGGTCTACAGAACGAGTTCCAGGACAGGTTCCAAAGCTACAGAGAAACCCTGTCTCCAAAAACCTAAATAAATAAACAAACAAATAAATAAAATAGTTATTCCTTTTCTTTATTATTTGGTCTTTTTGTTTTGTTTTTGCTTTGTTTTGTTTTGTTTTGTTTTCAAGACAGGGTTCCTCTGTGTAGCCCTGGCTGTCCTGGAATTCACTGTATAGACCATGCTGACCTCAAACTCAGAGATCTGCCTGCCTGCACCACCACCTCCCAGTTTCCTTTGTCATTTCCTGTGGGGGGTTTACATATATTTAGGTAAGTTCTCTTGATGTTGAGGAAAGGGGGCCTCCTTTCAACCACTGCTGGCTGTCTTGCCTTAATTTGATAGCTTTGATTCATCTGGATCAGAATTTACACCTCACACTCATCAATTTCATCCCCTAGGGAAATCTTGTTGTTTGGGGAACACACCAGGAGAGAGAGAGAGAGAGAGAGAGAGAGAGAGAGAGAGAGAGAGAGAGAGAGAGAGAGAGAGAGAGAGAGAGATGTTCAGAGAGAGAGATGTTCAGGGTTATGCACGTATCTGTGTGAGTACACCCCCATATGTGTACTTGTGGAGGCCAGAGATTGATGTCAAAGATGTCTTTCTTAATTACTCTTATTTTTTTGAGACACAGTCTCTTCAATCACCATTTCCACTAGCCTTGATGGCCAGTGAGCTCTGGGAATTTGTCTGGCACTGCCCCACTATGTTAAAGTTACAGATGCTCAGGACTGTGCTCAGCTTTTATCTGGGTGTGAGGGATCTGAACACAGGTCCTCATGCCTGTAAAACAAACACTTTGCCATGGAGCTATTTCCCCAGCCCTATATTAAGTTTCAAATCTCTCTTGTTTGGTATAGGGGTGGTGAGTACATGCTTATTGAATGGAGGAAAACTTGGGAACCGTAGAGGAAGGCTTTGATCCTGTCCCCACTGGAACTATTCTCAGCTGAGCACAAATGGCTGGATCTCCCCAGCCAGAGTAGGGACAGGGCTTGTTTCTGTTTCAAATCCACAAAATGGCTCTGCACTTTTACCTTCTCAAATCGGGCCTCTGCACTCCTCACCAAAGTTATCAACAACTCTCCTGCTGTCTTCTGGGTACTGGGATGGGGCAGGCTTTTCAGGCTGTCCAATGTAGTCATTATAAACTGGCCAAGTTCTTGTGAATCAAGGAAAACTTCAAAAACCTGCAACAATTTAGGAAAAGTGAACGTACATGGTATGGGCTGAGAATGTAACTCAGGGTTTGCCTATGATGTGTGAGGCCCAGCACTCCAGCACAGGAGGAGGGAGATGGGGAAGGGAACAGAGAGAGGCTGTGCTGTCTATTACTGGCTTATTTACTGGGTACTTACTATGTGGCAGGCAGTAAGCCAAGAACTTTACACATAGCATTTCATTTAGATCTTATGACAATGGTGTCACCCTAGTGTATATAGATTCCCACTGGATACAAGAGGAAACTGATACCCAGACTAGATTACTTTAGACTACAATAGTAAGATCTTTAAGTATCCTTTTTCTGTGTGTTTGTGTTCATATATGTATGCACACACATATGTGTGGGTAAGAATGCATGGGGATGGTGTGTATGTGTAAGCCAGAGGTCTAGCTCAGTGTCTCCCTTTATCACGTTCCATCTTATTTTTTGAGGCAGGGTCTCTTACTAAATCTGGAGCTCATTGATTGTTCATCAAACCCCAGGGATCCTCCTGGAGCTGTCTCCTCAGAGCTGCACTCAGCTTTTTTTCTTTTTAAATATGGCCACTGGGGATTGATCTCAAGTCCTCACACTTGCACTGCAAGCACTTTGCTGAGCCATCCCTCAGCCTTATAGGTTTCCTATGACAGATGCATGAGTCTTCGTTGAGTAATGAACAGTTACATTTAAAAGCCCATAGCTCATTGGTTCAACCATTCTTTCTTCAAGCTCCTCTTTGTGAAGGGTTTAAATGGAGAGTAGCTGGCATTCAGTGAGAGTTCACCAGACTGAGGTAAAATCACTGGCCTCTTTAGCAAGTTGACATAAAGTGCTAAATTGAGCAAACAGGGCAATCAGCCTTGATAGTATAAGCCTTTATCTCAGTATATGGGTGGCAGACACAGGCAGATTGCTGTGAGTTCTACAACAGTGTGGTATACAACGTGAGTACCAGTTCAGCCAGTGATACACAGTGAGACCAGACCCTGTCTTTAAAAAAAAAAAAAAAAAAAAAAAAAAAAGTGGGGGGGGGAGGAGAGTACAAGCTAGGTGGTGGGTGTGCACACCTTTAATCCCAGCACTTGAAAGGCAGAGGCATATGGATGTGAGTTTAAGGCCAGCCTGATCTACAGAATGAGTGACAGGGCAGGCTCCAGAGCTCCAGAGAAACCCTGTCTCTAGAAAAGGAGAGAGAGAGAGAGAGAGAGAGAGAGAGAGAGAGAGAGAGAGAGAGAGAGAAACCTGGTGTGTAAGGTCATGAACAATGTTCCTTTTCTGCAAACCCTGGATGTTTACGGAGCACATTCCCCAGGCAATCTCTGTGGTTGGTTTTATGAGAAACAAATAGAACTTTCCAATGTGATTTTTACCATCTCACATTTCCATGAACAAACAAAACGTCTGGCTGGCTTCTTCCCACCCTTGCTAGTACTTGAAGCTGTCTGTCTGGATGCTTCTAAGATCTCTAATTACCTGGACGATTTTGAATGGACAGCGGTAGAAGTGTTTGACGCTATAGTGCTCCAGCAGCTCCCGGCACTTTTTCAAAGTTTCTTTCAAGCTCTTGCCATTGTCTCTGCCCTGTGTGATATCTAGGGAGAGAATGGGTCGCTATTATGCTCTGCTCCACTTCTTCCTTACTCATTTCCCAATTCTTTCTGATCTCCAGTGTGTAGTCAATCCCTGATTTTCCCTTGGATGCATTAATCTAATCTGCACGCAGGTCTGCCCTTTTCCCTGTAAAACAATATATACAAAGAGCCAACAGGAAATGAAAGGGTTTTTATTTTTGTTGGTTGTTTGTTTTGTTTTGTAAGAACAGAGATTTAGAGCGATCTGCTGAGTAGAAAAAAGGAAGGCTCCACAACACTGTCCCACTAGAGAGGAGTCGAGGGCATCCTGTGATGTTTCAATACTGCCCAAAGCTTGTTGATCACAGATCTTCCTCTTCCTATCACCTAAATGTGCTGACTGTTGAGTTGCCTACCCCCCTCGGACTGCCTTGTTTCTATGTGTTTTGCTTTGTTTTTGTTTTGTTCTTTTGAGACAAGGTCTCTCTACATGGCCCTGGCTGTCCTGGAACTCACTATGTAGACCAAGCTGACCCCAAAGTCACAGAGATCCATCTTCCTTTGTCTCCTGAAAGCTGGAATTGAAGGTTTGTACCCCCACACTCAACTTGTTTTCTATACTTTAATGTGACTTAATATTGCTGGACAAGGCATTATAAATGTTGGCTGAGTCGATTGAATAATTAAGTCTCAGGCTGTCCAAATATCCAGAAATGAACTCAAACTGGACTACAAGAGGATTCCCATCCATTAGATAAAAGCCAGTATTCCTAGCAGGATGTGGTGGTACACGCCTTTGATCCTGGCACTCAGGAGGAAAAGGCAGGTGGATTTCTAAGTTTGAAGCCAGCCTGGTCTACATAGTGAATTCCAGGACAGTCAGAGCTACAAAGTGAGACTCTGTATAAAAAAATAAAATAAAATAAAAAAGAGGCCACTTTTCCTTAGGAATTTGTGAAGCCAGTCCCATCTGCTAAAAGAAATAATGTCCTATACCTCTGGCAGAAAGGGCTTATGGCTGCCCACTGACATATACCTGTGGCTGTATATCAAAGCCCATAGTGGCCCTCCAGGCTCCTCAATCCCTGTTGACAAATAATATACATTCCAAAGCCCACACTAGCCTCCCCAGCCTTCCTTCCTCCCAGGTACCAGTCTGTTCTTTTGAAAAGGGTTGTTTCTCCTGGCTTTTCTATCTCTTTCTGTCTCTCTTCCCTCACATGCTATCCTCTTGCCCCCTGCTATTGTCAATATACTCTGTCTGTCTGTCCATCCATCCATCCATCTATCTCTTCCTATCATCCTCTTGTTTTCTTGCTATTATTCACCACTCTCCTGTGGTGTCCAGTCCATTTCTTGTTCTCTCTGCTTTGGACTCGTCTAGATGCCTCTGGATGTTCCCCCTCTCTCTTATTTACAATAAAAAGCTTCCCCTGATAATGAAGAAGTCATGTTGGCAGTTTCTTCACTGTGCCCCCTTGCATACATTTGGTGCTGAAACCCTCAATAAAATAATCAGTTGCATTCCCTGCCTGTATCTCTGTAAACATTGCTCATACTCAGAGCTGCCTTACATAGGGTGGCTGCTTTGGAAAGCAGAGCTTCCTCAGTTGCTAATGCAGTTCCCTCTGGCTGCCTTTCCTACTTTTTCACCTGCTTGATGGCTCTTTAGTCTTCACACCATCTTCACAAAGCCTCTCTGAACTCCACAACTCATTTGACTCTTACTCATATTTCTGTAATTTTCCTTCATATTACAGTGTTTATTTGTTGACTCCTTGGGATACTAGACTATCAGGGGCCGAGCTGGGTGTTGGTGGCACATGCCTTTAATCCCAGCACTCAGGAGGTAGAGGCAGGCAGATGGATGTCCGTGAGTTTGAAGCCAGCCTTGTCTACAGAGTGAGTTCCAGGACAGGCTCCACAGCAATACAGAGAAACCAAAAAAAAAAAAAAAAAAAAAAAAAAAGATTAGGGACCTTTGTTACTATATCTCTTAGTGTTTCTATTAATATAATAAACACTGACCGAAGCACAGTGTTGGGAAGGAAAGGGTTTATTTGCCTTATACTTCCACATCCATCAATGAAGGAAGTCAGGGCAGGGACACATGCAGGGCAGGAACCTGGAGGCAAGAGCTGGTGCAGAGGCCACAGAGAGATGGCTGCTTACTGGCTTTTTCCTCATGGCTTGCTCAGCCAGCTTTCTTATAGAATCCAGGACCACCAGCCTGGGGATGGGAATACCCACAATGGCCTGGGTACTCAGGTTTGCAGATTTGTCTACAGCCCATTCTTATAGGGGTATTTTCTCAATTGATGTTCCCTCCTTTCAAATGACTCTAGCTTGTGTAAAGTTGACATAAAACTAGCCAGCACACTACTGAATCCCAAATCAGCTCTAAATAACAGTTATGGGATAAATAAAGCATAGAGATCCCAATGATGGCAAGGACCTCTCCCATTTCTGACCAAACCAATCACTCCAATTTGTTTCTGTGATTACATGTCTAGTTACTCCACAACCATACAGATGGTGGGCACTGGGGAGGGGGGGGGGTCCAAGCCACTGTTATGGTTCCAATGTTGAAGTCAGTGTCTTAGTAAGTGTTGTCTTGCTGTGAAGAGATATCATGACCAAAGTACCTCTTGTAAAGGAAAGCATTTAATTGTGGTCTTGTTCATAGTCTCAGGAGCTCAGCCCGTTATCATCATGGTAGGAAGCATGGAGGCAAGCAGACACAGTTCTGGAGAAGTGGCTAAGAGCTATATCCTGGTCCACATGCTTCGATAGATGAACTTGGCAGGGGCTTGAAACCTCAAAGCCTAACCCCAGTGAGACACTTCTTCCTTCCTCCCTCACCTGCTATGGAACCTGCTGTGCTCTCCCACATGGCCCCTTACCTTGGGGCCCCACTCTCTCGGGACCATCACCACCCCCTCTTCCAAAGCTTTAACCTATTAACTGTAACAAAAGAACAGCAACACCTACTCCAACAAGACCACACCTCCTAATTCTTTTCAAATAATGACACTGCCTGGTGACTAAGTATGGTGGTTTGGTTTGAAAGAATGGCTCCAAAAGGGAGTGTGCACATTAGGAGGTGTGGCCTTGTTGGATGTCACTGTAGAGGCAGACTTTAAAGCCTCATACATGCTCAAGCCATGCCCAGTGAGACAGTTAACTTCCTGTTTCCTTTGGATCAAGATGTAAGGACTCTAAGTTCCAGCACTGTATCTTCCTCCATGCTGCCCTGCATTTTATATGCACTGGTGTTTTGTCTGCAAGTATGTCTGTGTGAAGGTGTAAGATCTTGTTACAGACAGTTGTGAGATGGCATGTGGGTGCTGGAATTGAACCCCTGAGTCATCTTTCCAGTTCAACTAATCTGCTTTTTAGAAAAATTCATCTTCTGAGAACATTTTCTTGACTTATATTTAAAACGGGCAGTTGGTAGTGAACAGATTCCATCTTAAAGCTATCTAGGACCTGGCACATTAGTTGGAGAAATTAGACTAAAGCTCTGAACTGGAAGAGAGCCACCCCAATTAAATATTTTCCTTTGTAAAAGTTGCCATTGTTATGGTGTCACTTCACAGCAAAAAAAAAAAAAAAACAAAAAAACCCTAAAACAAAAATTGGTATCAGGGACTGGGATATTGCTATGATAGGCTAGATCATGTTTGTGTTTGGAGGAATTTGGACTTTGGTACCTTGGGTTAGGAAAGCAGTGGAATGCTTTATTTATTTATTTATTTATTTATTTATTTATTTATTTTACTTTCATCTGCATTTATTTTACGCTGAGTTTATTCCCGTGCCATAAGCTTTTGTTTCTTCAGTTTCTTCTGGGATATCTTCTTCTTCTGTGCAACCTTTTCTGGCTTTGGAACAATCTGCTCCTTTTCTGTGAGGACCATCTCCATGTGGCAGGGGGAGCTCATGTACGGGTTAATCTGGCCGTGCACTCTGTAGGTTCGTTGGTGCATCTTAGGTGCTTTGTTCACCTGGATGTGTTCAATGACCAGAGAATCGACGTCTAGACCCTTAAGCTCAGCATTACTCTCTGCATTTTTAAGCATGTGCAGTAAAAATTCAGCACTCTTTTTTGGCCACCGACCCTGTGTCCAGCCCCACTGTTTGGCCTAAGCGCACCTGCCTACTCCACCATTGTACCGCAAGAATGGCACACACTGCTTCTTCAAAGTGACATCTTTCAGGTATTTGGTGACTTTTCAGATATGCATGCCCTTGATGGCCTGGGCAGTTTCACGGGTGTTCTTAAAGTGAACCCGAAGTTTCGATCCTCTTGACTTGCATGATTTCGTGGGGTTTTCTGGGTCGAGGAAGTAACGAACCATCTTCACAGGTCACCTCAGGCTGCCTACAGGAAGAGAGTGCAGTGGAATGCTTTAAGCACTGCTAAATGAGCCATACTAGTAGGAGCATGGAAGACAACGGTATTGAAAATGATTTGAAATATGGGGGGCTGGCTCAAGAGGTATTAGAGAAGAATTTTAGTATGTTGCCTAGAGATTATTCTTGTGTTATTATGGTGAAGAACACTGCTGCCTTTTGCCCTTGTCCAAAGAGTCTGTCTCAGGCTAAAATGAAGAGTTTTGGATTAATTCCATTGGCAGAAGAAATATCAAAACAGCTTAGTATAGACTCTACTGTGTGGTTATTAATGGTATCTCTTTTACAAGGGAGTGGTAACCTCAAGTGTGTGTGAGCACTGGGAAGGCAGAGGCTAGCAGATGGTTGAGTTTGAGGCCAGCCTCCTCTGCAGAGCAAGTTCAATAACAATCAAACTTAGGTAGTGAAGATGTAACTGAACAAAGAGGCCACATTCCAGCCTCAGCAAGCAGCAGAACTTGGCAGCTTCAGCCACGTGGTGGCTCTGGCTTTAAGAGTCAAGGAGTGACTAAGGAAAGCTTCTGAGGCCAGGCATTTGTCAGGGGAGTTCCTGGATGGAAGCTGTGAAGTTGAAGCCTGGATTGTTTTGGAGGCACCACGATGTTATGTTGGAGATGCCAGAGCCATGGGATACATGCTGAGGAGAGCTGCCAACAGAGAGTTCAACCAGCTAAGAGGAAGAATACCTTGCAGTCTACAAAGCTGAACAGAGTTGGAGATCTTAAGAGTGTTTTAACATCAGACATAGAGAGGCAGAGTTTGGAGTTTGGTTTTTGATCTTGCTTTTGTCCAGAATTTCCTCAATATACTCCCTTCCATGTGTTTTGGAATAGTAATGTACATTCCATGCCATTATATGTTGGAAGTATGTAGTATGCTTTTTTTTTGATTTTACAGGAGATTACTGTTAAGCGATTGTATGAATCTCAGAAGAAACTTTGAACTTTAGACTTAAGTTTGAGACTGTTACAGACTATGGGGCTTTTGAAGTTGGACTGAATGTACTTTGTATTATGCTAATGTTACAAGCTTATGGGGTCAGGGAGAAGAATGTGGTGGTTTGAAAGAAAATGGCTCCAAAGGGAGTGGCACTATTAGGAGGTGTGGCCTGGTTGGAGTAGGCGTGGTCTTGTTGGAGGAAGTGTGTCACTGTGGAGGCAGACTTTGGGGTCTCTGTGTTCAAGCCATGCCCAGTGACGGTTCACTTCCTGTTGCTTCTGGATCAAGATGGACTCTCAGCTTCAGCACCATATGTGCCTGCATGCTGCCTTGCCTCCCACCATGACAATAATGGACTAAACCTCTGAACTGTAAGAGAGCCACCCCAATTACATGTGTTCCTTTGTAAGAGTTACCATGGTAATGGCTTCTCTTCACAGCAATAGATACCCTAACTAAGACACCACAAATTCAAATAATATGAGCCTGTTGGGCCCATTCTTATTCAAATCAGCACAGTCAGTATTGCTTCATCTCTGTGTATGAACTATGAACCTTTCTCTCTATGAATTGCTAAAGAAAATATTTCTAGAACATGGAACAGAGGGATAGAGGGAGGGATGGTGCCTACGGCTGTGCTAGAGATTAGATTACACCTTTGCTCCAGGGTGTCTTACACTTCAGTTTCAGAGTGATATGAAGCAGGTAATGTGTTCCCTCTGCAGCCTCTTCAGCCACCTCTTTCATTGGGTCACCACACAGCAGTGCCATCACAGCCACCAGATGTCCAAGCCTTTGGAACTGCAGTGGAAGCTAAGTGAGAAGGAAAGAAAAATGCCGTCAGAATATGGGGGACATTTTCACCTCAAACTGGAGTAGTTAAGGAGTCTGAAACTCAAGAGAGGTGATAGGGCCACAGACACTTAAATCTTTGGAGGCTTATTGTTTCACATAGTTAGGGCAACCTATGCACACATTCTAAAAATGAGGAGGCTTTAGCAATAAAGATATTCATTCCAGCACTGGTTTAATTAATTGACTAACTAATCAATAAATTAATCTTTCAAGCAAAGGTTTCTCTGTGCAGCCCTATCAATTCTAGAACTCATCCAGCTGTTTTGAAAGATCAGATTTTGAAAATATTTGCCTAGTAATGGAAAAGGAAATTATGGTACAATTGTTCTATGAATATAACCACTAGGAATCAAGTATCTGGCCTAGAGGCATGGCTTAGTAGAATAGCATATGTCCACCCTTTCTAAGGACTGGATAGCATACAGGAACAAAACCCACCATGAAAACCAACAGTAAAACAAGAAATTTATGACACACTAAGCAAAGGAAAACCGTTCAAAGTGAGTACAGCAGTAATTCTTAAAAATATATTAATTAAAGCTGGGCAATGGTGGTGCATGCCTTTACTCCCAGCACTTAGGAGGCAGATCTCTGTGAGTTTGACACCAGCCTGGTCTACAGAGTCAGTGAATTCCAGAACAGTCAGGGCTACACACAGAGAAACCTTATTGCAAGATATTTCATTACACTGTGTAAATATATGTCACTGTGATTGGTTTAATAAAAAGCTGAATAGCCAACAGCTAGGCAGGAAGTGTAGGTAGGATTTCTAGGAGGGGAGAGGGAAGAAAGAGAAAGAGATAACAGGGAGATGCCAGAAGCTAGCCAGATAGCCATGAAGGAAGCATGAAAGTAGAACACACAGAATGAAGGAAAGGTAAAAAGTCCCAAGGCAAAACATAGATAATAGAAATAGGGACAAGCATAACCTAAAGCAGAGCATTTGTACTTAATAATAAGTCTCTCTGTCTTCATTTGGGAGTTGATAGGTGGCCCAAAGAAAGTGCCAACTACAACTGGCATCCGACATGGGGCACAAATTAACACATAGGGCCTGAGAAAGCTGAAAAAAGAAACCAGAAAACAGATACGCTCCTTTAAGAGGCACTGCTATGCAGCAGAGAGCTTGAGCATGCTAAGTAAAAAACAGCAAGCTAAGTAGGAATGCCTGCCACAGTGTGGGCACCAACTTCTTGGAGCTGGGGCAGTTAAATGCAGGTCTTGGTTAAACACAGCTCAAAATTAAATGCAGCTATTGGCTAGGCCCATGGGCTTGGCTCTCATGGACCAAAAGAGGGTGCAGAGACAGTCATCAGAGCTGCATGGCAGAGGCCCTAGCTACCAATTAGCAGTTTAAAGTTTGGTTCATGAAATCCAAAAATACTACAGGTGCACAGTAAAATAGGTCCAGACCCAAGACACCTTTAAACAGGTTACAGTGTATGTAGGTGCTTTAAAAAGAAAAGAAAATAGGTACAGACAAAAGAAAAAAGTTTTAAAGTAATTAAGTAAAGTCTTTAAAGAAAGAGTAAAGTAATGTAAAGAGAATAAGCCATGTAAAGATGGGAAATACCCAGGGAGTCTGGATCCTGCCTGGTGCTTTGTTGAATCTTTTGCATGTTGATGAGCAAACAGCAGCTTCTGAGAGACATGAGATTGAAAAAGGAACTGCTGAATTAAACCAGCCTAGACACTTCAGGGATGTCTCAACTTTAAAATGGAATTCAGAAAATGTATTGCGTTGCATGGGAGGTTATGCTTTTGTTCCCACGAGAAATGAAAGGTGGTAGATTCCTTTAAAATTAATATTCAATTGGGGAAGACCCCCTAAAAATATTGGCTACAGACATAAAGAAATAAACCTAGAAAAACTACATGACAGGTAGTTTTGACATGGGAACAGCTCTGAGATCGGATGAGACAAGATACATCTTGTTAGTTACAGAGGCCTCATGACTTATTATACGCATCCTTTCATATGGGATGGATATAGGTTTTATATGCAGTTAAAATATACTTATAAAATTGATTGATGCTCAAACATAAAGCAAAAAATCATCTTTGGCTGGCTTGTGTACAACACAGAGTCCATACTTGTGTTAATAAAGATATGTATGTTATCTTTGATAGTTTGTAGGTTTTGAGAGCAAGGAGACCATAAACCAATGAAAATAGGTGACCCAGCCTCTCAGAGTTGCTCTGTTGCAGTTTCCTCAGAATTATGCATTCAGAACAACTTCAGCGCTCCTAGCTGAGATGGTCCAGCCTGACAGACTATTCTAGCTAGGGCTTCAGATAAACCTTGTACTTTTCCATTACACAGAGACTGGACAACAAATGTTATGGCTACTTTTCTTAGGACTTGACCATTATCTCAATTTTCTCAGGGTGCCCTGAAGATACCATTACTGCCAAGCAATATGAAGCAGTCTAGAGAACACAATAAATAGATTTCCAAGAAGTAGGATGGGTTGTTTTTGGTTATTCAGTGGGTTATGGATGCTTGTAATCATTTAGAGGGAATATAGGAATATAGGATAAAAAGACAACTATTAATCTCAAATATTTTACATTGGTATGCATTTTTGTATACTTATACAAATTTAAGGTTATTTTTGTTATACTGTATATAGGTTTTTATTTTTGTTCAATATATTATACCTATGCAGCTCATTTAAAAATGTCATATAAGGTTATTATAAATTTTAAGATAATAACCTATAACAAACTTGTAGTCATGTTAGGTATGTCTTCAAAGTTAAACAGATATATTTTAGACATAGAGGTGATTTTCAAACTCTTCAGAGTTTGGCAGAATATGGCATTTAATATATTTAATAACCTAAGGCTTTTCATAACAGTGAGACACATCTATTCCTGGCAGCACCAATCTACTTCATAAAAGGATGATGGGCATTGAAGAACCTCCATATGAAGTTTGTTTTCATTGTGGTAAAGTTAGCCACTTGGCAAGAAACTGCCCTTGTCTCGACTGCTGACAGTCTACTGCACAAACTGGACAAGCAGAACACAAAGGAAAAAGACACCCAAAATTTTCCAAGACAAGGTGGAACAGTCCTTCAAAATTCCTACTTCACAGAAAAGTCTGCCAGATATATTAGGATTGTAGACCTAAGATGGATGCCTCAACATTGCAGAGGAACCTTGAGTGACTGTCCAGGCATACAGCTATTTCTGTCATTTCTATAGTTTTGGAAGTTGCTTGCTCTGCATTTCCAGTTTACTCAGGTAAATATATATATATATATATATATATGTATATATATATATATATATATATTTATATTTATATCCATCCATCCTTTCGGGATTCTGATGGTTTCTGTTTTCCTTGTTACTAAATTAAAAAATGAAACTCACAAAAGAGTTATAAAGTGTATAAGGTTGAGAGACATAAAGGCTTAAATTGTTAATCTAAGAAATCTAAGAAAATGTTTTAAGGTTTAAAAAGGTATTTTAGGGTTGATAATACAAGTTATGATAGAAAGTAAATTATGTTCAAAACCTTGTACTCACCAAGATAAGATAGATAGTGGAGCATTTTCACTGAATTTGCCAAATACTAATGGATTGGATATTGTAAATATAATTCTTACTTGATCATTATTTTATTATATATAGCTTTTATGTTAGAGTTAAAACCCTTTCCTTTTATTTAAATAAAAAGGGGTAAATGTTGCAAGATATTTGATTACACTGTGTAAAGATATGTCATTGTGATTGGTTTAATAAAAAGCTGAACAGCTAATAGCTAGGCAGGACTTCAGGGAGGGAAAAAAGAGAAAGAGATGCCAGGGAGACGTCAAGGGTCAGCCAGACAGACACAGAGAAAGCAGAAAAGTAGGACATACAGAATGACAAAAAAAAAAAAAAAAAAAAAAAAAAAAAAAAAGGTAAAAATTCCTGAGGCAAAACACAGATGAATAGAAACAGATTAAATTAAGTTATAAAATCTAGTGGGACAAGCATAAGCTAAAGCTGAGCATTCCTAATTAACAATGAGTCTCTGTGTCTTTATATGGGAGCTGGTTGGTGACCCAAAGAAAATGCCAACTACAAAACCCTGTCTCAAAAAACCACTAACATTATATATATGTATATAATGTATATTATATATAGGCACACACATATGTGTGTGTGTAGATAGATAGATAGATAGATAGATAGATAGATAGATATCCTGCTTGTTACAAAAATTGGCAAGTATCTAACTAAAAAAAAAGAAAGGAAATGTAACAAAATATAGTGGAGAAAATGAGAAAAAGTTTAAAATTAGGGGGAAAAAAAGATCAACAACTACTTGGTGATCATGCAAAATGCATACCACTTTCTGCTTTAGATGACCACTGAGCCAGTGCCAGAACACCTTGTGGCAAAGTCATGGGTATGCATAGGGTAGTGTGTACATGTATAATATGACTGATGCTCTCCAGAAGTTTAGAAACCACAGAGAGAAGCTCTTTCTATAGCTCTCCAGAAACTCAACACAGAAATGGTGCACCCATCAACATGTGATGGCCTGTTTTCAGGAAACTTGCCAACACTCCATTTAGCTGAACCAGTGATTTTTTTTTTTTTCCTTTCTCCTCCTCTCTCTCTTCTTCCCTCCTCCTGGAATGCATGTGTGGATGTTCAGGTATATGCATCCATGCAAGCACATGCAGAGGCCAGAGCTTGACATTTAGTGTCTTCTAGCTTTCTTCACCTTATTTTGAGTCAGGATCTCTTACTGAATCTGGGGCTCACCATTTAAGTCAGACTAGATGGCTAAAGAGCACAAGAATCCTTCTGTCTGTGTCCCTAGTGGTGGCATTTCAGGCATGTGCTATCACACTTGGCTTTTATGTGAATGCTGGAGCTCCAAACACTTCACCGGCTGAGCCATCTCTCCAGCCCCATCGGTGCTTTTGTTGTTGTTTGTTATGTTTTGGTTTTTT